GTTAATACTCAGAGACTTGTTTTTTATTTTACAGTAAAGTCTTGTTACTATGAGAACTATATTGATTATTATTTTTACGATATAATCCCTCATTACCACAATTTCTAGAATATTATTATAAACTCAAATAGCTTTACAACGATTTTGGATAGGTATGCACTTTATTATACAAAAACGAGGGTTTTCGTTTAAAAATCTAAAGTGTAACGCAATATCTAATTTTTGGATCACCCTGTATTGTACGGCTATAGAAGAAAAGACATCCCCTAGAAATCAAAATTGACGTGTCCGAGGGTTTTTCCCAAAAAAATACCAGGAAAGTCACAAATATTGTGCGTACTTTTCGATGGGCCACCCTGTACACCATTTTGTTGGACGCAATTTGTTTCTTAAATTTCAAACACTATCCAAATATGCTTTTAAATCTAAATAAAATAATTCTTTAAAACTAGGTACAAACTCATTTTAATAATTCACTATCTTTAAATAAATTGGTGTAATCAATCTAAGTAAACGGTTTAACAAATGCAATCAAACGATTGCGTTTTGGTTGCATAGCTGCAAGTGAGCTATTTTAGAAATCGGAGGTTAAACAAACTAATTGAACTTGTTAGCCGTCACATAGTTAATTAAATTCTCCTAATTGGCCCATCTAAATTTTTTTTTCTCAGTGTAGTACGCTAATAATTTGTTAATAATGTTGACCTACATGGTTACTACGTTAAAAATCATCTCATCAATAAATACCAACACCTACCCCTGAATTCTACTTTCGCTATCTTTTCTCCCTTGCTCCTCGGTATCTGGAACTGCTTCAACTTTACGTCGATGGACATGTTGATGGATCCGCGAGCGATTCGCGCGGTTTGAGGCACGCGTCCACGCGCGAAGGGTTGGCGTCTGGAGCGTCGCGACGTCGAACTGGATTCCTGCTACTCTTTCCGGTGACCCGGAGCGGCGTCGTCGCCGTCGACCGTTCGCCGCAGAACGCTCGACTTGTTGAGCGTGCTCAACAGAAAACGAACCGGCAGGAAGAGGCTGTCCGCATTGCGGAGGGAAAAGGGGGTTCGGGAAAAGCGCAGCGGCGGACGTTACGACAGGTCGCCCGCACAATTCGTTATAATCACGCCAAGGGCGTACCCAGAGGGGTAGAAGTATCCGTGTGGAGTTTCGGTAAGCTCCGCCTGTAGTACGAGACGACGGAAAGAGTAACCCCGCAGGGCTCAGGTGCTGGGGCTCTGGGCCTAGAACTAGGCTATCACTGACTCTCGGTGGATACACCACTATTTTCCAGGCGGAAATCTGCCGACGAAAGGCAAGTATTTTTAGACTCCAGAGGGGATCCAAGCAGCATGTACCGCGGCTTCAATGCTTGGAAATCGCGCTGCATCGACGCAGAAGGAGCCTATTTTGAAAGTTTTTAAAGAATTGTAACGATTGGCTCAATAAATTTTTTAATCGACTCAGTCCTATTACTTTCCGGACAAACCTTGTAGGTCCAGAAATGCTTCATTTTCAAACTTTTCTTACATATATCTTGATAAACTTTCAGTCGATTTTGTTTAAATTTAGCAGTGGTATTAAGGGGAGTAAGGGGTTAATTCAGCCCCAATTAGATTGAAATTATTAAGTCCAGTGGCGTACCGTAAAACACCCTAAACAATATCTTTGAAAAAAAATGCGTCGCTGACTTTTTTCAATTTTTCTATTATTTAGTCGAATTAAGCTGCTAAAAATACAGCTTGTTTCTTTATCTGGCTTCGTTGAAGCACTTTATTGGATGTCCTGGGCAATAACATAATACAGGGTGGCCCATAAGTCCTTTGAGCTGAAAAAAAAAGGAATAAAACCAAACTAGCTACATTATGAAGAATTATTATATTTTGTTATCACCTTTATTGAATGGGAATTATGTTTTAAAAATCACATCGTCTAAATGCAATCCATTACGATCACGGCACTCATATAAACGACGTCTAAAATTGTCGATGACTGCGCGGCAAGTCAACACTGTAATGCTTGCCATTTCTCTTCGGAAATTTTCTTTCAGGACATCAACTGATCGCGGAGTGGTGTCGTACACTTTACTCTTGAGGTAGCCCCATAAAAAGAAGTCCATTGGGGTCAAGTCTGGACTACGTGGTGGCCAGGAAATGTCTCCTCTTCGAGAAATTACTTTGCTGGGAAAAAGTTGACAGACGACGGGCATAGAAGTGTTGGAGGTGTGGGCAGTTGCTCCGTCCTGTTGAAACCAGGTCTGCGTATTATAGCCTGGAAAATTCTGCAACGCTGGTGTCAAAAACTCTTCTATCATTGCTACATACCGCTCCGAAGTAACAGTTAATGCGCGACCTCTGTCGTCCTCAAAAAAATAAGAGCCTACGATGCCATGCGCTGACATAGCATCCCAAACTGTAACGTTAGGGCTGTGTAAGGGCTTCTGATGCTTACGCCTTGGATTTTCGGGGCTCCAATAACGGCAATTTTGTTTATTTACATGCCCGTTTAAATGGAAGTGAGCCTCGTCCGAGAACAACACATTATTGAGCGAAGAAAATCGATTCAACATTTCATTCGCAAAGTTTAGTCTCTGAATAGCGTCATTATCTTTTAATTCCTGCACTAACTGAATTTTGTAAGCGTGTAGACGTAAATCTTTCCTTAAAATCCACTATAAAGATGTTCTGGGTACGTTTAGTGCACTGGAACGCTTACTAGTAGACTGGGTAGGATTTTGACGAACAGACTGTGCCACAATGTTGATGTTTTCTTCAATACGAGTTGTCCTTGGTCGTCCCCACCGCTGTTTATCTAACGTCGAACCAGTCTCTTCGAACTTAGCAACCCAGTTCTTAATCGTTTGAGCTGTTGGACACTTTGTAAAATTGTGGTATTCTCAATATTTACGCCGCGCAATGGTTTCCGAATCATTATTTTGTTAAAACGCGCGCACACAAAAAGCACGATCCGCTCCAGTGAAACGCTCCATGGCGACTGAATTCCCAGTCACTGAAGATACTGCCCCCACCTCGCCCGCGCCGCTCACGCTCACCCGTTAAATTTTATTCAAATTTGAAATTTCAAAGGACTTATGGACCACCCTGTATAACATTAAAACCACAAAACTAATTAAGCAATATTCGTGCATATTTAAAACTATTTTCGATAAAACAAAATAATCGCATAACGTAATAATTTATATAAGCAATATTTTAAAAGTAACAAAAAAATAAAAGTGACATGAGAGGAAAAAGATTTGCTACTCAAACAAATCTAACTTTGCCAAGACTTACTTAAAGCAGTGCGTAAGTAGTGATCGTACTTATTTGGTGTGTTTTTAAGAGTCCTAAGCTATAAAATTACTAATATCGTAACCGAAAATTGGTGTTGGACATGGGTTTCGAATACGGTATAGTGATTTTCGTCTGCCCACAAATGATTATTGGGGAAATTCTGAATGGCATTTCGAGAAAAATTAGCTTCGTCCGTGAACACAATCATTAATTCAAATTGCGGATTTTGTGTAATTTTTTGAACAGATTTGAATAATCGAGACTTGTCAGATGTCAAAAGCCAGTGACATATTCCAGAGCAACTAGATATTTATTGCTAAATTGCATTCTTCAATTATTACATTAATTTTCTCGGACAATAGAACGGTTTTTATTTTTTTACTCAAAAATGGCGCATCGAAAAAGAATAATTTAAGAGAGATCATTTGTTTTAAATTGAACGGGGAATTCAAAAATAATTTTTATTTGACAAAGAACTATTGGCGTACCATTGTTTTCTTAAAAAATATCGGTCAATACCTGTACGCACGCCACTGTTAAAGTTAAAAACTATTTTTGCATTGAAAAATATGCAACTTTATTAACTTATACTACCTACTAAATCTCAGTTAAATATCTGAAGAGGTTCTGAAAATATTAGTAAATTTCCATTTTTTTTCCTAAAACTTCAACACCCCGAGTTTTTGTAAGGAAACATTTTTGGACCATAGTTTATAAGGCAAACTAACATTAATTTTTCATGAAGATTCACACCCTTAAATATTCGCATATCATTATATAGGGTGACTTCGAAGTTGAGTCATTTATTTTAAAAGTGAGTAGATCTGATCAAAAGAAACGTTTTTTTCCTTTACCATTTTTCTGGTAAAATTAAAGTAACAAAGTTATAGCCCTTTGGAAGTTTGAGTACCGCCCTGTCTCAATAATAATATTATATGCTTGTGTTTGGCAACAACGGATATAATCCGCCTTATCGGTTCATCGCATCGGAAACAAAAAAGCGAAAGAATTTGCAACGATGTTCTTACAATTATTTTATTCAGTTGTATATAGTCAGTGTCAGTCGGTAACGCGTGAGTGAAAGTGGTGTCTGTTGCGTGGCTCAAACGAAATCAAAAATGGCACATGTTTACGAAAATGCTGAACTTGTGGACATGATTCTTATTTACCGTGAATCAGGTGACTTAAGACCTCACAGGGGACCTCACGATCAAATACAGGTCCGCACTGAAATACTTGTCGGGAGGATACTTTATAAAACAAGGCAACATTTTTTTTTATTTTTTTTTTTATTTTTACACATATTTTGGTTTATCTTCCTTCTACAATCATTATCTGATAATTAATGACTCAACTTCAAAGTCACCTTGTAGAATCAAGCAAATATTTTTGATACTTTTTTTCATATTTTTTAACAAGGAATCACCCTCTAGAATATGTTCGTCTGTTTTTCGAACACCTTGTATGCCAAACATTTTGGAATGGATGGTACTTCAGCCTCTTACGCTGGACAGATTCAATAGCTGAAATTGCGTTTTGATAAATTGGCGACCAAATCAGTGCAGCATAATTCCAGTTTACTCCTATAATAAAAGGTGTACATATTATTTTAAGGCTGTTATGGTTATGTAATTAACCGGTTATTTTTGCCCATCCCTAGTTCTTTCCGAGCATATGTCATTTGTGACGGTGACGTGTGGCGATGACGTTTTGACGTTGCGTCATGCGTCGTCCGTATCGTCGTGGCGACCTCTGTGCTCGGTGAACGTGTGTCGTGGAGATTTCAATTTTCGTTCCATTTTTCATCCGTGCATGTATTTTGTGTTTTCCATCTGTAAATCCTCGAAAGATGACGACCCAGCCACCAACTACGCCTGTTCCAAAGCGAGGAATTGTTAAACAAGTAATATTTATTTTATTTATACTTTCACGGCGTTTTTCTGTACATATTTAACGGCGATAGGTATCGGGACGAAAATCTATAACACACTTTTGAATCTTGCTCTGCTGGCATGCTGGATTGGCATATGTAATTTACACTGTAGGTTCTACATGTGAACGTTCTAGATGTATCTCAGCTAGTTCGTAAGGACGTTTAATTCAGTATAGTCATCATTCGATGAATATTCCGCAACTTTAACATCTAGGTTATGGAAGTTGACTTGTGAGTTGGCATGTGTTGGTGACGACCTAAAGTACTATCTGCTTTCAGATTCTCTCAGGAGATTCTGTCATAATCAGGGCAACTGTGGGAGCTCCACCGCCCGAAAAACAAATCAATTTTTCGGGAATTACAGCTCCAAAACTTGTTCGAAGAGGTACAGATGGGTAAGTTATCCATGTTTATATAATTAGTTCATATTTGAGCTTTTTAAAAAACATGAAAGGCTAAACAATCAAGGACAGCTCATACTGAGTCTGTTTATTAGAGATATTTTTATCAGAAATACATACAAACTAGGTAAAAAAGAACAAGAAACTGATTTATTACTATAGACGGTTCTGCCACTCCTCATAGCAGTGTGAACTCCGATACTGGACGAGCCTTCAGCTGGGAAGAGAAAAAAGTCACAAGGACTTGAGTCAGACAAATGAGGAGGCTGAGGAGCCACAAAAACTGTTTTTACTTGTTTATTGACAGTGCTGTTTGACAAGGAGCATCATCGTGATGCAACACCCAGTCGTTCTTGATCTGACGAACGACGAAAATCGATCGAAGACGGCGGTTAAAGTCGAAAAAATGCTAATTTTTCGCGTAATGCCCGAACGATTTCCGCCACTGTTCCATTATTTCTCAAAATATCGCCTCGAGATCGGTCGCCTTAGATAGCTGAATGATAGGCGTTCCGTATTTTCCTGGTACGCTTTTGATCCGTATCTTATTTTTTTCTAGGAATTAAAAAAAAAACAGACATGACAAGTTTTCGTTAAAAAGCCGATAACTTCTCTATGGCAAACAGAAAAGTAATTTCGCATAGCGCATTTTGTACATCTGGACGAATACTATAAATTACTGAGAAAGAGTTTTTTCGTTTGGTGCACCAGTTTCGAATAAAAAGTTATCAAACATTGGAAAATTGGCCTTTTTTTGGGTCTCAAAGGTGCTTCTCGATATTCAATTTCTATCTCCTCCGAAGACAACGGAGCAGTGGACCTAGTGATTTTTGCGTGAGAAAGCCCAGACATTTAGAATGGCATCTTTTTCTATTTCTTTATTCAAAAGTTTCGTTTTTTTAAATTTTTTACAAAATGCTACTTTTCGAAACATGATCCTCTTTGCTTTCAATGTTATCATACTTTCGATTCAAGTTCTGCAAAGTGTTAGAGCGCGTTTTTATGCTCTTGCGACGCTCTTTCACATTTGCTATTCTAATGTTTGTTTTTTTTTTTTAGTTTTTGAGAGAAAATGCAAAATATCGTATTACTATAATTTCAGTTTAACATTACACCACCCCCCATTTCCCTTTTGCAAGGTTCACGACTTCTGTGAGGCGGGGCATTGTAGGTATGAAATTATTACAAAAGTAAACGCGTGTTAGCGGATCTTCTAAAACGTGCCATTTTTGGCTTCATGACGATCGTTTCATACCGAATAGCATCTTCCTTTTTTTGACACGAAAATAAACATGTTGATAATTATTAATGGCCTTTTTGCAGAAAAGAAGTGCATTTTGTAAAATACCATTCAATTTTCCATAAATTTTGTCTCTTAAGGACTTTTTGTCACTTGTTTTGGAGATATTTAGGTTGGAATATTTGAGGTAAATCCCAAAATATTCTTATGAAAAGGTTTAGCCTTCCCTGCCTAGATATTGGAAACACTATACAGGGTGTAAACATCATGATAGTCATTATTGAAATGGGTAATAGGTTAGGTCAAAACAAGTCAAAAAGTTCATATGACTCATGGTCCAAAAGTCAATAGATGTTTGTCTAAATGGATTTATAGTTTACAACTTTAAGTACTTTATATCGACCACAATCACCACAATCTTACAAATTTTTATAATCTTATCTAAAACGTTTTTAAATTGGGTAATTAACAAATAAATGGCATTAAGTTTTTTTCTAAGTTAAGCCAAAAGTTGCAGTCTTTAAATACAAAAAAAGTGCCGTGTGGGTTTTAAAAAAGAAAATCAATGTTTAGGGTTGTCCAATAGGGACGCAGGAAAGTAAACGTCAATTTGACATAGACCCCCTTTGTTTTCTGTCACCGACATGTCATTTTGTTAGTTGAATGTTTACTATTGATCGCTATGGAGTCGTATTCGATTGAAGACCGCATTAAGGTTATTCAAGAGCACTACAAAAATGGTGCAAAAATAAAAAACACGTTTCGCGCGCTTCGTGAACATTTCGGTCGCAACAACCGCCCAAACGAAACAACCATCGGTCGTCTGGTGCGTAAATTCGAGGCAACAGGTTCTGTGGCAAATCTGCCAGGCTCTGGCCGGCCAAGGAGCGTTCGCACACCGGAAAATATTGCTGTTGTGAAGGAGAGTGTGAGAGACGATCCGAAACAATCAACAACGCGTCGACCCCAAGAATTGGGCATTTCGAGAACCAGTTTGCTCCGCATTCTCCACAAGGATTTGAATGTACACGCCTACTCTTGACGCAAGAGCTGCGTCGGGCCGACCATTTTTCGCGCCGAACGTTCTCAGATTGGCTCCTTGAACACCGCCAAATTGATGCGAATTTTTCATCAAAAATCATGTTCAGCGACGAAGCGCATTTCACTTTGAATGGGACGGTAAACAAGCAAAACTGCCGCATCTGGGCGAACGAAAATCCCCGTGAGTATCAAGAGCAGCCGATGCATCCTCAAAAAGTGACTGTGTGGTGTGCATTGTGGTCAAAAGGCATCATCGGACCTTACTTTTTCGAAAATGCGGCCGGGGACGCCGTTACCGTCAATTCCGAGCGATATCACGTGATGATAGAGGACTATTTTTTGCCGCAACTTGAAGGAATGGATATGGACGATGTTTATTTCCAACAAGACGGTGCAACATGCCACACAACCAACGTCAATATCCATCGATTGCAGTCCTTCTTCGGTGATCGCGTGATTTCGCGCAGAGGAAATGTGCCATGGCCACCAAGATCGTGCGATTTGACTCCCTTTTACTTTTTTTTTATGGGGATATTTGAAAAGCAAAGTCTACGTCATCAAACCAGCCACCCTCCAAGAACTCAAAAACAACATCATTGCCGAGATAAATGCCATAGAACCGACCGTGTTGCAAAATGTCATTGAAAATTTCGACCATCGCGTGGACGTCTGTAAATCCAGTCGTGGTGAACTTTTGAGCGATATTATTTTTCATACATAAATGGTATAAATGAACCTTCAAAATAAAGTACCCAACTTGATTTGAATATCAATCTTTCTTGTTTTAATATGCGTTTACGTTCCTGCGTCCCCATATGTATTCAAAATTGTGTTCCCTATTTATAAGTGGATTTTTTTAATACATTCAATAAACTATCAGACACCAGGTGAAGAGCTGAGACAGTTAGTGGTCCATTTTTTTGTTTGCATTTTACGAGTACATTATCAAGTTATGAAATAATACCTAAGAGCCAAAAATAACAAACTCCATCTTTATTTACACTGCGTTCCGTCGTAATTTGCGTGTCTGTGATTGCGGCGTTGTCAGATTTTATTTTACTTTAAAGTCGCTTTTCTCTAAAAAAATGCCGTTTTGACCCCCATGTTATATGAAACTTTTTGCGCTTCTTTTAACCCCCTGTATCACCCATTTAGATAATGACTATCATAACGTTTGCACATGTGAAGAAAGCTACAGCACTTACATTTTTATTGTCCGAACGCTTTTCTTTGTACATTGAAATGGTCAATTTTGTGATCTTTTCTAGTGGAGATGCCACTAAGGATGAGCCATGGGCTTGGGAAGCTAGAGAATTCCTGCGTAAGAAGTTGATTGGAGAAGAGGTGTATTTTACTGCTGAGAAACCACCGAATGCTCAGCGAGAATATGGGACCGTTTTCTTGGGGAAAGGTATCTACTTGTAAACTAACAAATTAATTCTTACTTGTTATAGAATATGTCCCAAAAGAACACACTTTTTTTTACGTTCAAACCTCTGAGAGTGAACAGTGCAAATTCACAAAAACCCTGTGATCGGGACGAATTTGAACACGACTTACATTTTTCTGATAACTTTTATGGCTTGATGTCGACTTCTGGGACACCCGGTATCTAAATTTCTGTGTACCTCTAGATTTTGCTACGGCTGAAAACATCACTGAATCATTGGTATCCGAAGGATTGGTGAGCGTAAGACGCGAAGGCGTGCGACAAACTCCCGAACTGACCCACCTTTGCGAACTCGAAGACGCTGCTAAAGCCGCAGGAAAAGGAAAATGGGGACCAAACCCATTGGTAAGTGATGATAATAGTGAACATCTTTTATTGATTAATCATAAACTGTTCCCCGTATTCCTTGTGTGGTCCAAGGATACGCATTAAGTGGACTGGGTCTATTGCGCCCTATCCATCTATTCGGAAACTCGTTATTTAGATGTTCATCGTCTCGTCTAACATGTAGTGGAGCCCCATCATGTAGAACCACAAATTCTGTCTCACATTCAGAGGAACATCTTCTAATAACACTGATCAACAGCCAAAAAATATCCTAAATAAAATCAACAAAATATTACTATTTTTAATGTGCTAAAACCGGAATGAAACTTATTTTTTCAATATTAGTTCAAGTTTTGGAGATACGGTAATTATATGTGTTCCTTCTGTGACAGTGTTAATATACTGCAATTCACAAGAATGCACGTGCTACATTTTTATATTCGGCAAGGAAAGATGATGTAATCGGCATGATTGTGTTACGTTATACATACGTGTACATTATATTGTTTTATATTAGCCATTTTGACAGCGTTCATGCAAGATGTCTCGAAAGTGTGTAAACAATCCAGATCAGTTTTGTTACGTGTGTGGTGATGTGACTTTTGCGTCTCAGAGACGGTCTATTACTCCACTAATAACAAAGGCATATCGGCTTTATTTCGGTTGTAAACTAGGTGATCAAGACAAACAGTGGGCACCCCACATCTGCTGTAATACATGTGCTTCAAGTCTGAGGAGCTGGTTAAATGGCAAAAAACGGTCTATGCGCTTTGCTGTCCGAATGGTTTGGAGAGGGCCTACAAATCATATTAATGATTGTTACTTTTGCATGGTACCTTGTGTTGGACAAGCCACAGGTATGTCCAAGAAAAAAAAAATCGGTTATTAACTACCCAAACATACCATATGCGATGAGACCTGTGCCTCACAGTGACGAAAATCCTATTCCAAAACCGCCAGAATCCTACACTTGCGAATCGGAAAACGAATCAGATCATGGCGATCGAGTGATTCGTCATGAAGAAGATATGCCATCAACGTCAAGAGATCCTGATTTCATACCGAGCACGTCATGCCACCAACCGCACAAAATAACACAGAATTAAATGATCTTGTAAGAGATTTAGAACTTCCAAAATGTAAGGCAGAGTTACTTGGATCAAGACTGCAGCAGTGGAACTTGTTAGAAGACGATGTTTCGGTATGTGTTTTTCGTAAACGCCACAAAGACTTAGAACCATTTTTCAATATGGAGAATAACTTGGTTTTCTGCAGTAACATTAACGGCTTACTGGCGGCTTTAAATATAAACTATAACCCAGAAGAATGGAGATTGTTTATAGACAGTTCAACATTGAGTTTAAAGGCAGTGTTATTGCATATTGGAAATATTTTGCCATCTCTTCCTGTACCTATTGACATGCATAAAATACGATGAGCACCAATGGCATATTTGTGGCGATTTGAAAGTTGTTGCACTTTTACTTGGGCTGCAGCTAGGCTACACAAAGTTTTGCTGTTTTTTGTGTGAATGGGACAATCGGGCAAAGGCACTTCATTACACCAGACAAAACTGGCCTGTTCGTCAATTCCTAGAGCCAGGTCAAAAAAATGTACAGCATATGTCATTCGTAGATTCGAAAAAAAATTTATTACCACCACTGCATATCAAGTTGGGCCTAATGAAAAACTTTGTCAAGGCATTAGATAGAGATGGGTCAGCTTTTCAATACCTGCGTCAGAAATTTCCAAGACTAAGTGAGGCAAAGGTTAAAGACGGTATTTTTGTTGGGCCACAGATTCGAAATATTTTGAAAGATACACAGTTTGAAAACACTTTAACAGGTATTGAAAAAACTGCTTGGAATGATTTCCGTCTGGTGGTCACTAATTTCTTGGGAAATAGAAAAGCTGACAACTATAAAACCCTTGTCAAAAATATGCTGTCATCGTATCAAAAGATGGGCTGTAATATGTCTCTTAAGATACATTTCCTACACTCACACCTGGACTTTTTTCCTGACAATTGCGGAGCCGTAAGTGATGAGCACGGCGAACGTTTTCATCAGGATATTTCAACAATGGAAAAAAGGTACCAGCGAAAGTGGAATCCTTCCATGCTTGCAGACTACTGTTGGACTCTTGGTAGAGATGCTCCAGAAACGATCCATAAAAGAACAGCAAAAAGACAGCGCATATCGTGATTCTTATAAGTATATGAATCTTGTTACTTTTTTTAATATATCCTTAAAAATAAAAAGTTTTTTTTCTAAACCGCAACTAATTTTTTTATTTCATTGTCATTTTTGGATTCGGCGCCCCAAAATTAACAAAGAAGTGCACTTTTCCCACAAGATACAATTAAAAAACTAAAATTTGTTGTCCAGTGCAATTGTGGCAGATTGTGTCGAAGAAAATCTAAATAACTTTCACCGGTCAGTCGTGTTGGAAAAAAGTAGGGTCCAATAAGCATGCCATTTACCACGCCAGCCCAAAATGAGTTCTTTTTACAGCATGCGGATTTTCGTCTTCGACCATTTCTAGAATGTCTTCCTCAGTTTGTAACCTTCCAGCGTGACCTGTTCGTTGTTCTCTTAAATATCCTGCGTCACGAAGTCTAATAACTAAATTTACAAACATCCGTGCGGCCGGATGATTTCTTAGAGGAGGGTTTAGTACGAATTTTTTTGTTGCAGGAACATGTGCGTGATGTCAAGTGGACAGTGGACAACATGAAGGCGTTCGTGGACAAACACGAGTATCAACCCATAAAAGCAGTCATTGAACATGTACGAGACGGGTCTACCGTACGCGCTTTACTGCTGCCAGACTTCTACAGCATCACTCTAATGATTTCTGGTATACGGGTAAGTTTGGTTTGTCGCAAACCCTACCCTACAAAGGGTACTATGAAAGTTTTGCAATATGACCTAACAAACGGACGCAGGAGGTTGCATTGTTACTGTACGTTGAGACATGAGGATGGACGGTTTTAAAAAAATCATAGAATAGTTAATTTTTACTCGAAAACAAATTTATTGATGGAATCAGGTTCACAAGGAAATAGCATTTGAGACAGTCAAGTGTGGAAAATCACATCGGGCATGTGGTGGCCGAAATCGTTGATGCAGTGCTGGAGGCGCGTGGACTCTCTCCAACATCGCTCTCTCAACTTGGGCGACTTCCACGCGAATTTCGCCCTTCAGTTCGTCCAGAGTTCGGGGCTTGTTGGCGTATACTCTAGCCTTGATGTGTCCCCCTAAGAAAACATCGCATATGGATAAATCTGGGGACCGAGGAGGCCAATGAACATCGCCAAATCTGGAAGTAAGGCGACCGGGGAAGAGAGGGCGAATAACGTCCATGGATGCTCGGGCTGTGTGGGCGGTCGCCCCATCCTGCTGGATCCATATGCAAAATTTGCCTTACCGAACGATCAGTAAGGCGAAGTGCAACAGCATGTTTCCGGGCAGATCGAGTCGGACTGCGAAGAAAGACCTGTCGAACGCGTTCAACATTTTCAGGAGTTCGAACTGTTCGCGGCGCTCCTCTTGGTCTTCCGTTGATCAGTTCACCACGCCTGCGAAGTGATTCGACCCAACGAAGGACGGTGTTTCGAGAGGAAACAGCTCTATTCCGATGAACGTTGAAGTGGCGACGAAACTCACGCTCTACGACGATGACTGACTCATTATTTCGGACGGAACAATCATAGGCGAAAACGCGGTGCTTCACCGTCCAAGGTTCCATAACGACAACTGGTAAAATAATGCTAGGATCTCACAAGTCAACCCCCCCCCCCCCCGACCAATGCTTAGAAGAAATGACGCTTGCATTAAAGAATGATCGTCCTGATCGTACGACTATATTCAGGTGGTACAGAGGATTTCAAAGGGGCAATTTCACTCTGGAGGACGCTGAGAAAAATGCTTGACGAAGACTGGAGAGTGACATACCAACAGATTGCCCCGTGTATTGAATGTGGTGGAAATTACTTTGAACAAAGTCAATAAAAAAAGCTGTATTGCAAAACTTTTACAGTACCCTTTGTATTTTTGTAGAACTGTTGTAAAATTTCATGTAAATGTTACCTTTTTAACTTTTGATCTTGGAACGTGCCGTTTTGTGTATAGTGTCCAGGCTTCAAGTTGGATGACAAAGGAAGACCGGACCCGAACATCAAAGTGGAATATGCCGAGGAAGCGCGTTATTTTGTCGAAGTACGACTTTTACAAAGGGACGTCGAGATCGTCCTGGAATCTGTGAACAACAACAATTTCATCGGTACCATCGTCCACCCTAAAGGAAACATCGCTGAATTGCTGTTGAGAGAAGGATTTGCGAGGTGAATAATCGTGCACAATTATTTCAGCTAAAAACTAGAATCTGAAAAGGCTTCTTTTAAAGCTTAGCTACGACCATTTTACACCGAAGTACAGCCTGCCAAAATTCACCGTTGCTTCCTTAAGTTTTTCGAGCAGAGTATATGTCTGCCAAAGAATATTCATTCTTGATTTTTTTTTATTACATTTTAGATGCGTAGATTGGTCAATAAGGAATGTGCGGTCTGGCGCTGAAACTCTGCGAGCTGCGGAAAGACAAGCAAAAGAGGGCAGAAAACGTCTGTGGAAGGACTACGTGCCATCAACACCGAGGATCACCGGCAAGGAAAGGGAATTCAATGCGACGGTCATGGAAATCAACAACGGCGATGCACTTGTCGTGAAACTGCCTGACGGAAAACTGAAGAAGATCTTCCTTGCCAGCGTACGCCCTCCCAGGTAAATTATCAAACAAAAACTCTTAGGAATAAATGTGTATATGTAATTAGAGAAGAAAAAAGGATATTCTACGATAAACAAATCAAAGTGCGTCAGTGTAAAGATGTGGAAGACTTTAAAAAGACTGATCAATTCGAAGCCGCATGATTGTGTAAATCAAGTTCAATTCGAAAACGGTACCGAAACAAATTCTTTGGTGGTTGCAAACAAACTAAATGAATATTTTGTGGAAAGTATTGTTGATATTGTGGGTACTGCCAATGCTGCACCTGACTATATGAAAATCAGTTTCCAGGGGGAAATGTTGCATAACACTTTCAAAATTTCACAGCGTATCATTGAATTATCTAAGAAAAAAGTAAACAGTTTAAAATCAAATAACAACTGTGCCGAAATCACTACTAAAAACGTGCTGAAAAACTGTTTCGAAATTTCGGGATATCCTGTATTAAATTGGATCAATTGTTCACTGAGAAGCAGTTCTTTTCCTGAATATTTGAAATGCTCTACAATAACACCAGTTCCCAAAATAAAAAATTCTAAAAGATGCAGCGATATGAGACCAGTAAATGTGTTATCAGACATTGAAAAATTATTAGAGTCCATAGTGCATGACCAGTTAATGCAGTTTATAGAAGAAAACAAAATTTTAGTGGAGGCGCAAGCAGGCTTTCGAAAAAAATATTCCACAGAAACAGCTTTCCAGTTGGTAACTGAGAATTGGAGAAGAGCCATAGACTCAGAAGAAGTTGTCATATAGCAGTATTTTTGGATTTGAAGAGGGCATTTGAAACGATTGATAGAGATATTTTGTTAGGTAAATTAAAGGTATAACAGGAAGTGTTTTAGATTGGTTTAGAAATTATTTGTCGAAAAGGATGCAAGTTACAAAAGTTAATGACACTATTTCATCAAAAATTGAAAATACGTTGGGTGTTCCACAGGGCAGTATCCTGGGACCACTTCTTTTTATTTTATACATAAATGATTTACCTGCCATAGTCAGAAAATTCAGATTTTCGCCGATGACACTATGATTTATATAAGTACTAAAAATATTCAGTCTGGTATCTCTTATATAAATGAAGACTTGAAGCTTGTCTCAAAATGATTAGCATCTAACAGACTTAAATTAAATGCAAGTAAAACGAAAGCCGTGTTAATCGGAAAAAACAATGTACAAATGTTCAACTGAATATTGATGGTGAAGATATTGAATTCGTAGAAAATTTTAAATACCTGTGGGTTTTTGTTGACTCTCGATTAATTTTTGATATTCATTATGAAAAAGTTATAAATAAGATTAGTAGTAAAGTGGGATATTTATCGAGAGTTTCTGGATGTCTGAGTTCATATAGCAGAAAGATCTATAATACCATCATTCTTCCAAATTTCTTGTACTGTTCGACTATTCTATATTTAGCAAATAATTCCATTTTTGAAAGACTGCAAATTTTACAAAATAAGTGTATGAGAATAATACTAAATAAAGATAAATATACTCCAATTAGGCAAATGCTTAGCAAATTAAAATGGCTCAATGTAAAAAATTTTATCAAATATCTTGTAATGATATTCATTTATAAAGTAAAAAATAATATATTTCCATCAAGTCTAACTAATTTAACATCATCAAATGTCGACCATCATTTGCATAATACCAGAAGTAAAGATGACTTCCATTTAATGACCCAAAACACCATAACATATGCTACAAATCTGTATTCCATCAAGGGTTGATTGAATATAATAAATTATACTCGGAGATAAAAGACCAGAAAACTTTGACAAAATTTAAAGTAAAATTGAGAAATCACTTGTTAAATCTACAATTATAGGTTGCCCAGCATTTACATCATACACCATATGGCTTGAATTTACTAGTTCTAAGTTGTTTACAATTATTCTGTTTATGTAGCCAAATGTGCTAAATAAATCTTTCTACTACTACTACTACTAAATCTTTTTCGGGCATAATTTTATTCATTACTTTTGAATTTTTTTCCAGAATTGAACTAGGAATACATTGACCTCCTAAAGGAATCCAGACTTCTAATCCTGTAAATACATTATTTCTCTTAACTTCAGGGTTAGCATTAACTTGTGCTCATCATGGATTGATAGAGAATAATTTTAAACCAACCTTGAAAGGTTTAACTTTAACAGTCATATTAGGATTTTACTCTACTTTAACTATAAGCGTATACACATTTTGAAGCCTCATTTACTGTATCAGATTCTGTCGATGGGTCATATTTTTTTTTATGCATACGATTCCACGGTCTCGTGCATTGTCATGGCACCAAACCGTCATTTTTGGCGTGTGCGGCGGTCCTTCACGTAACTGTAACTTTTCATCACACAAACGAGTAATGTCAGCTTATATCTGTTTCAGGGAAGCCGGACGAGGTAATGACGACGATGGCAAGCCTTTACCTAGATCAAAGTCTTTTCGACCCCTTTATGACATTCCGTATATGTTCGAAGCGAGGGAGTATTTGAGGAAAAAGTTGATTGGAAAGAAAGTTCATGTCGTTGTCGATTACATTCAGGCTGCTAGAGATGGATATCCTGAAAAAACTTGCGCTACCGTCACCGTTAACTCAAAGTAAGTAACTCGTATCGGTAAAAAAACTTCTTATAGCGGTTGTTGTTGAAAATTTATTTAGCTTTAATGCTACAATGTCAATTTTGTATAATGATTCGGGTACATATTTTTCTTCAATCCATTTTCTGTAATTTTGATTATTCATAAAGTGATTTTTTAATTTCACCTTAAACATTTTTAAATTCGAACTGTGTTTAATATCATTATTCAATTTATTAAATTCAAATACTCCCTGTTGAAATATAGATTTACTAGTTATGCTACTATTACAATTTTGCAGATGAAAATCTATACTACCTCTAGTTTCGTAGTTATGATAATGACTATTTAATTTTGTCAAGTTCTCTAAATGTGGTGGTAATAAATGATTTTTTAATTTGAATATGAAAACGAGAACTAAATATACTAAGTGACATATAAATTCGAACACCCAGTTTAAATGGTTTTATTTTAATAAAATTTTGTATAAGTACTTAATGAAGCATAATAAGTAAATGATAAAAATTTCAAAATGATTGCACTGCTTTAAAGCCCTTTTACCTTTAATAATGTGTGGATGCACCCTGATGCTTCTGATCAGGTGGTCAATGTCCTCCTGTGCTATCTCATTCCAGGCAACCACTAACTCCTCTCGAAGTGTTTCTAGAGTCTGAGGAGGACGTTGCAAATTGAGCAATCTCCTACCCATCATATCCCATACGTGCTCAATTGGAGATAAGTCGGGAGATCTTGGTGGCCATGGTAACAATGTGACATCGTTATGTTGAAAGAAGTCTATTGTGACTCTTGCAACATGTGGTCGGGCATTATCTTGTTGGACAGTTAGATCTGCCAGGGTGTCAAGATAGGGTAAAAGATGGGGTTCTAGAACTTCGTGGATATAACGCTGCGCGTTCATGTTACCTCTGATGAAGATTAAAGGTGACCTGGAACCATAAGCTATAGCACCCCAAACCATAACTCCAACAGTGTGATGAACATGTCTTTCAACAAAAAACTGTGGATTCCCCCTTTCACCCCGTCGCTTTCTAACCCTGGCACGACCATCGTGCATGCCTAGACAAAATCGAGACTCGTCACTAAAGACAATACTGTTCCATTCCTGATCCCAGAGTGACCGTTGTCTGCACCACTCAAGGCGATTACGTCGGTGTTCTTGAGTTAAAGGGAGGACCCAGTGTGGCCGGTATGAAAACAAGCCAAAACTTCTCATTCGTCGGTAAACACTTCGCATGCCAATAGGTCTTCCGTGTTCTGCAAACCATTCATTTGCAATGGACCTGGTAGTGGAGAAACGGTCCCTTAAGGCCAATAATCATAGGCGGCGATCTTCACGGTCTGTTGTTCTACGGCGGCGTCCAGTGCCCCTTGCTCTTTGCGTACGGCCTTCTCGAAGCCATGCCTGATAACACCTAACCACAGTGTCTACACTTCTTTGCACTCTAACTGCAATTGCCCGAAAAGAAAGTCCAGCTTCCCGAAGTCCCACTATACGGCCCCTATCTACTGACCAAACATGAGTGTTGCGAAAGTTATTCACCCCATTACGCGTGAACGTAGATTCGTCTGTCACCAATATGCACTTCAAAAAGTCCGGATTATTGTCATGTTGATGCAACAACCACTCACAAAACCGCACTCTTGCTGGAAAATCGTCAGGTTGAAGGGCTTGTACACGTTGGACGTGAAACGGATACAGCCCCTCTTCACGCAGCGTTTGCCACGCTTTAGTTTTTGATACTTGCACTTCTCTAGCCACGTCTCTAGTGCTTGTTGTTTTTTGAAACGCAATCGATTATACCGGTTCGTTTACCTCTACTGACTGTAACGTCGGTTGAAGGTTGCATACTGACCTGACACACTGACCCCGACCCAGTTCTGTCGTCGGGTTGAGCTAGTGTCCTTTTACCACTCGGGCATGTCGCGGCTACAGGACGGTATTCAGATATTTTTGATGTTGCAGAGCCCTTTATCTCGGTTCCCTTAAGACATTGGTGTATATGGTACTAAGAAAAATTGCTTATGTTTTCAAGATCTACACGTCGTGTAAAGGAAAACCCTGTATTTCCCACTTCGAAATATATCCATGAGTGATCACTTATCTTTGGGGTATGCTTAACTTCAGTAATTAGATTTTGTTCATTAGTTATGAGCAAATCTATATTTGTTTTGGAAAAGTTCGTAATCCTTGTATAGTCATTTATTTTCTGCCATAATCCATTTAAGTTTAGTACTTGCTTAGATTTTGTAACAGAAATCTTTACTGTCAAAATTTATATTGAAGTCTCCTAAATGTACAATTTGTGCAATTCCTGTAATAATGCTTTTCGCAATTATACTTTCAAAAAATTCAATAAATCGATTGACGCTTCCACTTGGAGATTGGTAATAAATATACATTTTTTTGTATCCTTATTTCCAGATTGATGTACCACCACTGATATTCAACATCTTCAATGTTCTGTACTTTGACTTCAGTGCTATACAGGGTGTCCGCAAAGTTGGGGTTTTCCTTTACACGACGTGTAGATCTTGAAAACATAAGCGATTTTTCTTAGTAGCATATACACCAATGTCTTAAGGGAACCGAGATAAAGGGCTCTGCAACATCAAACATATCTGAATACCGTCCTGTAGCCGCGACATCAGAGACTGGTACAAGGTCACTGGCTCAACCCGACGACAGAACTGGGTCGGGGTCAGTGTGTGAGGTCAGTATGCAACCTTCAACCGACGGTTACGGTCACGCGTGTAGAGGTAATCGCGTAGACGAGAATCCCTCAACAAGCACTAGAGACGTGGCTAGAGAAGTGCAAGTATCAAAAACTAAAGTGTTGCAAACGCTGCGTGAAGATGGGCTGTATCCGTTTCACGTCCAACGTGTACAAGCCCTTCAACCTGACGATGTTCCAGCAAGAGTGCGGTTTTGTGAGTGGTTGTTGCATCAACATGACAATAATCCGGACTTTTTGAAGTGCATATTGGTGACAGACGAATCTACGTTCACGCATAATGGGGTGAATAACATTCGCAACACTCATGTTTGGTCAGTAGGAAATCCGCACGCTGTCCGTCGGGCATATTTTCAACAAACATTTTCGGTGAATGTTTGGGCTGGTATGCTCATTGGACCATTTATTCTCCCAAATCGATTGGACGGGATGCAATACCTAGACTTTTTACGCAACATTTTGCCTTCCTTGTTTGCCTGCGTCTGCTCGGTAGCGCATCAGCTGATTTCATTTTCTGTTGGAGCGGTATGATTTCGGGCAGAGACGTACTTAGCCCTTCTCGTCAACTGGAGAGTGAGTACTTTTTCCTTTATTTTTTTTTTTACTTGGTCGCCCTCGTTTCACTACACATTACCTTCGTTATTTCAAGGGTAGTTGTTTCTGAAAAGGAAAACCCCACCTTTGCGGACACCCTGTATAGCTTAGAGCGTGTTTTGTTTGCAATTGCTATGATCTGTCTCCATAGCAAGCTTTATTTTTTCAGGAATGTTGCCGAAGCGCTAGTTTCTAAAGGACTGGCGACCGTCGTGAAATATAGGCAGGATGACGATCAACGCAGCTCACGATACGACGATTTGTTAACCGCTGAAAATAAAGCGATGAAGTCTCTGCTGGGTCTTCACTCGAAGAAAGATGCTCCTCCTCTGCGCGTCACCGAAATCGTACGTTTTAAATATCCGTGTTCTCATCAGATGGAAAAACTGACTTATTTTTTTCTTAGGATTCATCGAGAGCAAAATTAGAATTACCCTCGTTACAAAGGGCGCAACGGATTGACGCTATTGTCGAGTTTGTGACCAGCGGATCGAGGTTGAGATTGTACATTCCTAAATCTAACAGCTTGTGCACTTTCCTTTTGGGTGAGTTATCGATTTTTTTTTGTTTCCAGCTTTTCCATCTTTCATCATCATAGTTACTATACAAACTAATTCAAAGCAATGGTGATATTTCTGCAGCAGAAATGTAAATGGGCCCATTTACGAAATGGTAACATCCGAAAATACAATCTCTATAGAGATCCGATTCATGGGGAACGAACGAACGCAGCATTTTCCTAATTTAACCTGAGCTATTGAGATCCCCATGAATAGGATCCTTACCCTGTATAAGTAAAATTCAATAATAAAATGTCTGTCAGAAATACATGTGTTTTCTGTAATTGAGTTAGCGAAATGTACAGCGCGTTTACTTTTTTTACGTTCGATATCGGCGTAGATCTGTTACACGTTTGTTTCTTATTTCAGGAGGAATAAACTGTCCGCGAGCTAGCCGCCAAGATACAGGGGCAGCTGGTGATCCTTTCGGCGACGAGGCGCTTGCATTTACAAAAGAAAAATGTATGCAACGCGAAGTTTCCATTCAGGTTGACACGCACGACAAAGCCGGCAACTTTATCGGCTGGTTGTGGGTCGATAACGTTAACATGTCGGTACGTATTATCGTTTCGAATTGAATGCCTTGTTATAAGTAAGTTGATTGGGTTGTGAATAAATCTGGAGCTTTTTGAGTACCTCGAACGTCAAGACTTTATTAGCAACAGGCAGTATGCTTCCGTAAATTCATCGAGTCTTATGGCGAGGCACACGCTGTGCCACGCTGCCCTCGTATGCAAACTTTTCTTCCCGTTTCCCAATTTCTTTATTATCTTCGTTGTATCCGAGAAAATGGTGGATTGCTTCAGTAACATTTATCGATTTCGTTAGGTCGCTTTAGTGAACGAGGGATTTGCTTCTGTGCACTTTACTGGGGAAAAATCGCAATATGCTCAACAACTGAAAAGTGCCGAAGAAAGCGCGAAATCTCAAAAATTGAGGATATGGAAGAACTGCGTGGAAGAAGAGAAGGTCGAGAAAAAGGAAGAAGAAAAAGTGGTGAGTTTATTTGACGTTTGAATTTTTACTATCTCCTTATTTTTTTAATAATTCATTGGGGTCCGCCTATCACTAACATTCATCAGACGGATTATAGAAATTATCTACTACAAAGGATACTATAAAAGTTTTGCAATATGACTCTTTGTACATGTATAAGATAATTCTTATCTCATCACATTTTTCCCGATGGTTCAATTGCAATTTAGACAGGGTGTTTCAGAAAGACGTGCCAATATTTCTATTGTAGAAAGTAAAGGGTTGTCCAATAGGGACGCAGGAAAGTAAACGTCAATTTGACATAGACGGCATCTTTGTTTTCTGTCACCGACATGTCATTTTGTTAGTTGAATGTTTACCATTGATCGCTATGGAGTCGTATTCGATTGAAGACCGCATTAAAGTTATTCAAGAGCACTACAAAAATGGTGCAAAAATAAAAAACACGTTTCGCGCGCTTCGTGAACATTTCGGTCGCAACAACCGCCCAAACGAAACAACCATCGGTCGTCTGGTGCGTAAATTCGAGGCAACAGGTTGTATGGTAAATCTGCCAGGCTCTGGCCGGCCAAGGAGCGTTCGCACACCGGAAAATATTGCTGTTGTGAAGGAGAGTGTGAGAGACGATCCGAAACAATCAACAACGCGTCGATCCCAAGAATTGGGCATTTCGAGAACCAGTTTGCTCCGCATTCTCCACAAGGATTTGAATGTACACGCCTACAAGATCCAATTGACGCAAGAGCTGCGTCGGGCCGACCATTTTTCGCGCCGAACGTTCTCAGATTGGCTCCTTGAACACCGCCAAATTGATGCCAATTTTTCATCAAAAATCATATTCAGCGACGAAGCGCATTTCACTTTGAATGCGACGGTAAACAAGAAAAACTGCCGCATCTGGGCGAACGAAAATCCAGCCGATGCATCCTCAAAGAGTGACTGTGTGGTGTGCATTGTGGTCAAAAGGCATCATCGGACCTTACTTTTTCGAAAATGCGGCCGGGGACGCCGTTACCGTCAATTCTGAGCGATATCACGTGATGATAGAGGACTATTTTTTGCCGCAACTTGAAGGAATGGATATGGACGATGTTTATTTCCAACAAGACGGCGCAACATGCCACACAACCAACGTCAATATCCATCGATTGCAGTCCTTCTTCGGTGATCGCGTGATCTCGCGCAGAGGAAATGTGCCATGGCCACCAAGATCGTGCGATTTGACTCCCTTGGACTTCTTTTTATGGGGATATTTGAAAAGCAAAGTCTACGTCAACAAACCAGCCACCCTCCAAGAACTCAAAATCAACATCATTGCCGAGATAAATGCTATAGAACCGACCATGTTGCAAAATGTCATTGAAAATTTCGACCATCGCGTGGACGTCTGTAAATCCAGTCGTGGTGAACATTTCAGCGATATTATTTTTCATACATAAATGGTATGAATGAACCTTCAAAATAAAGTACCCAACTTGATTTGAATATCAATATTTCTTGTTTTAATATACGTTTACTTTTCCAAAAATAACAAAAAAAGTTCCTATAAATATGGGTCGAACATTCAAACCTAAATATCTCCAAAACGAATGATCTGTCTCCTTTAGAAAAAATGATGTCTGGGTGAGTTTTTGATAACCCCTTCTACGGGTAGGACACTATTAACTGTGCAAACACTTTTTACCTCACCAAAAAAGCGATAGAAGAAAGTGAAGTCGATGTAAGATTACAATTAATTGTGTCTCCATTTAAATTAAGAAATGTGTGTTATTAAAAAAACTATACGGGTGTAAACGTTATGATAGTCGTTATTTAAATGGGTGATAGAGGGGGTATAACATGGGGGTCAAAACGGCATTTTTTCAGAGAAAAGCGACTTTAAAGTCTCTGGGTCCTCGAAGTTGTCCATTTATTATTTCAGCCGCATTAAATTTTTTTCGCGAAGTTGTGCTTCAGTTGTTATTGGACCAGCCCCATAAACCATCCCTTTAAGTTCTCCCCAATACCAGAAATCCATCGGATTGGGGTCAGGAGATCTTGCTGGCCATTTTCGAGGATCAGGAGCATTTCGACCGATCCAGCGATTTGGATAATGTTCATTCAAATACAGAATGACTCCGCGAAAAATGTGTGGTGGTGCCCCGTCATGAAGAAACCCGTTGTAATGACATGTTGTCTAAGGTCTGTTCCAAAATTTCTGGTAGGTTATTGGCTAGAAAGCTAAGGTATCCTTCTCCTGACAACTTTGTGGGTAACTAGAAAGGGCCAATTACCTGATCGTCAAGAATACCCGCACAAACATTTATTTTACATTTACATTCGTCCGTCGCTAGAATGTTTTTAAAAAAATCCGGATTTTCAATGTTTTTGTCCAAAAACCTCTGACAGAATGTTAGTTTACGAGGATAGTCTTCTGGTAACAAGACCTGCACTTGTTGTACATGGTATTTTTCCCGTAGGATTCTATGGACTATGGTATGCGATAGTCCTACGCGGCGGCCTAATTCCCGAGTGCTGATATCTGCATTGATTTCCACGATATTTAAAATTCGTTCCTCCTGCTCTACAGTAACCTGTCTTTCACGAGTGCGAATATTAGTGAACACGTCCTGTATCTCTAAGTCTTTGGTACACTTGCACAAATGTCCTTCTGCCTGGGTGTACACGTTGGCGAAATCTGCCGCGATAAATTTGAGCTACAAGATTTGAATTCTGACGAGCTTTACCGTAAACTAACATGTCGGCGAACTCTTGATTCGAGAACATTGTAAATAAACACGAAGACGTACGTGAACAAAAACAAAACAACATACTAACCGCTGTTACCGTTTGGGATCGATTGCCGGTTCGATAAGAGTGATGAAAGACCGACGCGCTGTTGCCATGTGTGTTTTAATTATTTAATTAATGAAACTTCCTGACTACAAATTTTGGCTTAACTTGAAAAAAGTTAATGCCATTTATTTGTTAATTACCCAAGTTAAAAACGTTTTAGATTAGATTATAAAAATTAGTAAGATTGTGGTCTATATAAAGTTGTAAACTATAAAGCGATTTAGACAAAAATCTACTGACTTTTGGACCGTGGGTCATATGAACCTTTTGACTTGTTCTGACCCCCCCTTTTACCCATTCCAATAATGACTCCCATAACGTTTACACCGTGTATATTTTCCTAGCCCACAGATCGACAGATCAACTACGAAGAGGTCGTCGTCACTGAAATAACGCCAGAAGCGCATTTCTATGCCCAACTTGTGCAAGACGGTGCCAAAGCGGAGGCTTTATCGGCTAAGCTGCGTCAAGAATTCGATGCAAACCCGCCTTTGCCGTGCTCGTATAACCCGAAAAAGGGAGACCTTTGCGCTGCCAAGTTCACCGTCGACGACGTATGGTACCGCGCTAAAGTCGAGAAAGTCCAAGGTAAGCTTATTAGTTATACGAAAATATATTCGCAAATGAAATAAATTTCAGCAACTATTCAAAATGAATTTCTTCGTATGTCTTTTAAATTCGTCATATGTTAGTAATTTTGTGTTACTGTCAAAAATAACTGCGTTGGAGGTGAAGTACTCACGAAAGAATGACGAAGTTTTTGGCCGATTCAATTACTTGTACATTAAGTGTATGTTAAAATTTCTTTCAGCATCGGTTCTAAACAGTTTCGGTGAAAAAAAATAATGACCTACGATTTTGAAGGACTCAACTGAAGGTTATGATACTTTGCATACAAACTAATAGATTTTATATCACCATTTACCTCAGATTCAGTACTTTTAACGTTGTGATTATGGAAATGAGTGTAGATCCGTGAATCGTCGGCGAAGAATTGGATTATGCGATATTTAATGGCTGCATGTAAGTCAGAAATATGCAAAATGATTGGATTGGACCCTTGGGGCGCTCCGGAAGGAATGAGGCACTTTGGAGACAAAACCGTGTCAATGCGTTATCTTTGATATCGATTTCCGAAGAAGCTCTGAATCATATCGGAGGAAGAATCAGAAAAACCAAAATACGAGGGATGTCTTTTAAGTTTTACATATAGAAACATAGTAGGCCGCGCGGATCGAACGTCAGTATCGAATCTTAACCTCACTCTTTAGTCAACTTAAATTCAAAGTTTCACAACAATACGTGTTCTCACTGCAGTGCATTTTTAAATGTCACCAAGTCATTAGAAAAATGGAACTCAACCGAGAACATTTTGGCGCCATAATTTATTACAACTTTCAAAGACAATTATCGCAAAGGAATGCCTTGCTGAGTTACTGTCTGTTTTCGGCGACGAATCGCCACATCAGTTGACAATTTCTCGTTGGTATGGAGAATTCAAACGTGAACGGGTGAGTCTTAGCGACGATCCCAGGGTGGGTGCACCTAAAACGGCAGTCACCCAGGAAAACGTCGATGCTGTGCGCAAACTCATCATTGAAGATAGACATGTGACATATCGCGAGATTGAGGCCTCCTTGAAGACCTCAAAGACCTCAATTCAAAAAAATTTACATGAAGAATTAGGAGTAAGAAAATTAGTTTCTCGTTGGATACCCCACCTGTTGACTGAAGAGCAGAAAGCAGCCAAGGTTAATTGGTGTGAAAAAACGCTTGACCGTTTCAACTCCGGAAACTCAAAAAACGTGTACAGCATTGTTAGTGGTGCTGAATCGTGGATTTACTGTTATGAACCAGAAAATAAACGTCAGTCGGCTGTTTGAGTGTTCCAAGGTGAAGAAAAGCCAACAAAAGTCATCCGTTCTCGAAGTGTTTCGAAAAAGATGGTCGCGACATTTGTGTCAAAAGCGGGTCATATTGCAACAATTCCTCTTAATGAGCAAAGAACTGTTACTGCGGATTGGGATACCACCATTTGTTTGCCAAAAGTCATCACCGAGCTTTGAAAAATCAACCCCGAAAAAAGAATCATCCTCCATCAAGACTTTGCAAACTCGCACACAGCCCAGAAAACAAGGCAGTATTTAACGGAAGAAAACGTGGAATTATTGGACCATCCTCCATATAGTCCCGATCTAAGTCCTAACGATTTCTTTACTTTCCCGAAAATTAAAAACAGACTGCGTGGTCAAAGGTTCCAGTCACCAGAAGAAGCAGTTGACGCATTCAAAAATGCCGTTTTGGATCTGCCAGCATAGGAGTGGAATAAGTGCTTCGAAAATTGGTTCGAGCGCATGCAGATGTGTATTAATCTTCTTGGAGAATACTTCGAAAAACAATAAAGTCATTTAAAACTACCTACCGTGTTGTTTTGATTCGATATGCAAAACTTAAAAGACATCCCTCGTACCTTTTTTAAATCGTATGCGACATTCCATTGTAGCTCGAAAGATTTTGTTTATTTTCAATGTCGCATACAACTGTGTATAATTTCATTTAAGTTGGTTAAATTGCTCACAGTTCATTCCAAAATTACACTGGACAACAAATTTTAGTTTTTTAATTGTATCTTGTGGGAAAAGTGCACTTCTTTGTTAATCTTGGGGCGCTGAATCCAAAAATGACAATGAAATAAAAAAAATAGTTGCGATTTAGAAAAAAAACTTTTTATTTTTGAGGATATATTAAAAAAAGTAACAAGATTCATATACTTATAAGAATCACTATATGCGCTGTCTTTTTGCTGTTCTTTTATGGATCGTTTCTGGAGCATCTCTACCAAGCGTCCAACAGTAGTCTGCAAGCATGGAAGGATTCCACTTTCCCTGGTACCTTTTTCCGTTGTTGAAATATCCCGATGAAAACGTTCGCCGTGCTCATCACTTACGGCTCCGCAATTGTCAGGAAAAAAGTCCAGGTGTGCGTGTAGGAAATGTATCTTAAGAGACATATTACAGCCCATCTTTTGATACGATGACAGCATATTTTTGACAAGGGTTTTATAGTTGTCAGCTTTTCTATTTCCCAAGAAATTAGTGACCACCAGACGGAAATCATTCCAAGCAGTTTTTTCAATACATGTTAAAGTGTTTTCAGACTGTGTATCTTTCAAAATATTTCGAATCTGTGGCCCAACAAAAATACCTTCTTTAACCTTTGCCTCACTTAGTCTTGGAAATTTCTAACGCAGGTATTGAAAAGCTGATCCATCTCTATCTAATGCCTTGACAAAGTTTTTCATTAGGCCCAACTTGATATGCAGTGGTGGTAATAAAAATTTTTTCGAATCTACTAATGGCATATGCTGTACATTTTTTTGACCTGGCTCTAGTGTAACACTTCCTTTCCGCAAAAAGTCCAGAAAAGATGGAATGCAATGAAGATTCCAACTTTTCTGCACAATCACAGAAAGGGGGTTACCATTAGCTTCCGGTAGCTCAGTCGGTGGCATGAAGACATCTACAGGCGTGTAGCTGTGTGTCGACCATGGCATGGCTAGAGGATAGAAGAACAAACAGAACACAAAAATTTAACAGATTTTATTTAACAAAAAAAAGCATTTTCATTACATTACAATTTTACAAAAATAACAAAAGTTTTACATCTTTGGCGCTGCTATAACGCTATCGACTTATCTTTCGCTGGTCCATTTTTACTCGACTGAAGCCAGGATGGCCAGGGGCTTGAAGGGAAGGTCCCAGTTATGAGGGGTGACCTCCATATAGTGGCTTCACAACCAGTTGTAGGCGAAGTTAAAGGCGATGGCGCTGCCAAGGTACATGCATGGGTGAAAATATTGGCCAAGGCTAGGCAAAGTGAAAGGGAAAGAGAAAGGGGGTGGCCCCAATCATTTTTGTCCTATACGGACACACATTCTAGAAAATTCTAGCACATGGTGCTATATAACCTTGTGCTACTGAGAAGAAATTTCTAGCCGTTGTTCGATCGGCGGCTCAGGTGAAAAAGAAGCGCGAGGAAGATCGCAGATCAGGAACTCCGCATCAAGCGCTCCAAGCGGAAAATTTTCCAAGCAAAAAAGCTAGAGATGGGATTAATGAAATGATAATCGAGAAGTGATTTAATAATTACGATCGGACGGTGAAACCGTTACACTAGGAATTGACGAACAGGCCAGTTTTGTCTGGTGTAATGAAGTGCCTTTGCTCGACTGTCCCATTCACACAAAAAACAGCAAAACTTTGTGTAGCCTAGCTGCAGCCCAAGTAAAAGTGCAACAACTTTCAAATCGCCACAAATATGCCATTGGTGCTCATCGTATTTTATGCATGTCAATAGGTACTTCATATTGTCATATGATTCTTTCATATGAACTGCATACCCTACAGGAAGAGATGGTAAAATATTTCCAATATGCAATAACACTGCCTTTAAACTCAATGTTGAACTGTCCATAAACAATCTCCATTCTTCTGGGTTATAGTTTATATTTAAAGCCGCCAGTAAGCCGTTAATGTTACTGCAAAAAATCAAGTTATTCTCCATATTGAAAAATGGTTCTAAGTCTTTGTGGCGTTTACGAAAAACACATACCGAAACATCGTCTTCTAACAAGTTCCACTGCTGCAGTCTTGATCCAAGTAACTCTGTCTTACATTTTGGAAGTTCTAAATCTCTTACAAGATCATTTAATTCTGACTGTGTTATTTTGTGCGGTTGGTGGCATGACGTGCTCGGTATAAAATCAGGATCTCTTGACGTTGATGGCATATCTTCTTCTTGACCAATCACTCGATCGCCATGATCTGATTTGTTTTCTGATTCGCAAGTGTAGGATTCTGGCGGTTTTGGAATAGGATTTTCGTCACTGTGAGGCACAGGTCTCATCGCAGATGGTATGTTTGGGTAGTTAATAACCGATTTTTTTTCTTGGTCATACCTGTGGCTTGTCCAACACAAGGTACCATGCAAAAGTAATAATCATTAATATGATTTGTAGGCTCTCTCCAAACCATTGGGACAGCAAAACGCATAGACCGTTTTTTGCCATTTAACCAGCTCTTCAGACTTGAAGCACATGTATTACAGCAGATGTGGGGTGCCCACTGTTTATCTTGATCACCTAGTTTACAACCGAAATAAAGCTGATATGCTTTTGTTATTAGTGGAGTAATGGACCGTCGCTGAGACGCAAAAGTTACATCACCACACACGTAACAAAACTGATCTGGATTGTTTACACACTTTCGAGACATCTTGCATGAACTTTGTCAGCCAACTGAGGAAAAAATGGCTAATATAAAACAATATAATGTACACGTATGTATAACGTAACACAATCATGCCGATTACATCATCTTTCCTTGCCGAATATAAAAATGTAGCACGTGCATTCTTGTCAATTACAGTATATTAACACTGTCGCAGCAGGAACACATATAATTACCGTATCTTTAAAACTTGAACTAATATTGAAAAAATAAGTTTCATTCCGGTTTTAGCACATTAAAAATAGTAATATTTTGTTGATTTTATTTAGGATATTTTTTGGCTGTTGATCAGTGTTATCAAAGTAGCTGAACTCACTGAAAAGGTTGGCGACCACTGATGTACACTATAGCTGGAAGGGAACGGCAGTGCCTAGTGAGGATTTGTGTGCTTATAATCTGTGTTAATGATAATTCCATTGGTTTCTTGGCCCAAAAACACTACCTTGAGACGTATGCAAAGCTAGAAATTAGTTGCGCATCCACTTTTCTTATGCAACATAGAAATTGATTGTCACCTTATTATCTACCAGGAGGTCAAGCTACAGTACACTACATCGACTACGGTAACAGAGAGACTCTTCCTTCGAGCCGTCTTGCCAGCCTACCTGCCGCTTACGCTTCGGACAAGCCGTTCGCGACCGAGTACATCCTGCCTTACGTGACCCTGCCCAAGGATGACGAATATGCGGCGATGGCGCTGAAATATTTGAAGGTATCACATCAGATTCGTTGTTACTAGCATAAAGCGATATCTTCTTTGGACGGACACCAACGGGACCGACCGAAAGTGTGCGTGTAAAAATAAATACAACAAACATTCTTGCAAGCACTCTGTCTTGTCATCCAAGCTTTCTTATTGCATTTCCAAGTTACACGATTGAGAAATGCAGCAGCGATACTCTCAACAGAAAATAAATAAGCGTTTCTTTTCATTTTTCTCGTGTTGGCGTCCGTTCAAAAAAATATCCGTCGAAGAGAGTCAGTCCAGTGCAAATTGTATGAGATTCGAGGTGTCCACGAATGGGAATTTCACTGTACAGTGGACCGCCGATAATCCGGCCGCTGTCTTTGAATATGTATTACATACATACGTATTTGACAATCTTCGCTAATGTAGATCACGCAGGTTTGAACAGGTTACAATTTGTACGCGGCACCGTTATCGTGCCCGACGCGTAAGCATTGTTTTACTTAGTTTGAATTTGACTACTTGTGGTAGCGGTACGGCCTAGCGTGCGTTCATTGTTTACTATTTATTCATTGTGTATTAAGTATAGTATCTAGTAATGTCATCACAAACTCAGAAGCGAAAGCACAAAACATTGACAATTAGAGAAAAATGTGATATTTTAGACCGCTTAAATCGCAATGAAACTTTCAGTAGTTTAGCAAGTGAATACGGCGTAGGCCGATCTACAATGTATGACATTAAAAGAAACCACGAGAAGATCAAGAAGTTCGTGTCGACTACTGACTGCGGGCCGCGCAAGAGACAGACACTCAAGAAAGTTGAACATCCAGAAGTGGAAGAAGCTTTGTACATGTGGTTTCTTCAGGAAAGAAATAGGCATGCACCAATTTCAGGACCCATGTTGGCCATGAAAGCTAAGTTTTCTTATATGGAAATAACAAAAAAAGATGATTATGTGGCCAGCAAAAGATGGCTAGAACGTTTTAAAAGTCGTCATGGCATACGTTTAATGACTATTACAGGAGAGAAACTTTCTAACGATGCCACCTGCATAGAGCTCTTTAAATTAATATATTTGCAAAAGGTGAACGATTTAAATCTTGACCCGTCACAGCTGTACAATGCAGACAAATCAGGGCTTTTTTGGCGTGTGATGCCTAACAAAACTTTCATTTCTTGTAACGAAACATCCGTACCTGGACGAAAATTAAGTAAAGAGCGTGTAACCATACTACCATGTGCTAACGGTGCGCTTAAGATGATGGTCATTGGGAAATCTAATAAACCACGGGCATTCAAAAACATTGATTTACCTGTACACTATTACGCACAAAAAAGTGCATGGATGACAAAAGACCTTTTCAAAAAGTGGTTTGATGAATGCTTCGTACCTGAATTTAGAAAATGGTTAAAAGATCATAACTTTCCTCAAAAAGCGTTGTTGCTTCTTGATAACGCTCCCGGTCATCCGTCTGAAGAAGAACTAACAACTGAGGATAAATGCATCACTGCGATGTTTCTTCCGCCAAATTGCACTGCACTGATTCAACCAATGGACCAGAATATCATTCAGTTTGTCAAGCAAGACTATAAGAAAAACCTACTTCAGAGAGCCGTATCAAAAGACCAACCAATAGAAAAAACTTTAAAAGAATTTAATATGAAAGACTTGGTTTTTGCTCTTTGTCAGTCGTGGAATGCGTTACCGTCATCAACTATTAAATCGTCTTGGAAAAAGTTATGGCCAGATACAGTCACCACTCCTAGCAACGTTCCACAAATCAGTGTTACTTCGGAAGTTATAGAACAAGTCGCTACTGAAACACAGATAAGTCCGGAAGATTTGGAAATCTGGTGCCGTGGAATGAATAAAGAGGAAAATGTTTTTCATGAAATGTCTGACGAAGAGATTATAAAAGAGGTTTCTAATTTTACAACAAACAATCAGGAAAATAACGACGACGTGATTGCAACTGCTCCACAAGTCACAGCACAAGACGCAATTAACGCCTTTGAGCTAGTTTTAAAATGGACTGAAGAGACTGGTACATCATACAACGAACTTTTACTTTTGAGAAGACTGAGGGACAAAGCTCTGATCTCGCGTTATAACAACCTTAAACAAAAAAAAAAAATGATAAATATTTCCAAGCTCCATAATTTGATAAATTCATTAATGATTTTGATTAATAATTCTTGATTATTTTGGTACATATGTATGTGCATCTATGCTTAATTTTATAATAAAACGTAAGCTCTCTATTGTTATATAATTTACTAAATTCGACGTACATAAACGATGTATGATTTGTACTTCAAAGTACATACATATACATAACATATAATCTTACCATTGGATATGTAATTTGTCGGATTACAAGGTACTTTTTTGTAAAAAATTCCGGACTATAGGGGGTCTTAGGCAGTGCTCTATAATCCTACAAATTCGATAGTCCGACACTGCCCTGCATAATGTTTGTCGGATTACCGGAGGTCCATTGGCAGCATATTCAGTAATTATTTTCTCACACAGCAAATATCACTGATTTTATACACATGCAGACCAATACACATAATCATCCAGATGAGATAGAAACTACAGATAAGGACCATTTGCCCTCACAAAACATATGCAACCAATAATGCGTGTAGTTTAGTTGAGTGATTCCTCATTAGATGGACGTTCACAACGATCCTAGTGAGCAAAGGTGGAATGACTGTTTGCGCCCTAAAAACTACCTAGTTTGCTAGATGACATCTTATAGGTTTTTTACATGATACCCCTACGGGCAAAAACAGCGTACTCGAAGCGTCCTTGATTCTATTTTTTTTTATTTTAAATATCTCATTAAAGTTTTTCTGTTATCAGGACGACACTGCGGTACCTATACTTCTGCTGAACGTCGAGTATCGCGTCCCCGGATCCCCTCCAGCTGCATCGCTGCACACCGACAAAATCACCGAGGCAGATCTCGTACGGAACCTTATCCAGGAGGGTCTGCTTATTGTTGAAAATGTCAAGGGCAGGCGGCAAAATAAACTGGTAAGTGGATTCTTATTACGTTCGTTATTGCGTTTGAGCGTATGCATAAAATACAAAATTGGGTAACTATTACACCGCGGAATTTACCAAAAAAGGTTTTTTGGATATTTTCAGCTGGAGAGTTATAAAGAAGCTCAAGAACAAGCTAAAAGGGAGCACGTGAACATCTGGGAGTATGGCGATATCACTGAAGACGATGCTAAAGAATTTGGGCTTGGTAACTGAGTGTAAGTACTTTTGCTTTATCAGTCACGTTTGTACAGCAAGGTGGACTTTATTCTGAATTTTTGTACTATAGTTAGGCCCGATTTTACTATACATTCGCGGTATGTTAGAACGTTAATCTCCTGTAAGTAAAATCGGGCCTTAATGTGTCGAAAAAAAAAAAACAAAGAGAGTTTGTTATTTGTCTGTTTTAGATTTATTTAGCATTAATGCTACAATGTCCATAATATCCATATCACACAGTATATCACAAAGTATTTTATGTCTTCAATTTCCCTTTGAACATTTCCAAACTGACACACATCTTGATATCATTACTTAATTTATTAAATTCGTACAATCCCTTTTGAAATACTGACTTTCTCGATATATTGCTACCGCAGTTTTGTAAATGAAAGTCTATACTTCCTCTAGTAGAATAATTTTGACACTCATCGTTCAATACAATAAAATTTATAAGTGATTTTGTAGAAGATGATTTTTTAACTTGAATATGAAAATGAAACCAAGTAGACTATGGAATTTTTGATATTTAGCCATTGTGTAGTTCTTTCAGCATAAAATTTATTCTAGCATATTTATTTTTATTTAAGATGATTCTCGTAGCTTTATTTTGTAATATTTGTAATTTTGAAAATACAGTTTCATTTGCAGTGAACAAAATAGTCAAACAATATAACAAATGAGGAAGAAAGTGTTGTACACAGTTTTTTTTAGAATAAGGCTATGCGAAATTCTATAAAAGTAATTTATTTTCTTGAAAATTTTTGAAATAATATATTCATAATGCCCTTCAAATTTTAATTTACTGTCTACGTATATACCCAAATATTTAAATGATTCGATTGACACAATTTTTTCATGATTAATTGTAAGATTTATCGTAATGGACCTAATTTGCCACCCTGTGGCACACCTACCGTAATGTTTTTAATGTTTGATAATGTATTGCCAATTTTAGTTCTTTGACTTCTATTGATTATACAGGGTGGTCCATAAGTCCTTTGAAATTTCAAATTTGAATAAAATTTAACGGGTGAGCGTGAGCGGCGCGGGCGAGGTGAGGGCAGTATCTTCAGTGTCTGGGAATTCAGTCGCCATGGAGTGTTTCACTGGAGCGGATCGTGCTTTTTGTGTGCGTGCGTTTTATCAAAATAATGATTCGGCAACCATTGCGCGGCGTGAATATCGAGAATACCACAATTTACACAATTTCACAAAGTGTCCAACAGCTCAAACGATTAAGAACTGGGTTGCTAAGTTCCAAGAGACTGGTTCGACGCTAGATAAACAGCGGTAGGGTCGACCAAGGACAACTCGTATTGAAGAAAACATCAACATTGTGGCACAGTCTGTTCGTCAAAATCCTACCTAGTCTACTCGTAAGCGTTCCAGTGCACTAAACGTACCCAGAACATCTTTACAGCGGATTTTAAGGAAAGATTTACGTCTGCACGCTTACAAAATTCAGTTAGTGCAGGAATTAAAAGATAATGACGCTATTCAGAGACTAAACTTTGCGAATGAAATGTTGAATCGATTTTCTTCGCTCAATAATGTGTTGTTCTTGGACGAGGCTCACTTCCATTTAAACGGGCATGTAAACAAAATTGCCGTTATTGGAGCCCCGAAAATTCAAGGCGTAAGCATCAGAAGCCCTTACACAGCCCTAAAGTTACAGTTTGGGCTGCTATGTCAGCGCATGGCATCGTAGGCCCTTATTTTTTTGAGGACGACAGAGGTCGCGCATTAACTGTTACTTCGGAGCGGTATGTAGCAATGATAGAAGAATTTGTGACACCAGCGTTGCAGAATTTTCCAGGCTATAATACGCAGACCTGGTTTCAACAGGACGGAGCAACTGCCCACACCTCCAACACTTCTATGCCCGTCGTCTGTCAACTTTTTCCCAGCAAAGTAATTTCTCGAAGAGGAGACATTTCCTGGCCACCACGTAGTCCAGATTTGACCCCAATGGACTTATTTTTATGGGGCTACCTCAAGAGTAAAGTGTACGACACCACTCCGCGATCAGTTGATGTCCTGAAAGAAAATATCCGAAGAGAAATGGCAAGCATTACAATGTTGACTTGCCGCGCAGTCATCGACAATTTTAGACGTTGTTTATATGAGTGCCGTGATCGTAATGGATTGCATTTAGACGATGTGATTTTTAAAACATAATTCCCATTCAATAAAGATGATAACAAAATATAATAATTCTTCATAATGTAACTAGTTTGGTTTTATTCCTTTTTTTCCAGCTCAAAGGATTTATGAGCCACCCTGTATAATTTTGTAATAAGTTGAGTACTGAACCTTGAAATCCATAGCAGTGCAATTTCGTTAACAATTCTTCCTGTCAATAGTCTCAAATGTTCTCTTGAAATCCAGGAACAATGTTTCTGTAAACTTTTTTCCATCCGTATTTCGCCTCCATTCTTCTACTACCATATGAATTGCTGTTTCAGTAGAAAACTTTTTTCTGAATCCTGCTTATAATTTAGTCAATATCTTATTTTCTTCAATATATTCACTGACTTGGTCATGTATGATTCCTTCTAAGAGCTTCTCGACATCTGGCAGTACATTAATTGGCCGCATGTTTGTATATAACTCAGAATTTTGCACTTTCGGAAAAGGAGTAATTGTAGAACATTTTAATTTTGAAGGAAATATCATGTAATTGGAAATGTATAAATCGGCGATTTATGTCGTTTCGATACGAATGTATCTATACCTTCTTCTGTTTGGTTACAGTGTAATAAATAATTTATTGTTTACAGGGCAAAATCGACCAGTTCATTAGGACAGTCAAAATATATACATGCATACAAGTCACGTTCATCCAGCTGGACTTCCATTATGGCGCTTTGGCATATAAATACCTTTGAAAATAAGATATATTTTTCTTAACACAATATCTAGGTGTATTCTTGTTTATATATATACAGGGCGTCCCAACATTCCGTGGACCTACGACTACGACGTATTTTTAGACTCAAAATAAGTCGATTTTTTAAAACATATTTTTTTCATATATTTTTGGAACCTAGTCCGATTTGAATGAAATTTGGAACACATAAGTTTTGTTATATGTTCTAAGATTTATGAAAAACCCCTACATAAATTATTGCAGAGTTTTTTGACAAATTTCCCGACGACACTGATTTTGTTTTATTCAGCAGATTTTTTTATTTACCTATTTTTTGTGCCCTATTACAATAGGCCACGTTTGATAGTTTTCGAGAAAAAAATTAGAGGCATCAGTAGATTCCCAAGCGTCTTATTATCTAAAAAATGTTTTAAAAATAAAACAAACTAGGCACTTTTGCTTAATCATGTCCAACCAACTGATTTTGAGTCAAAACATACGCGGTACTTCTATGTCTACGGAATATTGGTGGACATAGAATACAAGGTGTTCAGAAAGTGTAGGATAATACCGCAGCTACAAATAGACCTACCATATGGCAAAATTTCGTTTAATTCTTTCACATCGCTTCGGCGTATAAATAGCTATATGAATACGGTATATTTTTATTAACACCATATTTAGGTGTATTTGTTGTTTTTATGTGTAATTTATATATATAGATATCATTGGTGGCCTTGTCTTTGTATTTATCGCATCTTTTTTTGTCAATCGTATACATTCTTGTACAGAACATTTTATGTATATTTTGGAACTGAAAATCAGCCTGAATTGAATAAAACATCTAAGGAGGTACCGATATCACTATGTTTTATGTGTCTATTCCTTCCTAATCCTTATTCACCCTTTTTATTTTTATCACTAACCTTGTTAAGCACAGTTTCGTTGAGGTTTGGTGTGGCTTGACCTACCTGCCCTTCTCTTTTGGTCAGTTACGTACGGGGAAATGAGGAAAGAATTTGGATTGATCATATAAGAAAAGCGCTTGGTTGTTCAAAACATTGAAAATCATTTATTACATCCACACAATGTGGTATAACAAATACAAATACTTGAAAATTTCTTAATACCGATATTATACAACTCTAAATCTCTACAGACTATAGTCATCTTAAAACCTAAACATAAAATGCATCTTCCCAAAAACAAGCTTCAAACAAATAACAAAAAAAATTATAAATCGTGAACATGATAATACATTCTACAGGAATATGTACAAATCACAAAAATTTTATCACTCTTGTATTTCGCCTTCCTGTGCCTGAACAGTCGATTTCACCATACAAGACCTTGCAACTGATTCGAATAACCTACAGACAAAAAAGTATACAGTAAATTTAAGTGTGTAATATACTTTAATGGACAAATCGTGTCCCAGAAGTCGCCTTCAAGCCATCGTTTGCCAAATTGAAATGGCGGACAGGGGAGGTCTTTTTCTATCACCCCAGGTCCCTCAAACAGTTTTTAGCCCAACGGAATTAATTATGTAGATTTTTTTTTTTAGTGAAAACTCCGCAAAGTGAAATAAAAAAAAATAAAGAGTATGTCCACCTAATGATTCATTTATCTTAATGGGTGATGTACCAATCTTACAAAATCAACATTACTTGCCAGCAACATGTAGTTTTTTATTTATAAACTCACAAAGGGTTACAAAGAACAAAAAAATGTAAGTTTCAATTTTGAATTTCTCTAAAAAAACTAAAGGCGTTCACGTTCTTAGAATTCTCTTAAAAACTACCCTAGTTTATTCCGATTCTAACGGTATGCCACAAGTCACAAAAAAGTTGAAACAATTCCTGGAATTTGCAAATTTTGTGTACCCTATTATGACATTTCCTAACCCCGTGTGAACATCGCGCATTTGTTGTCGAGACGTATTTAAAAAATCACGACTCGGTGATCATTACACAGCGTCTATTTCGTACACATTTCAATGTCGGACGTCATGGTTCTGTTCCATGCCGTAACACAATTAAGTTGTGGGTCAAAAATTTTCGTCGATCTGCATCAGCAATGAAAGCTAAGCCACCAGGAATGCGTCGAACAGTTCGGACTCCAGCCAATATTGAGAGGGTGCGAACAGCGGTGCAGCAAAGTCCACGGCTACAAGCAATTAGTCTAAGGCTTTCAGAAACAACAGTGCGGCGTATTTTGCATAAGGATTTACATTATCACCCTTACAAATTAGCGATGGTTCAAGAACTGACAGCTAAAGACTTTGTTTGACTGCAAGCAACCAGCTTCTGGAACTTTTGGATGAAAACGCTTTAGGTGGCTTAATTATGTCTGATGAGGCGCATTTCGAGTTAACAGGCTATACGTAGCCTTTACGAATAAGCAGAATTTTCGCTACTGGTGTGCAGAAAACCCGAGAGAACTTCATCAGCGACCCCTTCATAGTCGCAAGGTCACTGTTTGGTGCGGAGTGTCGCGATTCGGCATAATTGGACCCTATTTTTTTGAGGACGATGCTGGAAATTCTGTCAAGGTCAATTCGCAACGTTATATGGAAATGTTAAACACAAAACGTAAACTCACTCCACTCTCGGAATGTCCGGGTGGAGGGTGGGCTCGAGGGAACAACATCGAAGATAAAATTTGTTTTTCGAACATCTGCGGGATCAACAGCAACATTGATGCTGTTCATCACTACCTGCAATCCAATCGTCCCGCCGTGCTTTTCTTGGCGGAGACAAAAATCTCAGAGACTGCACCGATTAACCATCTCAACTTCCCAAACTACGAGGTGCACTCCAATCTGAGAAAGAACGGGGGAGTTGTGGCTTTTGTCCGCAGCAGTCTTTCCTGCTCCAGGGATCTTTCTTTGGAATCAGACCGGAAGGACATTCTGTGGCTTCGCCTCAACTCCAAAACATAACCAAATTTATTTGCTGCCTTTATCGCTCTCCCTCGAACCATAACTGGGATGACCTACTCGAATACCTCGCCGTCCAGATCGACTTCCTGAACATCACCCCGCTTCAGAGGTAGTTCTTCTCGGTGATTTCAATGCCCATAATGAGCTTTGGTTGGGCTCAAATAAGACGGATGCAGCAGGTCGTGCAGTCGAAGCGTTCGCTCTTACTCAAGGGCTGACCCAGCTGGTGACGAGCCCTACTTTTTTCCCCCGCGTCTCGTCACACGCCAGTAGCTTGCTAGATCTCTTTCTGACCACGCATCCTGCCCCTTACAGCACTGCTGTCCTGTCCCCCCTGGGTAATTCAGATCACGGTGCTGTGGAGGTTAGGTTTCGGTCAGAAGCCGCTGTGGCAGCAGAAACTCGCACAGGCCGCAAAACTTGGCATTACGGACATGCCGACTGGGAGGGGCTCAGAGACTTCTTCTCTAGCTTTCCTTGGAGAGATGTCTGTTTCACTGACGCGGATGCGTCGACTGTCTGTTCTTCAATAACCGAAATTATCCACGTCGGAATGGAGGAATACATCCCTCACATAGTGAAAGTTCCTAAACCAGGGCCCAACGGCTGGTTCAACAAATCGTGTGACACTGCTCGCCAGCAGAAGATCAAGGCCCACAGAACCTACTTACAAAACCCCACTGTAGAGAACAGACAAGCCGACGTCGAGTCCAGAAACAAATATAACGAAGCGGTTCGCAATGCCAAAAACCAGCATGATATAAAAGTTAGGCACAGGGTAATGTCGCAGCACAATGGCAGTCGGTCTTTCTGGACGCTGGCCAAGCAGATTGAAAAGAACTTCTCACACAGTAGCCTTCCACCACTTACGTGTCAGGATGGAACTATTGTATTCGACTCAAAGGCCAAGGCGGAAGTGCTAGCCAAGATCTTTGCTGCCAACTCCACCATGGACGTCCCCACCAACGCCCAAGTGCCGTCAATTCAAAGGGTTCCCCACACTATGCGGGAAGTAACATTCAGGCATAAGACCGTAAGACGAGTGCTCTTGTCGCTCGACATCAACAAAGCTTCTGGTCCGGACTTGATTCCTGCCATTGTACTGAAGAGATGTGCAGCGGAGCTTGCTCCAGTTCTTTCGCGTCTCTTCCAGATATCTTATGAATCCGGCACCTTCCCAGAAAACTGGAAATTTGCTCATGTACAGCCCATCCCAAAAAAAGGATCTAAAACCGACCCTTACAACTACAGGCCTATAGCTCTACTTTCTGTTATAAGTAAAGTGATGGAGAGGTGCATAAATCGCGAGCTTCTGGACTACCTCGAACGTCACAGCTTGATTAGCGACAGGCAGTACGGTTTCCGGCACCAACGATCCACAGGGGACCTCCTAGCTTACGTCACGCAACTGTGGAGTAAACTCATCCAGTCTCATGGTGAGGCTCATGTCGTTGCTCTTGACATCACGAAAGCGTTCGATCAGCTGTGGCACGCTGCCCTCTTAAGCAAACTTCCATCCTACGGCCTCCCAGAAAAGCTTTGCAGATGGGTGGCTGACTTTATCTCTTGCCGCAAGATATCCGTCGTAATTGACGGATTCTCCTCTTCATCCCACAACGTCAACGCGGGTGTTCCCCAGGGATCGGTCTTGGCTCCAACACTGTTTCTCTTACATATCAACGACCTTCTTTCCTGCACGATCAACCCAATCCACAGCTTCGCTGATGACAGCACTCTACATGCAGGAATTCAGAGTGACAAGCCGATCTCTGCCGCTGAGCTGGAAAAAAGAAGACTAGCGACGACTTCTTCTCTGACAAGAGACCTGGAGGCTATCACTGCTTGGGGACGCAACAATCTTGTACAGTTCAATGCTACCAAAACACAGTACTGTACTTTGACGAACAAAAAGCGTCCTAGCGCTCATACAGTTTCGATGGACGGTCGAGTTCTACCAAAGAGCCATTCATTTCGGCTGGTCGGAGTCCAGATCACCGAGGACCTGATCTGGCACGAACACATCTCTTCAATAGCTGCAGCTGCTGGGAAAAAGCTAGGCTATTTGTTTAGGGCTAAGAAGTACTTTTCTCCGCATGACCTTCTCACTCTATACAAGGCCCAGATAAGGCCTAGCCTCGAGTATTGCTCACACATTTGGGGTGCTGCCGCCCCGACTACATTGTCCATGCTCGATGCTGTCCAGAGGAGGGCGGTCCGACTGATCGATGACTCTTCTCTAACAGACAGTCTCGGGACTCTTTCGCACCGGCGGGCCGTCGGCGATCTAGCTCTTTTCTATCGCTACACCAACGGGCTTTGCTCCTCAGAGCTCTCTTCCATGATGCCGCCGCGCGATGCGCCTGCCAGACAGACCCGCCTGACTTCGGCATCCCATCCTAACCGTGTCAAACTTCGTACATCCAGAACTGGCCGATACGACCGCTCCTTTGTCCCGAGGGTGTCTAGATTGTGGAACAATCTACGGGAGGAAGCTTTTCCCAGTTCTACTAACCTTAGGCAGTTCAAAAATCGTATTAACAAAATTTCTTTGGGATCATCATAGCAGCCGCGGTGTTCCGGCATTTAGGCTTCTGCCTGCGCGGCTGTTTCGGTATAAAAAAAAAAAAAAAACATTTTTGGATACCAGAGCTTCGTCGACGGAACATAGATTTAAATACTGTATGGTTTCAGCAAGATGGCGCCACAGCGCATACAGCACGAGCAACAATGGTTCGAGTGCGAAAAATGTTTCCAGGAAGAGTCATTTCGCAGAATGGAGATGTTCCTTGCCCGGCAAGGTCTCCCGATCTCACGGCTTGTGACTATTGGTTATGGGGTTATCTCAAAAGCAAGGTATATTTAACGAGCCCAAGGACCATTGAAGAATTGAAGGAAAACATTCGCAATGAAATTAGCGCGATTCCGATGAGTATGGTACAGCGCGTAATGGGGAATGTGCGAAACCGTTTGGAAGAGTGTGTCCGCAGTAAAGGACATCATTTGATCGAAGTTATTTTCCATACATAAAATGGCACTTTCGATTACTTATATATGAAAATAAATATCTTGAAAGATACATTTGTAGTTTCATATTGAAACTCATCAGGTTCCTTTGGCGGACCCTGTATGTAGAAGGCAAAGTTAGTATTTCCTGCCATTTGAAAGAAGCTCTACGGTTCGACGTACTGCTCTTCTTTGCATAGTGAATACTCCATTCAGTCTTAATGTCAATGAAAAATATCCTTTCATTTCCTTGTGCTTTTGCGTGATCAATTTTCGAAGAAAATACCATGAGAAAACTGGCTAAACCGGCACGCAAGCAACAGGTCAAAAAAATCCAAATTATTCGGTGTCTTTTGATAGGCTATATTTCAGTAAAAAATGGTCCTATTTAGACTTTAAAAAAATCATTTTGAAGCTTCAACATGCTAGTTATCAGGTTTTTTGAGCAGAACAGTTTTAGGAGCAACGGTTCTCATACAATTCTGACAGATAGCGCAAGAAAATGGTTTTGTAAAATTTTTGCCTTTTTCTTTTTAGTCCTCGGGCCTATTGGTCAAAATTTGAGAGAAAAAGGAGCAAAATATCCTGGCTGAAAATGGAAAATCATTTTTCTTCAATTAAAAAAAAACAATTGTAAAACTTTTATTCATGGAATATTCCAAAAAATAAAAATACTGGCCAGGGACTGATCTTGAAAATATTTTGACGAATAGCGAACTGCACGACCTGCTGCATCGGTCTTGTTTGAGTCCAACCAGAGCTCGTCATGGACTTTGAAATCACCGAGAACTACCTCTGACGGGTGATTGACGTTCAGGAAGGCGATATTAACAGCGAAGTATTCGAGTAGGTCATCGCAGTTATGGAGAGCGATAAAGGCAGCAAATAAATTTTGGGGGACGTTTTGGAGCTGAGACGGAGCCAAAGATCGTCCTTGTCTCAGATTGGAGTGCACGTCGTAATTTGTGAAGCTACGATGGTTAATCGGTACATAGTCTGAGATTTTGGTCTCGGTCAAGAGAAACATGGAAGACTAGATTGAAGGTAGTGGTGATCAACATCGATATTGCTGTTAATCCCGCGCAGATGATCGTGAAACAAATTTTAACTTCGATGTTGACATTCCGAAAGTGGCGTGAGTTTACGTCCGGAATTCTCAGTACTCGAGGGATCCATCATCATTAATTTCTTTGTTGTGGAAGATTCGAGGGATGTCTTTTAAGTTTTGCATGTAGAAACATAGTAGGCCGCGCGGATCGAACGTCAGTACTGAATCTTAACCTCACTCTTTAGTAAACTTAAATGCAAAGTTTCACAACAATACGTGCAGTGTTCTCACTACAGTGAATTTTTGAGTGTCACCAAGTCATTAGAAAAATGGAACTCAACCGAGAACATTTTCGCGCCGTAATTTATTACAACTTTCAGAGACAATTATCGCAACAAGAATGCCTTGCTGAGTTACTGTCTGTTTTCGGCAACAAAGCGCCACACCAGTCGACAATTTCCCGTTGGTATGGAGAATTGAAAGGTGGAAGGGTGAGTCTTGGCGACGATCCCAGGGTGGGTGCACCAAAAACGGCAGTCACCCAGGAAAACGTCGATTCTGTGCGCAAACTCATCATTGAAGATAGACATGTGACATATCGCGAGATTGAGGCCTCCTTGAAGATCTGAAAGACTTCAATTCAAAAAAATTTACATGAAGAATTAGGAGTAAGAATATTAGTTTCTCGTTGGATGCCCCACTTGTTGACTGAAGAGCAGAAAGCAGCCAGGGTTAATTGGTGTCAAGAAACGCTTGACCATTTCAATTCCGGAAACTCAAAAAATGTGTACAGCATTGTTAGTGGTGATGAATCGTGGATTTACTGTTATGAACCAGAAAATAAACGACAGTCGGCTATTTGGGTGTTCCAAGGTGAAGAAAAGCCAACAAAAGTCATCCATCCGTTCTAGGAGTGTTTCGAAAAAGATGGTCGCGACATTTGTGTCAAAAGCGGGTCATATTGCAACAATTCCTCTTAATGAGCAAAGAACTGTTACTGCGGATTGGTATACCACCATTTGTTTGCCAAAAGTCATCACAGAGCTTTGAAAAATCATCCCCCACCAAGACAATGCAAGCTCGCACACAGCACAATAAAGTCATTTAAAACTACCCACCGTGTTGTTTCATTTCCATATGCGAAACTTAAGACATCCCTCGTAACTGACTGCGTAGCTTAGACGATGAAACATGCTGACATTCTTAAGACTCTATATGTGGTACCGCCTTGGTCGACCGGTCCTTGTCTACCACTTTCTCTTTCCTTACGAATGATGCTAAACAGACGTAAAGCGCCCCCCCAAACAATACTGATCTAACATAACACGCGACACCACACAACATTCTAAAAGACAATAACACACGACTTTTTCCAACAGATATATTTCGCATAACAAATGTTTGACAGCACTTTCGAGATGATTTATCTGAGAACGAATTCAATGGACGGCATGCATGTAACACTTACTTTTCGATTTCTGGCGCGCAATGGACGAACTCGTGCTGCCAAAAGCGGTAGGTGGGATTCTTGATGAGCTCGATGAAGGTGATGAGCAGACCCCACGGATGAGGTCGGTTCACGATCAGTCGTTCCAGCAGGACGCGCGTTATTTGCTCCTGGATCGCCTCCGTATTCGCTTCAGCGAACAGATATAGTAGCGTGCACGAGAAGTAGTGGGTGTGACTGAAAAGAATATTGTTTGTGTCATTCAGTATTATACAGGGTGTTTCAGTTTATTATTGCATAACTTTAAGATTCGATAGAACTTTTAAAATTAATGCATAAAGTCTATATAAACATGGATCGAAAAATGTGTGGCTTCTGAAATACAGGGTGTTTAAATTTACTTTCAAAAATAGTTTTTTTTTAAATATTTCGAACAATATTTGATGTATAACAGTGAACATTGGTATAAAAGGGTTTTTTGGTACGACAAAACGAACCATGGGCATAGTTACTGTAGCCGCTAGAGGGCGCTCTCTACTGTACTTGTAGTGTATTAAAATGACCGCAAATTTTTTCTTAGTGCAATTTTTTGCTTTTTGAATAAAAAAACTGATTCTTCGCACTTTTCAATATAAAAAGCTCTCTTGTGAATTTTCGTTATAGTTAGCCGTTTTTGAGATATTTCGATTTTTAAGGTTCGATGCATTTTTAATTATTTATGATAAAATAACGTTAAAAAGTCAGTATCTCGATAATTTTTAGAAGAAGGCTGTGCCTGCAAGTATTTTTGAAATTGAAAGCAGAATAAGGTTAAATTTCAATTAGTTGACAGTTAGTTTTGTTGTCTGTTGAAACCTGAAACGTTTTTTTGCAATTGTGAATGTACGAAATTTAGTTTCTTTTACTTGTAAGTTTTATAAAAATGCCATTTTTATTCTCCAATCAAGAGTTAGCGGATATTCATTTTGTGTATGGCTTTGTAAATGGAAACGCAGCAGAAGCAGCCAGAGAATACGCACGAAGATTTCCAAACAGACGACATCCAACTCGCTCAGTATTTGTAATAGTGCATCGCCAAATAATTGAAAATGGTTTTGGAAATCTCCAAAGGGATCAAAACATAAATGTTCGTTAGCGCAGATTTACCCGTATGATTCTGCGTGAGTTTGATAGAGATCCGACCACAAGTGTTAGGAGAGTTTCTGGTGCCTTGGGAATTTCAGCAAGCCATGTTCACCGTGTTCTTAGAAATGACCATAGACGTCTTTACCATTTGCAACCTGTGCAAGGACTACAGCCAGGGGACAGAGAACGAAGAATCACATTTTGTCAGTGGATTCGTGATAGAACTGATAATAATAGGGAGTTTTTAAGTAACGTTTTATGGACCGATGAGTCATGCTTCACTAGACGTGGAGTGGTAAATTTTCATAATCAACATATTTGGTCGCATGAAAAACCGCATGCAGTTCGGGAAAGAAATTTTCAGCATGAATTTAGTGTGAAGGTGTGGATTGGTATCTACCATAATCGACTATTTGGACCCTACCTTTTGCCTGCAAGGTTAAATGCTGCGACCTTCTTGGAATTTTTAAAGGTTGAACATGCAAATATGTGGGATGATGTTATGTTAGGTTTAAGAAGATTGGCCTGGTTCCAGCTTGATGGTTGTCCAGCTCATTATTCGAGAATAGTTAGAAACTGGCTGAACGAAAATTATCCAGAAAGATGGATCGGCCGTGGAGAACCAGTCGCCTGGCCTCCACGATCCCCTGACCTAAATCCATTAGATTTCTTTGTGTGGGGATTTCTAAAAGAAAAAGTGTACCAGACTCCCGTAACCACAAGAGATATGCTAATAGACAGAATCAGGAATGCATGTGATGAAATAAGGCCTAATTTGAATAATGCTATACCACGTTCGATCATTCGTAGATGTGAATTGTGTATTGAACAATTGGGTTTACATTTCGAGCAACTACTTTAAATTTTGTATGTTTGTCCTAACTATCCAATAGCATTTTAGTTTAAATAATTAATTAAATTTGTTAAAAATAATATTCGAAAATTAAACAAATGTTTGTGTTTATTTGGAGTTAGGAATTATTGCTGTGTTTAAAAACACAGTCTAAACGATCATCTTAATTACTTGTAATGCCCAAATCGAAAATGTAAAAAAAATATTATTTTCCATAAATAATTAAAAATGCATCGACCTTAAAAATCGAAATATCTCAAAAACGGCTAACTATAACGAACACTCACAAGAGAGCTTTTTTATGTTGAAAAGTGCGAAGAATCAATTTTTTTATTCAAAAAGCAAAAAATTGCACTAAGAAAAATTTTTCGGTCATTTTAATACACTACAGGTACAGTAGAGAGCGCCCTCTGGCGGCTACAGTAAAACTATGCCCATGGTTCGTTTTATCGTACCAAAAAACCCTTGTATACCGATTTTCACTGTTATACATCAGATATTGTTCAAAATATTCAAAAAAAAAAAACTATTTTAAAAAGTAAATTTAAACGGAACCCACGCATTTTTCGACCCATGTTTATATAGACTTTATGCATTAATATTAAAAGCTCTATCGAATCTTAAAGTTATGCAACAATAAACTGAAACACCCTATATATACAGTAATGGACAAAAGTATATAGACAAATTAATATTGTGCTGTATTTCTTTTTTAACTTGTTTTATTAATACACCAATCGGTATATATAATTCGTTATAGCATAATACTCACTTATACATAATAAATTCATTAGACTCCCTTCAATAAAAAATTAATTGAAAAAAACTGGAACTATGAAGGACAAACATATATAGACAAAGCAAAACAATTATAGAAAAAAGAAGCAAAGTTCATTGAATTATAGAAAACCAACCACGTTTGTGTTTATATTTTGTAGCATAACTATTATTATCAATCACTGTCTGGCATCGTCTCGGCATAGATTGTAGAAGTTTCTTGATATAAGATTCATCAATCTGTCTCCACTTTTGCTCTAAAGCGGCAAAAATTGTATCCTAGTTTGAATAATTTTTATCTCGTATTTGCTTATCTAAGTATTCCCATAGATTTTCAATGGGGTTTATATCGGGAGACTGTGAAGGCCATTTGAGAACTGGTATTTTTTCATCCAGAAAGAATTTCTTTGCGAGATTTGAAGTGTGTGGGTCATTATCTTGCTGGAAGATTGATCTTAAGGGCATATTGTCTTCCATACAGCGTAACATGACATGCTTTAGTATGTCTGTGTATACAAAACTTATCCATAATTCCAACTATTCTATGTAAAGGTCCCATCCCAAACCCCGAAAAGCACTCCCAAACAAACTCAAAAAAAGAGGGGCAAACCCAACGAAAAAAAAGTGGGACAAACCCTAGTTTTGCGTGGCTTCTCAGAAGCTGGTGTTCATTCTAACTACCGTTCATTTGAACTAAAATAAAAGAAGTGACCAACCCAGCGAAAAGAAATTCGAATTCGAAGCTTGGAAATTCCCAGTACAGTGGAAGACAGACGTAAAGTCTTGCATGGTTTGTTAGCACAAGCCTTGCTGGGGCACAGTTTCTCAGAGGCTTCTGTTCTGCGACTGTACCTTTTGAAGATGATGAGACTGATTTAGCAAGCTCAATTTCGAAATTCTCTAGTGGATATCGCAGGATTCGTGCGCTTAGTACACCTACACCTGCGAAACGCTGCAATAATTTTCTTAGCGGAAACACAAAATGACAGAGGAAAACGCATTATAGAATACCAACAAGGAAAAGTGCATGAATGGTGAAACATTGTATAACAAAGGGGAATACGCTATAAGTCCTAGGTTACTCACCTATTTGGATACCTAAGCTGGTTGGCAATCGCATTGAGGAACAGGTATCGACCCTCCGTGTCCAAATCGACAGCTAAGTTTTGGAAGATGTCCATGTGCGCGCTATGAGCGATTGTCGACATGTTCGGTGTGTGTGATTTGTTGCGAATATATGCAATCGCTTGAGTACCGACGTACAGTACCAACGCGTTCATCAACGGGATGTTGTATCGGATTCCTGGCTCGTTGGAGACCTGCAAATAACATTTGGTATTAAATAGATAAATAGATATTCTCAATACCTGTTGTAGATACAGCTTAGCTTAACTTAGGAAAAGGCTTAGTTCTTTGGGGCGATTACATGCAGTTGAGAAACTTGGGCTTACTGAAGATATTTGGGAAAAACTAAAATTTGGTCAAAATGATTTTATTTTTTTCTGACTTTGAGTATCAAAAACTAATGGACCTTTTTCAGTGGCACTTTGATGCCATCAAAAATTCAATTTGCATTCCAACTATACTATAACTATCTAAAACTGTAATGACTCATCGATGTTCACGTGAACATCACTTAACTACCAGTAGTCGGCTGTTCATAGGCGGGGTATGAATGTTTAACATGGGTGAACTAGATTTGTCACATGCTTAATAAAGAGTGGTTTGAAACATGTTGTAAGTCAAAAATTTGGGAATTACCTTTATTCATCGTCGCTTCCACTTACATCTGACAGTAATAAACTGTCGCTATCGCTTTCCTCGTTGAAATTGACTATAACTGGCTCTATGATGGTGTCGATGTGGTGGTCAAACTGCCACATTTTTGTTTCTTCCTTCACAACATGACGGATAGCATTCTGCCAAGCTTCGGGCGTTACTAGCTGTATGGAAGTCTCAAGTAAAACCTTAACGTCTGGTAATTTGAAGGTTGTGTTATGGCGCGCAATATAACCCTTCACTTGAGCCCAGATGAGCTCTATTGGGTTCAGTTCACAGTGGTAGGGCGGTAACCGCAGCACAGTGACACCACATTGACGGGCCATCTCATCAGTCACGTAACTAATGTTCGCAGGTTTGTGCTGTTTAATTTTTTCATACAATTCCGCTTTCACACATGAATCGTCAAACGGGATTCCTTTTTCGCGCAACCATTGCTGCATGTCACTTTTTCGAGATCCCATAGTCGGTAGACGTTCGGCTCGACGACTATGGTAGGAAGCATTATCCATGACGATCACAGAGTTGGGCTCAACTCGCTGAAGCACCCCTTGAAACCAGCTCTCGAAGCAGCTGGCATTCATTTCGTCATGGTAATCACCTCCTTTCTTAGAGACGAAAATCAATTCACACTCTTCTAAAAAGCCACTATCGCTACCAATATGAGTTACGATCAATCTTTGACCTTTCCCTGACAGTCCACGAAGACCTGTTGACAAACCTTCAATGCTTGCTTGTCGGTTACTCACTACGTTTTTGTCTATCCAGGTTTTTTTAACTGTGTGACCTCCATTTACCCATGTCTCGTCCAAATAATAGATTTTTCTGCTTTGTCGCCTATATTCAATCATTTCGCGTAGGTATTTTCGACGCCAGGCGACTATTTCAGGTCTCTCTATCAATACTGACTTCCGATTACGCGTTTCGTAACGAAAATTAATTTCGTGCAGGGATTTCCTCATTACCTCGACGCTCATTTGGGGTATAATTTCATTTTCCTTGATCGCTGCATGTACAGCCTTGAGGGTTGGTATCTCATTCCTAAAGAAGAATGAATGTACGGTTCGCCTTAACGCCATTTTGCTATCGTCATCCAATTTAACGGCCTTTCGTCCCTTCAAATTAAACTTTGGATCAGTAGTAGCTCCAGTTTTCTTCTTTTCATGCACCACTCTGCGAATGGTCCACTCTGGAACGCCAGTCATACTTTCACAACGCGCGACATAGTTCTGTTCAGATAATTGAACACGTTGAGCACGATTTCTTTCGCGTCCCTCTTCAGTGCTTTACGAAGCCGTCTACTTGTTCCCTGGCTTTCAGTACTTCCACTCGTGCCATTTGTACTCTCCATGGTTAAGTATAACCAAAACAGTAACCACAGAAACCACAACAATAACAATCACACAACAATTCTTATAAAAACACACAATATGCGATCGCTCAACGAAACACGTTCCAATGCGTTGCCGACGCCTATGAGTCTGCCGGTCGAGGCGCGTCTTTGATTTCATTGGTTCTACCGGCGGAGAACAATGAGCCATTATTTCCATCTCTGTCTATGCTGTTGACCACCGCAAATCCACAGAAACGACATATGTCGTACGCTATACGGCTGTACTGGAAGGAAGCCGGGATCGAGCTCTGATCACGTGTTGATCACGCGTATGAGTCATTACAGTTTTAAATAGTTGTGGTATTAGTTATCCAATACAAAGAAACTCACCTGTAGATTACTTCTCAGCTCTGACAGGAACGTGACGGGAGCGCGCGTCTTCAGGTAGGTGTCCAGGTCCTTTTTGAACTGCGCCGGTTGTATCATCATCGCGAAGTTGGTGAAGATGCGCGGGCTGTACGAGATCTCGGTGAGCATGTCCACTTTCAAGTTGGGCGTGAACGGATCGGGCAGGCGCATGTTGCGCGGAAACGCGGACAGGATCAAGTTGCGCATCTGGATGCAATTCGGCGGGATCACGTCGCAGAAGCCGTAATGGTAGTCGCACAAGAACTCGGGGAAGTCGTGGAGCAGGATTAACAGCACTCTGCAATATAATAATAGAATCGACACAAATATCTTTAGCGCCAATGTCACCAACATTAATATACTAAGTGACGTATAAATCCGAACACCCAGTTTAAATGGTTTTATTTTAATAAAAGTTGGTGAATGTATTTATCTTACTGTAAATAACAAGTGAAAAAATTTTCAGCCTTATCAGTTGGACATTCCGGTTTTTATACTGCTTTTTTTAATTCACCAACGCTCTAAAAATGAATATTTCAGCCGCAGTAAAGAATCAACGTTGGCGGATTTTGGTTCTTGACATCCTTTATGATCGGTTACGACGCCTAGAGTACGGAGACCTGTACGATTTCGTCAACTTAGTGAGTTTGATAGGGGCCGTATAGTGGGACTTCGGGAAGCTGGACTTTCTTTTCGGGCAATTGCAGTTAGAATGCAAAGAAGTGTAGACACTGTGGTTAGGTGTTGTCAGGCATGGCTTCGAGAAGGCCGTACGCAAAGAGCAAGGGGCACTGGACGCCGCCGTAGAACAACAGACCGTGAAGATCGCCGCCTAAGGGACCGTTTCTCCACTACCAGGTCCATTGCAAATGAATGGTTTGCAGAACACGGAAGACCTATTGGCATGCGAAGTGTTTACCGACGAATGAGAAGTTTCGGCTTGTTTTCATACCGGCCACACTGGGTCCTCCCTTTAGCTCGAGAACACCGACGTAATCGCCTTGAGTGGTGCAGACAACGGTCACTCTGGGATCAGGAATGGAACAGTATTGTCTTTAGTGACGAGTCTCGATTTAGTTTAGGCATGCACGATGGTCGTGCCAGGGTTAGAAGGCGACGTGGTGAAAGGAGGAATCCACAGTTTTTTGTTGAAAGACATTTTCATCACACTGTTGGAGTTATGGTTTGGGGTGCTATAGCTTATGGTTCCAGGTCACCTTTAATCTTCATCAGAGGTAACATGAACGCGCAACGTTATATCCACGAAGTTCTAGAACCCCATCTTTTACCCTATCTTGACACCCTGGCAGATACAACTTTTCAACAAGATAATGCCCGACCACATGTTGCAAGAGTCACAATAGACTTCTTTCAACATAATGATGTCACATTGTTACCATGGCCACCAAGATCTCCCGACTTATCCCCAATTGAGCACGTGTGGGATGTGATGGGTAGGAGATTGCTCAATTTGCAACGTCCTCCTCAGACTCTAGAAGCACTTCGAGAGGAGTTGGTGGTTGCCTGGAATGAGATACCACAGGAGGACATTGACCACCTGATCAGAAGCATGCCTAGGCGCGTTGGAGAATGCGTAGCATATCAGGGTGCATCCACACATTATTAAAGGTCAAAGGGCTTTAAAGCAGTGCAATCATTTTGAAATTTTTATTATTTACTTATTATGCTTCATTAAGTACTTATACAAAATTTTATTAAAATAAAACCATTTAAACTGGGTGTTCGGATTTATATGTCACTTAGTATATTTAGTTCTCGTTTTCATATTCAAATTAAAAAATCATTCATTACCACCACATTTAGAGAACTTGACAAAATTAAATAGTCATTATCATAACTACGAAGCTAGAGGTAGTATAGATTTTCATCTGCAAAATTGTAATAGTAGCATAACTAGTAAATCTATATATAAATTTTTGCCAATTTATGATCTAGAAATCCACACCAATGTAAACAAACAGCACATTCTGCATTTCTGGGTCCTAAAACATCGATATTTGTAAAAGTATCAGCATCCACCTATTATTCATCGTCTAGATATTATTTCCGAATCAAAAATACCTATTTATGAAAATATATCTCCAAACATTGTTATATTTTCTTGTTATTTCTATTATTATTATAACACGTCTGGGATATCAATTGCTTTCAAAGTGATCTGCACATCTGCAGTGTTGCCGAATCGGGGAAAAAAACGGAATCAGTAAATAGTGTCCTTGAATTCGGTATAAGGAAAATGCCGCCCCAAGAGCAGTGGTAGATCAAGGAGCTTTGAGTCATGAAAAACGTCTGTTATTGTATTGGGCGCGTACAGTATTTTACGGCGTCATGGAAATAATTTTAAATTTTCATTTGCATTTTTTCAAGTGTTGTGCAACGATTTTGGGAAAAAGTATAGTATATTTCAACAGTTGGCGGAGCTTTCTCCACTGGGGCCAAGGGTTGACGCTGACGGATCCCACACATGTGTCACTCGTTGGGGAGTTTTGAAATGTAATAATCAGCTGTTATTCAAATAATGTCTAATATAAATATAACCTAGAACGTGTACTCAGTGAAACAAGAAAGTTATTGCAAATTCTATTTTTTTGCAGGTTTTAAGTTTGCCGGTAGCTTTACGACATATATTAGAGTATTTCTTAATCGCTGTAAATATAGTGTGGATGTTTGTTCAGTTCCTGAACAACCAACAAATATTTGACTATGGATGTATGGATATCAAAAATCCTGAATGGTTTTGTGGGAATATCAATCGACGGTGCTCTAATGGTACTGATGAACGGCAAGTAAATGAATGAATGTTTGGAAACGAGCAATATCTATGAAATTTTTGGTAGAGCATGTCATCAAGTAGGTGCTTAATGGCTATCTGCAAGAGGTTTATAGGAAAAGAACACACGGTAGGTGTCAGGAATCAGTAAAATCGTATATCAGGATTGTAACCCTATAGGTGGAGGATAACGGACTGTTGATTTGACAATCCTGGTGGAATCCACCCTTAGACAAGTACGAGGATTGTCTCAAAAATAACGTTCCCAATAGCGTCGTGTTACTCGGCTTCCCCACCTTCGATCCCAACAAGAAGCGCCTATTGGCGATGCTCTTCATCGCCGTCACCGCTAGGTGTGAAATTCGTGCGGTCATCCGATCTTTGCAAGCGAAAACGTTACCACCCATAGAAATTTATCGCCACTCGAGTGAAGTATATAAGAACGAAGTAGGAGGCCGTCGATCTCCGAGGAAGACTGAGCAAATCTTGCTCGAAGATCGGCGAATCACGATCCGGGAACAGGCGGTTGAAATTCCTGAGGATTCTGAAAAATCGTCGTAGAGAAAAACTCTTGCAAAGCGTACGACTGCACCACCACAGTGCGCGTCCTCATGTCTCACAACAAACGGAGGATTTGGCAGCCAAGTTTCTAAACGGGCTGGCAAGTGCAAACGTGGAGTCAAAAAAAACCGCGTAGAAAGATATGGCGAAAAATAGCTTAAAGATCAACGTTTCCAATGGTGAATTCGTAAAAAAAATTCCGTATGCCTGAAAAAAAAAATTGGAAACCTTAATCTTGAAACTACCCTTGTAACTTCGCATATGCTCCGAAAAATATCTGATTCGTTTTTTTTGCATAATATTATCCAAAAAGGATATCTTTCAATGAATATTACATTCTATATATTATAGAACCAACCACCTTAAATGGGCTACAAAATATTCATCACCATTTTTTGACCAGTTAATTGGGGATGAGGAAAAACTGGTTCCAAAATAACATTAAGCAAGACCATACATGGTCCTCTGGTTGAAAGTTAACTTCTGGTGAGCAGACAAGTTGCATGCACTTTCAAAATTTCACAGTGTATCATTGAATTATCTAAGAAAAAAAGTAAACAGTTTAAAATGAAATAACAACTGTGCCGAAATGACTACTAAAAACGTGCTGAAAAACTGTTTCGAAATTTTGGGATATCCTGTATTAAATTGGATCAATTGTTCACTGAGAAGCAGTTCTTTCCCTGAAAATTTGAAATGCTCTACAATAACACGAGTTCCCGGAATAAAAAATTCTAAAAGATGCCGCGATATGAGACCAGTAAATGTGTTACCAGACATTGAAAAATTATTAGAGTCCATAGTGCATGACCAATTAATGCAGTTTATAGAAGAAAACAAAATTTTAGTGGAGGCGCAAGCAGGCTTTCGAAAAAAATATTCCACAGAAACAGCTTTCCAGTTGGTAACTGAGAATTGAAGAAGAGCCATAGACTCAGAAGAAGTTGTCATAGCAGTATTTTTGGATTTGAAGAGGGCATTTGAAACGATTGATAGAGATATTTTGTTAGGTAAATTGAAGGCATATGGTTTAACAGGAAGTGTTTTAGATTGGTTTAGAAATTATTTGTCTAAAAGGATGCGAGTTACAAAAGTTAATGACACTATTTCATCAAAAATTGAAAATACGTTGGGTGTTCCACAGGGCAGTATCCTGGGACCACTTCTTTTTATTTTATACATAAATGATTTACCTGCCATAGTCAAAAAATGCAAAATTCAGATTTTCGCCGATGACACTATGATTTATATAAGTACTAAAAATATTCAGTCGCGTATCTCTCATATAAATGAAGACTTGAAGCTTGTCTCAAAATGATTAGCATCTAACAGACTAAAATTAAATGCAAGTAAAACGAAAGCCTTGTTAATCGGAAAAAAACAATGTACAAATGTTCAACTGAATATTGATGGTGAAGATATTGAATTCGTAGAAAATTTTAAATACCTGGGAGTTTTTGTTGACTCTCGATTAATTTTTGATATTCATTATGAAAATGTTATAAATAAGATTAGTAGTAAAGTGGGATATTTTACGAGAGTTTCTGGATGTCTGAGTTCAAATAGCAGAAAAAGTATCTATAATACCATCATTCTTCCAAATTTCTTGTACTGTTCGACTATTCTATATTCAGCAAATAATTCCATTTTTGAAAGACTGCAAATTTTACAAAATAAGTGCATGAGAATAATACTAAATAAAGATAAATATACTCCAATTAGGCAAATGCTTAGCAAATTAAAATGGCTCAATGTAAAAAATTTTATCAAATATCTTGTAATGATATTCATTTATAAAGTAAAAAATAATATATTTCCATCAAGTCTAACTAATTTAACATCATCAAATGTCGACCATCATTTACATAATACCAGAAATAAAGATGACTTCCATTTAATGACCAAAAAGTATAACATATGCTACAAATCTGTATTCCATCAAGGGTTGATTGAATATAATAAATTATACTCGGAGATAAAAGACCAGAAAACTTTGACAAAATTTAAAGTAAAATTAAGAAATCACTTGTTAAATCTACAATTATAGGTTGCCCAGCATTTACATCATACACCATATGGCTTGAATTTACTAGTTCTAAGTTGTTTACAATTGTTCTGTTTATGTAGCCAAATGTGCTAAATAAATCTTTCTACTACTACTACTACTACTACTAGTTAAGTTACGATTGAAAAACCGGGCTACTTAAAGCAACAAAATTGAAACATATATTCGTTTCAATGTATAAACTAATATATATAAAAAAATATAGTTAAACGTACCTGAGCGTGCCCCTATACAAGATGGTGACCGGTTTCGCGAGTTCGGCGTTCCTAAGGAACGGCGCCAGATACTTGAACAGATCGATGAGAAGCTGCGCGTACAACGGCCAGCACTTCTGCTGTGGACTGCTGGCCAACATCCTACCGACGAACGCCCTGTGAGATACCAGTTCCAGCCACGCGTAACAGAACGCTGCCGCTTTGCAGGGACGCAAGATGTGCAGCGTGTGGCAGTAGGCGGTCAGCACATGGTAGTTTATGCCCTACACAATAGAAAAATTAGCTTTACTGTCTACGATCATTCTTAATGACAAAGCAAACTAACTAAACTATAACATAATTGCATATCGTCGCTGTTATGATGAAACCTTCTATGTAACAATTTTTCCACAGAAACGGTAATCCAAATGGTGGTGGAAGATTGTAACAATATTTTCAGACTTCAGGGCATTTGAGACTATAGATAGGGAAAAATTGTTAATGAAATCCGGTCACTATGGCTTTGAAGGATCGGTATTACACAATTTACAAAATTATTTAGTAAATAGAAGTCAAATAACTAAAGTTGGAAATATTATGTCAAGTGTTCAGTAGGGGTGCCACAGGGGAGTAAATTAGGGCCGTTACTATTTGTTATTTATATAAATGATATCTCTGACATTTTAGAACTCAGCAAAATTCAAATATTTGCGAACGATACACTTATAAATATATCCAAAGTGTCATAGTCTACCCCAAAACGCACATCGAATGAATCATATCAACATTGCAACGATAAACTCACCTCGAGCACCGGTTCTGGAGCATTGAGTTCCATGAACAGCATAGTAAAAATTCGTTGGTACGGTAGTTGATGGAATTCCGTCAGACGAGTGTCGTGATCTTGTAGCAAACAGCCGGCGACGATTCCCAATACTTTGTTGAGCAAGTGGATCTTCGTTTGTGTATTACTAGCATCGCCTGAATGTTTTACTAGTAAAGCGACTAATCTGTAAAGAGGACATGAAAAATGTGATGATTTCAGTGCAAATTGCGTTATCACAGCGTTTTACGTACAAGGTTGCATGCAATATCTCGGGTATTACAAATTCGATGACCTCGGAAACAGTATGAGATACGAAATCGGTTGCACATGGTAACTAGAAAACGACACTTAGAAAGTCCTTAAACAATTCGGAGTATTTCCTGAGAATTTTTCCAAAATCGTTTCTATGTTTTCCTGACTTGCCGAAATCTTTAACAATGGAGTAATTCCCCCTTTTCGAATTCCCTAGGTATGAATAAAAGTTACAGCAGACGCTCGATAACGTAAACACGGGTTAATGAAGACTTGCGCTAATGTAAACACACACTTCGTTCTATAGGATCGAACGGAACGCGCGATAACGTAAACAACGTGTACGCTCGATAACGTAAACAACTCTCGGCGCACGGAAACAGCGCGACGGTAAAATGCTGAAGCTTCGATGATTTATTTCGGGCGTCGGGGAGTCCCCGATTTATGATGTAGAGTGTAGGGGATTCACCTCTGCGATAAAATACGACAAACTCGGTCAGTCGTATGATCGTTTAGGATACGTTTATACGTACGTATGTATTTCATTTTTGAACTTTTTGCACTAGTTAATATATTTTACGACTATGGCATCCACATCCTATAAAAGAAAGTGTTTAAAGTTGAGTGAGAAAGTGAAAATCATAGACGAAGTTGCACTAGGTGCGGGAGTGACACAGTTAGCAAAAAAATATGGAGTATCGAAAGCAACAATCTGTAAAATTAAGCGTATGAAAACTCAAATTTTACAAAGAACGTGCAATACATTTGGAGGTCCGGGAAAAAGAAAAACTTTAAAAAATGCGAAGGCACCTAAAATGGAAAATTCTCTGTATAAGTAGTTTTTAAAACAACAGGAAAATCATGTCCCAGTTAGTGGCGAAGTACTTAAACAGAGAGCGAAACTGTTAAATGAAAAACTGAAAGAAACTGAAAATTTCGAAGCTAGTGATGGCTGGCTACAGCGATTCAAAACCAGATATGGAATTCGACTGCTGTCTATATCTGGTGAAAAATTATCAGCACAACCACAATTAGTGCAACCATTCAAAGAAAAATTGATGAAAACAATTACCGAGCTAGATTTAAGAATGGAACAAATTTACAACGCAGATGAAAGTGGCCTTTATTGGAAAATGATACCAGAGAAAACCTATGCTGCATCATTTGAAAAATCTGCCCCGGGAAGAAAGCCGGAGAAACAACGAATAACGTTTCTAGCCTGCACTAATGCTAATGGTTCACACAAAATAAAGCCACTGGTAATTGGGAAAGCAAAAAATCCGCGCTCATTTAAAAATGTTAATATCCCTGTTGATTATGACTGTTCAAAAACGGCTTGGATGACTAGCAGTATATTCCTGAAATGGTTCCACAGGTGCTTTGTCCCTCAGATATGACAATCAATTATCACAAATGCTCTATTCATAATTTGAAGATGTGTTTCCAATTTGTAGGTAAAAGGTTTCCTAAAACAACAGAAGCTTCCAATGAAAGCGTTGTTACTATTGGATAATGCACCAAGTCATCCTCCCGAGCAACAACTGAGGAGCAGGGATGGGTCAATTTTCGTCATGTACATGCCGCCCAACGTAACACCGTTAATTCAACCGATGGACCAAAATATAATAAGACTCACCAAACTATACTATAGGAAGTTTCCACTTTCGTCTGTCTTATCAAAGAATCCTGAAAACTTATCTGAGGCTTTAAAAAAAGTAACATTACGAGAAGCTGTTTTAGATTTACATATGGCCTGGAATGAACTTAACCAGCAAACTATTCAAAAATGTTGGAACAATTTCTTTTGTACCAATAATGAAGATGATGAAGAAGACGATGTCCCCTTAAGCGTAATTAGAGAATGTTTGCGATCCGATAATGATAATGTTATTAGTGTGTCATTGGATGTTGTTGATTTATTGAAAACAGTGAATCCCAACATTGTTTGTACTCCTGCTGATATTAATTTATGGAACGAAGATAAGCAGACGAATGATGCTGATAAGGAGGATATGGACAGTGAGGATGATGAGAACGATCCCATCGAAGTCAGAAGTGTAGTGACTGACGCGCAAGCTGTACAAGTTTTTAACCAAGCTTTAGATTGGGCTGAAAGAAAAGAAGTTTCATACACGGATATTTTAGTTCTTTGTAAATTAAGGGCGCAGGCATTGGAAGCGCAAATTTACGCAGACAAAAATTGTGAATTATTTTTCTTCTAATTAAAAAAATACTTATCGCTGTTAGAATATTTGTTTATTTTGTTATAAATAGTATGTATTAAACGCTTCTTTTAATAAATCAAATATTATATAAATCACGTTCGCTAATGTAAACATTTCGATAATGTGAACCACACTTGGATTAAATTAGTTTACATTATCGAGCGTCTGCTGTATTATCTATTTGATTATGTAGAAAACTGAAATCGTTTTTTATTTACTCTGTTTAATACAAAACACTTACCTGACGAACGCATCTAGCGTATGATAGCACTTCTGCCTCTGCAAAGTCATATTCGGATTCGATTTGTCGGCGAGTATCCTATAGACGGTTTCGACGCACAGTTGCGTCGACAGCCTGAAGAATCTCGTAATCAGATCGTCGGTTTTCAAGATACCGTAAACGTTCATTTGATGCACAAACATGCTGAACGCTTTCGTCGAGTCTCGACCGTGATTCGAATGGTAGATCGTGATCCAATCACGCAGAAGCTGATCGGTTTTCTCCACTAAGCCCGGCGGATCTTCGTAGTTGGAAACTCTCACCTGCAACATCATTTGATGAGTCACAGTTTATACAGCCCAATTTTGTTAGTTGAATTTTTTTGGAGCAATTTTCTGTAAGTTTACATTCTTGTCGACAGCCTTAATGTTTTCATCATTATTCTCGCGAAATAAAAGAAAAATAATTGTCTGTCACTTGTACTAACTTGCAAAATTCCATTGTGAATCTGGAGGTTAAGTCCCATGGGCGCTTTATCTACAAAGAAAGATGATTCGTGGTTTTGTCTCAAAATATCGATTATACTGCCAAGTCCTTCAGGTGGTTGGCGAGTGTGGGTTTGTATTTTTGCTAGCATGTCTATTGTGTTGCACAAATCGCTTTCAGTAACAAACTGTCCTGATCTGTAAGAAAAAAAAAATGTTAGGGACATATGGTAATAAAATGTCTTTGCGGTAAGATTTCGATAGCTCCCCTACTAATCAAAATAACTACTGAAATAAAAAAATATATATACATTAATGGATACAAGTATATAGACAAATCAATATTGTACTGTATTTCTTTTTTAACTTGTTTTATTAATACACCAACCTGTATATATAGGGTTGTCCAATAGGGACGCAAGAAAGTAAACGTCAATTTGACATAGACGCCATCTTTGTTTTCTGTCACCGACATGTCATTTTGTTGGTTGAATGTTTACCATTGATCGCTATGGAGTCGTATTCGATTGAAGACCGCATTAAAGTTATTCAAGAGCACTACAAAAATGGTGCAAAAATAAAAAACACGTTTCGCGCGCTTCGTGAACATTTCGGTCGCAACAACCGCCCAAACGAAACAACCATCGGTCGTCTGGTGCGTAAATTCGAGGCAACAGGTTCTGTGGCAAATCTGCCAGGCTCTGGCCGGCCAAGGAGCGTTCGCACACCGGAAAAAAATGCTGTTGTGAAGGAGAGTGTGAAAGACGATCCGAAACAATCAACTACGCGTCGATCCCTATAAGTGGGTATTTCGAGAACCAGTTTGCTCCGCATTCTCCACAAGGATTTGAATGTACACGCCTACAAGATCCAATTGACGCAAGAGCTGCGTCGGGCCGACCATTTTTCGCGCCGAACGTTCTCAGATTGGCTCCTTGAACACCGCCAAATTGATGCCAATTTTTCATCAAAAATCATGTTCAGCGACGAAGCGCATTTCACTTTGAATGGGACGGTAAACAAGCAAAACTGCCGCATCTGGGCGAACGAAAATCCCCGTGAGTATCAAGAGCAGCCGATGCATCCTCAAAAAGTGACTGTGTGGTGTGCATTTTAGTCAAAAGGCATCATCGGACCTTACTTTTTCGAAAATGCGGCCGGGGACGCCGTTACCGTCAATTCTGAGCGATATCACGTGATGATAGAGGACTATTTTTTGCTGCAACTTGAAGGAATGGATATGGACGATGTTTATTTCCAACAAGACGGTACAACATGCCACACAACCAACGTCAATATCCATCGATTGCAGTCCTTCTTCGGTGATCGCGTGATTTCGCGCATAGGAAATGTGCCATGGCCACCAAGATCGTGCGATTTGACTACCTTGGACTTCTTTTTATGGGGATATTTGAAAAGCAAAGTCTACGTCAACAAACCAGCCACCCTCCAAGAACTCAAAAACAACATCGTTGCCGAGATAACTGCCATAGAACCGACCATGTTGCAAAATGTCATTGAAAATTTCGACCATCGCGTGGACGTCTGTAAATCCAGTCGTGGTGAACATTTGAGCGATATTATTTTTCATACATAAATGGTATAAATGAACCTTCAAAATAAAGTACCCAACTTGATTTGAATATCAATCTTTCTTGTTTTAATATGCGTTTACTTTCCTGCGTCCGTTTTGGACAACCCTTTATAATTCGTTATACCATAATACTCACTTATACAGAAATACATTCATTAGACTCCCTTTTGCTCTAAAGCGGCAAAAAGTTAATCCTTGTTTGAATGATTTTTATCTCGTATTTGCTTATCTAAGTATTCCCATAGATTTTCATGGGGTTTATATCGGGAGACTGTAAAGGCCATTTGAGAACTGGTATTTTTCATCCAGAAAGAATTTCTTTGCGAGATTTGAGGTGTTGCTGGAAGATTGATCTCAAGGGCATATTGTCTTACATGCTTTAGTATGTCTGTGTATACAAACCTATCCATAATGCCAACTATTCTATGTAAAGGTCCCATCTCAAACCTCGAAAAGCACCCCCAAACCATAACAGACCCGCCTCCATGTTTGACAGTGGGCAAAGTGTACTTGGGGTTCAATCTAGGACGTCTAACGTAATGAGCACCATCTGATCCAAACATATTGAACTTGGATTCGTCACTGAAACATACCCTCTTCCAGTCACAAATGCTCCAATCAAGATGCAACCGTGTAAATTGTAATAGGTCCAAATAACTTCAAATCTTTCAATCTTCTACTTATAGTTTTCGTAGAAACACTGACAATTCCTTTTGTCTCGATTTCGGTTTTTATTTGTCTTGGGGTTTTAAACGGATCTTTAGACGAAATTACTTTTATTCTAACTGATCTAGCATTTAGTTTTCTAGGCCAACCACTTCTCTTTGAGGCTTCCAAGATACCTTTTTCTTTATATTTGTTCAGTATTGCCCAAACTGTTTTACGCTTCAGCTTCAAATTTTTGGCAATGTCGACTTGACGTTGACCATCTTTGTATAACTCAATGATCTTCACATCGAAAGAAATTTCTGGACCACGCGGCATGGTCTTAAAATCACTCAACTTATTCCACGATACTTGATGAACACAGACTAATCCTCTTCTGACACGAAACTGTACTAAACTAATGCTGAAAAGAATTTGTCTACATAAAAAAAGTGCTTATATTCAGACTTGCATTGCAGATAATGTAAAAACAAGGAATTTACTTTTTCTACTAATAACGCATTTGTTTAAGGAGCAATGAAGTATGAATTCGTTTTCTAAAGGTATTTAGGTAAATATTCATATTTGTCTATATACTTTTGTCCATTACTGTATATCTACTTAACTATGATTGATACTTCCATTTAAAGGATGGGCCATCCGTTGGTTTCTTTTTTAAATTGGTATTAAAACTACACTCTTCAATAGAGTTATTCGCAAAAAAATGAAGCCTCCAAAAAGAACTTTGAACTCATTTATTTTGGATAAAGTCGAGCAATGTGAAGTATACACCACTGTTATGTCCTTAAAAAATCGGAAAAGTCCTGGGTTCGATGGTATTAAAAGCGAGCATTTGAAAATTATAGCCGAGGACATAACAGAACCACTCACTTACCTAAAAACAAATGCTTTGAATCTGGCATATATCCCTCAATTTTAAAAAAAGGTAATATAATACCGATACATAAATCAGGAACAAAAACAGATGTTAACAACTATAGACCAATATCAATCATATCCAGTGTAGTAAAGGTTTTTGAAAAAGTTTTATCTACTAGAATGATTCGATACCTCACAAAATTCAAAATTTTAAGTGAAAATCAATATGGATTTACAGAAGGGAAGGCTACATCGGACGCAATAACTAAAATTGTAAATCAAATACATCAAAATATTGATAACAGAATCCCTTCAATCTGCATTTTTGTTGATTTAAAGAAAGCTTTCGACACAGTTAATCACAAATTATTATTAGAAGCATTGGAGAGAATTGGTTTCAGAGGAAACGCGTACTCACTGATTGAAAGTTATTTGTCAAATCGCCCACAATTCTGATACAAAAATTAAGAAAATCGTAAATACTATTAAGTACGAAAAACTTGAACGAGAACTTGCTGGCTGCTATTGGAATTTTGGTGAGAATATGGAAAAAATATATGACAACATAATAGGAAATATAAAAACTTGTTTAGATCTTGCAACTGATAAAAAACTGATTTGCACGACAAAAAATACACCCTGGTATAACAAGAATATTAAGGCAGTTCAAAATTTGAGAGACAAACAATACAATAAATGTATATTCACAAAATCAAATGATGATTGGGAGGTATATAAAACTCTTAGGAATAAATGTGTATATGTAATTAGAGAAGAAAAAAGAAAATTCTACGATAAACAAATCGATAATAACAAGTACGACAGTGTAAAGATGTGGAAGACTTTAAAAAGACTGATCAATTCGAAGCCGGATGATTGTGTAAATCAAGTTCAATTCGAAAACGGTACCGAAACAAATTCTTTGGTGATTGCAAACAAACTAAATGAATATTTTGTGGAAAGTATTGTTGATATTGTAGGTACTGCCAATGCTGCACCTGACTATATGAAAATCAGTTTCCAGGGGGAAATGTTGCATACACTTTCAAAATTTCACAGCGTATCATTGAATCATCTAAGAAAAAAAGTAAACAGTTTAAAATCAAATAACAACTGTGCCGAAATGACTACTAAAAACGTGCTGAAAAACTGTTTCGAAATTTTGGGATATCCTGTATTAAATTGGATCAATTGTTCACTGAGAAGCAGTTCTTTCCCTGAAAATTTGAAATGCTCTACAATAACACCAGTTCCCAAAATAAAAAATTCTAAAAGATGCAGCGATATGAGACCAGTAAATGTGTTACCAGACATTGAAAAATTATTAGAATCCATAGTGCATGACCAATTTATAGAAGAAAAAAAGACTTAAAAGATTTACGTTTCGGAAATTGTTTCAAAAGAAATTTAAAAAAGTGGCTACATTCTATATCTGGGACTGAAATTCATAAACTCATAAATACGAACATCAACTAAATACATAATCTACTGTAACTAATTTTTGTCCTTTTTTGTCATTTGCATTCTACAGTTTCAACTTAAATTATTGGTCCATGTACAGGCGATGCCTTCTATTGGGCCTGTTTTGATTTTATATTTATTTACTCATATTGTTTGTTATCTTTGTACATTGAGTGAATAAATATTATTATTATTATGTTGACTGTCTGAAGAGAAAAGTGAAATTTCCAGCATCCATTATGGTCTGGGGCAGTACGTCATCAAAAGGAGTAGGAAAACTTTAATTTAATGGTGGAAATGTGGATACAAACAAATATTTGGCAATTTTAGAAGAATCGCTTTTACCAGTGATGTTTGACATCCGGCCAAGATTTTGTGTTTCAGCAAGATGGTGCAGCGTGCCATACCTCAAAAAAGGCTATAAAATGGATTGAAGAAAATAATGTACCACTTTTGAAATGGGGTTCTAGCAGTCCAGATCTGCCACCTATTGAAACTTTGTGGCACGAGATGAAAAAGGTTCTACGACAACATCCTGCTCGTACAATCACCGAACTGAGACAAAAGCTTCGAAAAATAAGGAATTGTTTTACACCAAATTTTTGCCAAAACTTGGTTAACACTATACCCCAAAGAATTTCAGCCGTAATAAAAAATAAAGGTGATGTTACCCAATGGTAATCTTTCAATTGTTGCTTTGTTAACTTCGCGCATTTATTCGCACATTGTTTATTTGTTCAGATGTTCTATCAGTTATAGGTCTAAGTGATTTCAAATATGTATTTTTTATCTAAAATGTTTTTGAGAAAATAAATTGTTTTAGAAGTAAATAGCTTCGTCATGTTTAATTTATAAAGGCATATTTTGGTACAAATCTTAAAGTGGGCCAACTGGAGTGGGAAGGGTCTCGTAGTGCACGAATTTCCATTTTTGTAATAAACCGTAACACAGAACGCACGCTACTCGCCCCCCCTTTTCCACTTACCTATCATCGATCAGATACAGCTGCATCAACTGCATAACGAAACTGACGCCCATATAGTTCAAGCCGTTCTCCATGCATTGCGCCAACGCCATATCGTACTGCGGCACGTTGACCAGGCCCGATTTGATAAGCGTATCGACGGCGTCGATGTTGTACCGTTGCTGTTCCTCTCTGCATTCGGTCAGGCAGCGCGTCACCAGCTTGTTCGTCCACTGCTGGCCGTACACGCGCGGGTCCTGCATCGTCTTCAAGATGCGCGTGATCAGATCCTTGAAGCGCAACGTAACCGGATCGGCGTCGCTCAGAGCTGGCACCAAGCAGTCTTGAAGGCTCTCGACGCACTTCAATCAAATTGTAATAGTCGTAAGTCAAACGTTATAGTGAATTTTTCACTTGATACGCTCACAAAACTTATACGATCCCTAACACGAAAATGTTAGCAAAGATTTCCTTTATTATAAGAAAAATAAGTTACAACGTAGGGAAAACCTTAAGCAGTTACTGTGCCTTATTTGAATATAGATTGATCAAAATTGTTTAAAAAGATACTTATTCTACAAAAACGAACTATTAAATATATATCTACAGTATATTCAGATAAGAGATAGACCGGATGTAAACAAAAGGTTCGGGTGATTTTCACGCTAACGCCGCCGTCTCGACGTAAAACAGGAGCCCTCATTGATCAATTCGCAATTAAATGCCTATGCCGAGCGGCAGAGCAGTCGTATCAAGGCAGAGTCACATTCAGGTTCAGACGTGTTACGTATGTCGTGTGCATCATTGCAATTTGATATTTCTTTGGACGTTTTCGTTTGTTATCTTATTAAGTTGTTGAGTTTGTCGTTGTTATTGTTATACCTTGTTATTGATTGTTATTGTTATCAACTGCTTGCGCAAAATGCCCAGTAGTACAGATACTGCCGATGAAGTTGTAAACTCCTGTAGTCCACCTAGGAAACGCTCTAAAAAAATACACCTGAGTGCAGAAATGAAAGAGGTCATTTTGAATATATATAAGATCGAGCGCGAGGAGAACGAGGCATCAACCATCAAAGAAATTGTTGTGAAGGTTTCTCACAAAGTTGGGGTGTGTCGCGCATCAGTGTTTAACGTGTTAAGACAATACAAATAAAACCACACCTTTTCTGAGCCAATGACCAGTAAACATCGCAAAAGTATTGTTAAATCATTGGATGAAGCTGATAAGCATGCGATTAGGAGGAAAGTGCATGAATTCTTCTTTAGGAATGAAATACCTACTATAGATAAAGTACTGCAGGAGGTAAATGGAGATACAACGTTGCCAAATTTCAAACGATCAACTTTCCATGCGTTACTGAAGCATTTAAATTTCAAATGGAAAAAACGGGGTCGTAATAGTTTACTATTGGATAGAGAAGAAATTGTGCTATGGAGGAGGGATTATTTAACAAAAATTGGGAAATATAGAAATCAAAACAGGAAGATTTATTACCTTGATGAAACGTGGGTAAACGCAGGACACACTACAAGTAAAGTATGGGTTGATGATTCTGTAACTTCATCCAGGAGGGCCTTTCTAGATGGACTGTCCACCGGATTAAAAAATCCAGCAGGTAAATACGAGTAATAGACAAGAATCGGATGTTCTTCAAACCTTGGGAACAAGGTTCTAAACATTAATTCCAGGGGGCAGATAAAACATATTGCAAGTAACAAAACTTTTATAACTTTCGATAAAATGCGTGGATGTTTTATTGTCATTTTCATTTGTTAGAACTTTTTTAAGCCATGTTTTTATGTGTTTTCGATATTTCAATAATTTTTTAATATATCCTTAAAATATGTCGAATATTATAAACTTAAAAAAAGTTACTAAGTTTTATATTGTGTACCGTTCCTAATATTTCTAATCATTTTAATTCATACTTTAAGCTTTATAAAGTTATAATTTGTTAATATTAATATTTGCGCGTATTTCCGGTTCCTGATCATTCATTTTTTAAAGGTTTATAACTTTAAATTAAATTGTGAAAAATATCAACTTTGAAGAAGCAATGCTGAAAGTACAATTATTAAGAATTGTCAAGGATCACAAGGCGGAATATCAAAAATACGCCATTGACGAAATGGCGGCAAGTCCTGTGCTCCGTTTACCTCCATACCATTGCGAGCTCAATCCCATTGAGCTCATATGGGCAGAGGTTAAAAATTATATAGCTAAGCACAATACAACTTTTAAATTTTGTGACCTCAAAGGACGTTTCAAAGAAGCACTAGAATTAATAACAGCGCAAAAATGGGAAAACTGTATTAAGCACGTGAAAGACAAAGTTGAAAAGAGAATGTGGGAACTGGACAATATTTTAGAGGAACAAGTTGAGCCATTCATTATTGACGTTGGTGCTTCAGGCAGTAGCGATGATGAAAGCTCATCAAGCTCATCTTTCCAATAAAAGATGTCGTTCATCAAATTCGGTAAGTTATAAGTAATTATAAAGCTACTGTATTTTTTAATTAATTATTGACATTTTTGAACCCATTTTGGCAAAACCTATTCAAGAATCTACTTTCTGACAATGTTCAACCATGCACAGTTTTTTACGTTTTGAACGTTTTAAATTGGTTACATATTTACCTAGAAATCAAAAAATATACTAATCAATATTATAAAAGCAATTTTAAGAGATATACGATTATTTTTAATTTAGGCCAATTTAAACGCCATTTTGAGATTATATTTGACTGTATTTCACCAAACATCAGGCGGCATCCGAAGCTGGAAATCGAAGCGAAAATTTTGAAACCCTTATGTATATTTACATCATTATATATTTCTTACCCAACCCCCACATGATCCTATATCCATCACCAATCGTATACACATCGAATTGTGCTAATTTACTACAAAGTTACGCAAAGCAGCATCTACTATCTAAAATATGTACTGCGTGACTCTTAATACGTCCCTGCCGAATGTTACAGCGTTCGATGATCACGTGGTCTTGTTTATGTCCGGTCTATCTCTTATCTGAATATACTGTAGAAGCAATCCTACAGGACTGAAAAACAATATGAATAATAGATATTTTTGAAAATTATATTGTAATTTGTCATCCTGAAAAATCATATTGACTATGTGCATTATGAACTCACCTTTTGTACGATGGCTTGAGGTGGAGCCAAATCTCTGTTTCTCAATGTATACATGAGGTTATCTCTTATTACAAGCATATTTGCATTCATGTGGTTGTATTGTCCTTGACCGGCGGTCAACTGCACGAATTGTTCAATCTGAAAGAAAATATTTATCATCACCACATTCCGATGACCAGCTACTTTCTGTCCAATCTATCCCTCATATCAGAATAGGATAAATTTTGATGCTTATGTTTTCTTTGAAATATGAGGCCTAAGTGATGAAACTGGCAACGTAGCGTTCGACCTGGCAACACTGGAGGCGCTGGGCTTGGGGGGCAGACAGGAGAACATCTGATTCGCCTTCAGTGCAAGTTTGAAGTCGCTCGAGTCGTTTGGTTATCCGTAGAGATTTTTTCTGTTGTGTTCGGACTTCGAGACCCCAAGTTTTTCGGTGGTTTATGACATTTTCAGAAGGGAGAGAGTCGATTGAAGATGAACCACTAAGCGGGGGGCCTTCATCTTCAAGAACCGATGAAAATATGGACAGAATCTGGTGTCTTGTAGGTTCAGATCGTCGGTGACTAGTCAGAATGATCGAAGGAGAGCTAAATTTGACCCGCACCGTTCATCACTTTGAAAATAACTGTTTGGTGTTGCAGCACGATAATGCTCCTTGTCACAGAATTTTTGGCCAGTAATAACATTTTTGTGACTATTCAGCCTCTTTATTCGCCCGACTTGAATTCTTGTGACTTTTTCTCATTTTGGGGATCATTCAAACGGCGGTCTTAGATCTTTTTTTTGGGATGAGTTGGATACGAGCGCTGTCATTAGTAAAATCGGGCCTAAATCCATATACTCACCTCAACGATCAGCTTTTCGTAGAGCAGCGACAACGCCAAATCGTCGGGCGGCTGTTGCGGTTGCGCCTGCGCGATCTGAAACGGCGTCGCCGCGTGAGGCGGCTGTTGTGGCGGCGGGTGCTGTTGCTGCTGCTGTTGTTGCTGCTGCTGCTGCGCAAGCGCGACCGCCGCGTCGAGCTGTCCGCCGGCGCCACCTATCGGCTGTTTCTGTCCCAGCACGACCGCGGCCGCCGCCGCTGCTGCGGCTGCGGCGTCTCGCTCGGAAGGCAGGAAACCGGGGATGTTGCGCGCGAATTCTTCGTAGACGGCCATCTGATTCGGCGCCACGCCGCCGACTTTCAAGCGGATTTGTTCGGGCATGCGCTCGGCTTGGTACGTCAGGGCGATAGCGTCGCAATAACGTCTGCAATCGAATATTCTTTGCGGGATTACCAATCAACAGCCACCTGAACACCCTATACAAGGTGTCCAAGATAAGGATCGTATGCATGGGGATCTCGACACCTGTCGGAGATACAGCTTAGGTTAAGGAGAATGTTGCGCTCCTCGGGGCGTATTTATATGCGTTGAGAAACTAAAAATCCTGCAGAAATGTAGCTTGCCCTGTTCGTACAGCTGTCACCAACCTGGCAGCGATCGTGTCCAAGGTCCCGCCACACAAATTCCGTTCATTCGCTATTTAGACAAAATTCACACGGCCGGATCCCAGACACTGTCGCCAACAAGTTACCGAAAAGGCGTGGCAATTTATTTACCACAACTCATTAACTGCAGAACGGTGCCTCCAATTGTTGCAACATCATCTAAAAGTTAAACTATAGCTCTCACAGGTATCGAGATCGCCGTGCATAGGATCCTTATCTTGGACACCCCGTATGTTCAAACATACTGTGGATATCTATTTTGGAGATGTTCTCCGTCTCCAAATAAATAAACAAACACAACTTACCTCCCTTCCTGCCGCGCCATCTTCCTCAACTCGTACTCGCTCATCAGCCGTTTGTCGATTTCGGGTATCGCCTTTTCTACCGCCGTCTTTTGCACGAATGCGCACGCCAGCTCCATGTTGTCGTTCGCTATCACGCTGGCGGCCTGTTCGATCATGTCCTTCTGTTGCGCGGTGGGAGAGACCAGCTGTGCCAGCAAAGCCTGTTTCAGGTGCGTGTTGATTGCGGACAGCAATTGCTCCCTAAAATATATCAGGCTAGCCCCATTAGTCGAATGGCAAGTAGACCACGTATACGATACAGCCAGAATCGTCAGCCGCCTAGCGGTCATGCGGTGACTGGGCTATTCTCAACAAACATTCTATCAGAATGCTATTTCAGCAGCGGAATCGGTCCAGCGTAAAAGCTGGTAGAGATTTTTCTCATGCCGCGCTCCTTCAAAGGATGAATTTTTAAAGTCTTGTTTACCGTCGTCATACTAAGAATATTACAACTCTGTATAATATAGTCAATAATGGTCAAAATTAATTTTGAAGTATCCTCAAAAATGACACGCTCCAACTCTACTTTTTACACTCCAACCGGTACGACAAATATATCATACATGTCTCCAATAAATAGTATGTGTAATAGTTTTGATTAGTATTGTCAAGGATGAGATATTAAATTTGATTATTTAAAGGTGGTCTTAGGCAGTTTTAAAAGAAATTACATGATAATGAACGGAATGCAACCCATCTTCAACCTTTTTAGTACATTTTTAACCTTAATGGAATACCTTATATGTATATTTTAATTACAACTATTTTATTGTTCTAGTAGGAAAGCTGTTAATGTGATTCAATTTTGACTTTCGATGCACAGAAGCGCTTTAAAAAATTAAGGAGTACCACTATTTGATTCCTTTTCTTGGTTGATCTGAGAAAATGCACATAATGTGCTCATTCTACTTTCTGACTCTGATAAAAATACTTACCGGCACGTAATCATTGCCATGCCCGCTGTCAAGTTTCTAACCATGTAATGGGCAGCTAGTCGAATCCTGTTTTCGTCTGGATCGAGGGAGAAGTCTTTCCTTACAATTTGCTCACAGGTTTGCAATGCTATTTTGATCGACCTAAATAAAATAATACTATTTATTCACTCCATTGTATTGGGTTGTCCAAAACGAACGCAGGAAAGTAAACGCATATTACAACAAGAAAGATTCATATTCAAATCAAGTTGGGTACTTTATTTTGAAGGTTCATTTATACCATTTATGTATGAAAAATAATATCGCTGAAATGTTCACCACGACTGGATTTACAGACGTCCACGCGATGGTCGAAATTTTCAATGACATTTTGCAACATGGTCGGTTCTATGGCATTTATCTCGGCAATGATGTTGTTTTTGAGTTCTTGGAGGGTGGCTGGTTTGTTGACGTAGACTTTGCTTTTCAAATATCCCCATAAATAGAAGTCCAAGGGAGTCAAATCGCACGATCTTGGTGGCCATGGCACATTTCCTCTGCGCGAAATCACGCGATCACCGAAGAAGGACTGCAATCGATGGATATTGACGTTGGCTGTGTGGCATGTTGCACCGTCTTGTTGGAAATAAACATCGTCCATATCCATTCCTTCAAGTTGCGGCAAAAAATAGTCCTCTATCATCACGTGATATCGCTCAGAATTGACGGTAACGGCGTCCCCGGCCGCATTTTCGAAAAAGTAAGGTCCGATGATGCCTTTTGACCACAATGCACACCGCACAGTCACTTTTTGAGGATGCATCGGCTGCTCTTGATACTCACGGGGATTTTCGTTCGTCCAGATGCGGCAGTTTTGCTTGTTTACCGTCGCATTCAAAGTGAAATGCGCTTCGTCGCTGAACATGATTTTTGATGAAAAATTGGCATCAATTTGGCGGTGTTCAAGGAGCCAATCTGAGAACGTTTGGCGCGAAAAATGGTCGGCCCGACGCAGCTCTTGCGTCAATTGGATCTTATAGGCGTGTACATTCAAATCCTTGTGGAGAATGCGGAGCAAACTGGTTCTCGAAATGGCCAATTCTTGGGATCGACGCGTTGTTGATTGTTTCGGATCGTCTCTCACACTCACCTTCACAACAGCAATATTTTCCGGTGTGCGAACGCTCCTTGGCCGGCCAGAGCCTGGCAGATTTGCCACAGAACCTGTTGCCTCGAATTTACGCACCAGACGACCGATGGTTGTTTCGTTTGGGCGGTTGTTGCGACCGAAATGTTCACGAAGCGTGCGAAACGTGTTTTTTATTTTTGCACCATTTTTGTAGTGTTCTTGAATAACTTTAATGCGGTCTTCAATCGAATACGACTCCATAGCGATCAACGGTAAACGTTCAACTAACAAAATGACATGTCGGTGACAGAAAACAAAGATGGCGTCTATGTCAAATTGACGTTTACTTTCCTGCGTCTCTATTGGACAACCCTTTACAATGATACCAAACAAAATGAGTAAATAGATAATCACAATCAAAACAGGCAATATTTTCAAGTTGTAACTGTAGAATGCAAATGACAAAAAAGGACTTATTGCTCATAAGCAAAAAGCTTATTATTATATAACGGTAACTGGAGCCATGTTTTTGGAATATTCACAACTATACAAGGTGTCCCAACTTTGAGCCACATATCTAAGTTGATTTTTTCAAATGGAAGAAGGAGATTGATATAACTTTTTATACATTTTATTTAACAAAAACACCTTCACCGACCTGTCAACTACGGGCGCGATCCACTCCTGCACGGCCCTTTCGATGGACGCTCTCACCAGCGCCTTCAGCTGTGGCTGAGTCTGGAAAAGCAAGATGGACGGCGAGACGACGGTGTGCGTTTGGAAAGCTTGCATGCCGGCTATCTGGATATCGGAATACCCGAAGCGGGGCTCCGGCGGCGCTGCCATTGAAGACGTCGGTGTGCTGCTGCTGTTCTGGATCACCGGAGAACTTATCTGTTGCCCTAAAAACAAAACAAAAATAGAGCATAATAGAGCAGAATAAACTCCTGTATACGTCTAGGCATCGACAAAATGCTGCATATGCTGTGGCGGATGGTACAAAGTGGACAGTCTCCTCAGATATCACACGTGTTCGATGGGATTTAAATCCGGTGAACGGGGTGACCACGGCAACACAATAACGCTGCTTCTTGAAGAAAGTTCGCAGTACGACGAGCAATATGGAGACGTGCATTGCCTTGCTGAAAAAGGACGTGTGGACGGCCCTCTAGATACGGCAGTAAAGTGGTTTGTAAGACATCATCAACATAACGCGCAGCCTTGAACAAAAAGGACAAACCATTACTCCAACAGTCCTGTGTACGTGCAAATCCAATATCACGGCGTACTCCACGGCGGCGTCTTACCCTTCTACGACCATCGTGCGTACCTAGACAGAATCGCGATTCGTCGCTGAAGATGACATTATGCCTCACAATGTTACCTCTCTGCTCTAGTTCAAACGTTGGCGACAGTGGTCCGCAGTCAGAGGAAGCACTAAACAAAAGTCCAAAGGCGATAGAGTCTACGCATAGTAACAGGTCTACCTTGTTCTCCGAAACAAAATGTATGTAATACATGGTGCATCGTTTGCCAAATTGAAATGGCGGTTAGATGACGTCTTTTTCTAGGTCCAGGTCCATCAAACAGTTTTTAGCCCAACGGAATTAATTATGTAGATTTTTTAAATTTTTTTAGTAAAAACTACAAATTGTAATACACAAAGTGAAATAAAAAAAAATAAAGAGTACCTAATGATTCATTTATCTTAATGGGTGTTGTAAAAATCTTACAAAATGAACATTACTTGCCAACAGCATGTAGTTTTTTATTTATAAACTCACAAAGGGTTACAAAGAAGAACAAAGAAAATGTAAGTCACAATTTTGAATTTCTGTGAAAAAAAACTAAAAGCGTTCACGTACTTTTAAAAACTACTCTAGTTTATCCGGATTCTAACGGTATGCCACAAGTCACAAAAAAATTTAACTAACTTACTGAATTTGCAAATTTTGTGTACAGGGGAAGGAAAATAAAAAAGGGGAAGGAAAATAAAAAAACGTGATAAATCAAATTTCAATCATTCATTATTTTTTGGGTCTTTGTAACCCTTTGTGAGTTTATAAATAAAAAACTACATGCTGCTGGTAAGTAATGTTGATTTTGTAAGATTGGTACAACATCACCCATTAAGATACATTAATCGTTGAGTGGACATACTCTTAATTCTTTTTAATTTCATTTTGTGTATTACTTTTTGGAGTTTTTACTAAAAGAAATTAAAAAATCTACATAACACTGATCAACAGCCAAAATATATCCTAAATAAAATCAACAAAATATTACTATTTTTAATGTGCTAAAACCGGAATGAAACTTATTTTTTCAATATTAGTTCAAGTTTTAGAGATACGGTAATTATATTTGTTCCTGCTGTGACAGTGTTAATATACTGTAATTCACAAGAATGCACGTGCTATATTTTTATATTCGGCAAGGAAAGATGATGTAATCGGCATGATTGTGTTACGTTATACATACGTGTACATTATATTGTTTTATATTAGCCATTTTTTCCTCAGTTGGCTGACAGCGTTCATGCAAGATGTCTCGAAAGTGTGTAAACAATCCAGATCAGTTTTGTTACGTGTGTGGTGATGTGACTTTTGCGTCTCAGAGACGGTCTATTACTATACCAATAACAAAGGCATATCAGCTTTATTTCGGTTGTAAACTAGGTGATCAAGACAAACAGTGGGCACCCCACATCTGCTGTAATACATGTGCTTCAAGTCTGAGGAGCTGGTTAAATGGCAAAAAACGGTCTATGCGCTTTGCTGTCCCAATGGTTTGGAGAGAGCCTACAAATCATATTAATGATTCTTACTTTTGCATGGTACCTTGTGTTGGACAAGCCACAGGTATGTCCAAGAAAAAAAAATCAGTTATTAACTACCCAAACATACCATCTGCGATCAGACCTGTGCCTCACAGTGACGAAAATCCTATTCCAAAACCCCCAGAATCCTACACTTGCGAATCAGATCATGGCGATCGAGTGATTCGTCAGGAAGAAGATATGCCATCAACGTCAAGAGATCCTGATTTTATACCGAGCACGTCATGCCACCAACCGCACAAAATAACAGTCAGAATTAAATGATCTTGTAAGAGATTTAGAACTTCCAAAATGTAAGGCAGAGTTACTTGGATCAAGACTGCAGCAGTGGAACTTGTTAGAAGACGATGTTTCGGTATGTGTTTTTCGTAAACGCCACAAAGACTTAGAACCATTTTTCAATATGGAGAATAACTTGGTTTTCTGCAGTAACATTAAACGGCTTACTGGCGGCTTTAAATATAAACTATAACCCAGAAGAATGGAGATTGTTTATAGACAGTTCAACATTGAGTTTAAAGGTAGTGTTATTGCATATTGGAAATATTTTACCATCTCTTCCTGTAGGGTATGCAGTTCACATGAAAGAATCATATGACAATATAAAGTACCTATTGACATGCATAAAATACGATGAGCACCAATGGCATATTTATGGCGATTTGAAAGTTGTTGCACTTTTACTTGGGCTGCAGCTACGCTACATAAAGTTTTGCTGTTTTTTGTGTGAATGGGACAGTCGAGCAAAGGCACTTCATTACACCAGACAAAACTGGCCTGTTCGTCAATTCCTAGAGCCAGGTCAAAAAAATGTACAGCATATGCCATTAGTAGATTCGAAAAAAAAATTTATTACCACCACTGCATATCAAGTTGGGCCTAATGAAAAACTTTGTCAAGGCATTAGATAGAGATGGGTCAGCTTTTCAATACCTGCGTCAGAAATTTCCAAGACTAAGTGAGGCAAAGGTTAAAGAAGGTATTTTTGTTGGGCCACAGATTCGAAATATTTTGAAAGATACACAATTTGAAAACAATTTAACAGGTATTGAAAAAACTGCTAGGAATGATTTCCGTCTGGTGGTCACTAATTTCTTGGGAAATAGAAAAGCTGACAACTATAAAACCCTTGTCAAAAATATGCTGTCATCGTATCAAAAGATGGGCTGTAATATGTCTCTTAAGATACATTTCCTACACTCACACCTGAACTTTTTTCCTGACAATTGCGGAGCCGTAAGTGATGAGCACGGCGAACGTTTTCATCAGGATATTTCAACAATGGAAAAAAGGTACCAGGGAAAGTGGAATCCTTCCATGCTTGCAGACTACTGTTGGACTCTTGGTAGAGATGCTTCAGAAACGATCCATAAAAGAACAGCAAAATGACAGCGCATATAGTGATTCTTATAAGTATATGAATCTTGTTACTTTTTTTAATATATCCTTAAAAATAAAAAGTTTTTTTTCTAAACCGCAACTAATTTTTTTATTTCATTGTCATTTTTGGATTCAGCGCCCCAAAATTAACAAAGTGCACTTTTCCCACAAGATACAATTAAAAAACTAAAATTTGTTGTCCAGTGTAATTAATGCCGTTGGCCTAAAAACTGTTCGAGGGACCTGGGGTGATAGAAAAAGACCTCCCCTGTCCGCCATTTCAATTTGGCAAACGATGCACCAAACACCCTGTATATTCAGCAAACGAACAAACTTACCTGGGATGATGTTAACCAATTCTGGATCGTTCATTCCTTGGTTTGCGGCCTGCTGTGTGATCTCCTTCTTGACGGGCTGCGACAGTTGAAATTCGATTTTTTGTATTCGTTCAGGATCTTTCAGATACACGGACGGTTTCAGCTGAGTCACGTCGATGTCGAGGTGCTTGCACAAAACTTCGATTTCGAACTTGAGCGTCAGTTTCAGATCGGTTTCAGAATGCAGTTCGGCCAATACGTTCATCAGAGCTATCGTCCAAGGGTTGGGCGCTTTGAAGACCTTGCTTTTCGCGCACGATTCCAATACTTTCGCTACGAAAGGTACGACGTACAGCAGTTCCTGTTGCCCTTTGTGGTAAGCTTCGACCAGGAGCGATTTCAGATCGAGGTCTATCTGCAAAATCGGCTTGTTCCGGGCTAGCGTCAGCATGCCCAGCCAGTGACCCAGGTTTTTCAACAGCGATCTATCGGAGAAGTTAGCTATCGCTTTGTCGGATCGTAAAAGCACCCTGATGTTCCTGAACGTCTCCTTCGTGACGAGCTTCAGCAGCCCCAGGTTGCCTAGCGTATCGAGAAAGTTCGAGTAGAGCACGTGAAAGTTGACCTCGATGGAAGCCCGTTTCATCACCAAGTACTGCGACAGCCACGGATAGTACTCATCGGAGACTATGTCTCTCAATTCGTCGCACTTTGGTTTCAAGTTCAATTGACTCAAGTTGTTGAATATGAACGCAACTTTATCTTGCATCGCGTCCGGTGGCGCGACCGCTTTCTCCTCCTTTTCGGTGGCTACGAGGAGCGTGTCGATGTTGGTCGCATTCGCGATCGAAGGTCTACTACCGAGAGTACTCGCAGGGGTGGTAGTGACTTTCGCCGGAGCCACCGTGCTCGTCGTGCTGCTCGTTTTGTAGACGTTAGAAGATGTGGTGGGTGGCGTTAGCATGGCCGAAAGACTCGGCGGAAGAACTGGACCGTCAGGGTTGTGAGGTGGTTCCATTCTTTGGAGACCGTATTCCACGTATTCCTGAAATGAACGATTTCTTTTTTCATAGTTATTATCCACAGTCGATGTCAAGCCGGAAATAGTTATCGGAAAAATATATAAAAATCTAAGTCTTGTACTTTTCAAATTACGACTTCTGGGACTACCTGTATATATTTCAAAACGGGTAATCGCATTAAGGGTGTTCGGAAGTTTGACATCAACATTTTAAGGTATGATAGCAACCACTTCAGTTGGCCCAACTATTGAAATCTTAGTTTTTTCTTATCAAACACAAATAATCAAAATGTGGCAGGGTGTTATAGGCTTAAAGTATAAACAAAGAATATTTTGATAATATATAGTAGAAAACACCAACTTTATCACTCCCTAATCAAATTTGCAGCATAAAAATAACACATGTTGCAATTACAGCATATCAACCTATTTTCATTTCAATGTAAAATAAGTCTATGACGCATAGGTGACTGTGAAAAATAAATAGTTTTGGGTAGTTAAGGTTTTCAAAATGAAAATTCGGTTGCTGATAATTAAATTTTTTAATTCTGGAAAATCAAACTCAAAAATTGCAACTTTGTTAGACTTATCGCGGTACAGTGTGAGAAATATTGTTAGAAGATATAACGTAACTGGTTCAGTTAATATTAAGCCACGATATGTGAAAAAAGTAATATCACAAATGCCGACCGAAGAGCATTAAGTAGAATAATCGTGAAAAACAGGCGTGCCAATTATTTAAAATCAAGTGATCTGTGGAGTGACGCTGTTGGAAGGAGAATTTCGAGGCCCACAACTCGGGATTTAGCACTTGCAAGGTAAGTTTTCTTATAAAAAAAGTGAAGTAAAAACCCTAAAGTTGCACAACTTGTTATAGGCCAAAGAAAAGCCACTATTAACTCCACTGCAAAAGAAAAATCTGCTTAGATGTGATAAAGAACATAGACAATGGACACCTCAACAATGGTGTGCAATACAATGGAGTGATGAGGCCCGATTCGAAGTTTGTGTTGGTAACAGTCGCAGTAGAGTTATTCGCAAAAAAAAATGAAGCATTCCATGATGACTGTCTGAAGAGAAAAGTGAAATTTCCAGCATCCATTATTGTCTGAGGCAGTATGTCATCAAAAGGAGTAGGAAAACTTCATTTTATTGATGGAAATGTGGATACAAACAAATATTTGGCAATTTTAGAATCATTATACAAAATTGACATTGTAGCATTAATGCTAAATAAATCTTCAACAACAACAAAAAAATATACGTCTAATTTCGAAATATCGTACGATTAAAGCGACTGCGAGTTCAAAATCTTGGAAAATAAACTCGAGAAAAGAAAAAAACAGTAGAAAAATATCAACTAACCGTAGTGACTGAAAAATTAGGAAAAATGCTCGGTATTAGTCCCTAATACATTATATAATGTCTCAGCGTTGTATCTTGATTTTTATTGATATTTACCTGCAAATGTTGCGGAAACTCGCTGAAGTGCGGTATGGCTCTGACATGTTCGCAATACTTGTGATACTCCTTCAGGCGACTCTTGAATCTGTCTAGCGCAGCGATACCGAAATAGTACATTTTCGAGCCTTCGGCTTTCTTCAACGCCTCCAAGACGAACCGGAGCGCCAAGCCGAGAACGAGGTACGACGGTACGATGCCTCGATCGATTATTCCGCCAAACAGCTGGGCAGTAATGTGCAGTTCCTTGTCCGGGTATTGCGGGAAAAACTTGTATTCCTCGAAAAGGCTCCTCAACATACAGTTGAACACCTGCAACAGATCATTTGAATAACAGACAGTCCTAAAACATGACCAAATCTAGACAGATTCAGGTAATTTCGCTAAAAAACTAGATTCGCATGTTCTGTTGGTCGCCGAAAACGAATCTACTATAATGATAGTTATAATAAAATTAAATAAATAATAAAAAAGAAATTGAGAAAGTTTTAGTAGTACCGAAAAGTATTGTTGATATTGTGGGTACTGCCAATACTGCACCTGACTATATGAAAACCAGTTTCCAGGGGGAAATGTTGCATACACTTTCACACAAATTTCTCAGTGTATCATTGAATTAACTAAGAAAACAAGTAAACAGTTTAAAATCAAATAATAGCTGTGCCGAAATCACTACTAAAAACGTGCTGAAAAACTGTTTCGAAATTTTGGGATATCCTGTATTAAATTGGATCAATTGTTCACTGAGAAGCAGTTCTTTTCCTGAAAATTTGAAATGCTCTACAATAACACCAGTTCCCAAAATAAAAAATTCTAAAAGATGCAGCGATATGAGACCAGTAAATGTGTTACCAGACATTGAAAAATCATTAGATTCCATAGTGCATGACCAATTAATAGAAGAAAACAAAATTTTAGTGGAGGCGCAAGCAGGCTTTCGAAAAAAATATTCCACAGAAACAGCTTTCAAGTTGGTAACTGAGAATTGGAGAAGAGCCATAGACTCAGAAGAAGTTGTCATAGCAGTATTTTTGGATTTGAAGAGGGCATTTGAAACGTTTGATAGAGATATTTTGTTAGGTAAATTGAAGGCATATGGTATAACAGGAAGAGTTTTAGATTGGTTTAGAAATATTTGTCTAAAAGGATGCAAGTTACAAAAGCTAATGACACTATTTCATCAAAAATTGAAAATACGTTGGGTGTTCCACAGGGCAGTATCCGGGGATCACTTCTTTTTATTTTATATATAAATGATCTACCTGCCTTAGTCAGAAAATGCAAAATTCAGATTTTCGCCGATGACACTATGATTTATATAAGTACTAAAAATATTCAGTCTGGTATCTCTTATATAAATGAAGACTTGAAACTTGTCTCAAAATGGATAATTCCCTGTATAAGTGGTTTTTAAAACAACGGGAAAACCATGTCCCAGTTAGTGGCGAAGTACTTAAACAGAGAGCGAGACTGTTAAATGAAAAACTGAAAGAAGCTGAAAATTTCGAAGCTAGTGATGGCTGGCTACAACGATTCAAAACAAGATATGGAATTCGACTGCTGTCTATATCTGGTGAAAAATTATCAGCACAACCACAATTAGTGCAACCATTCAAAGAAAAATTGATGAAAACAATTACCGAGCTAGATTTAAGAATGGAACAAATTTACAACGCAGATGAAAGTGGCCTTTATTGGAAAATGTTACCAGAGAAAACCTATGCTGCATCATTTGAAAAATCTGCCCCGGGAAGAAAGCCGGAGAAACAACGAATAACGTTTCTAGCCTGCACTAATGCTAATGGTTCACACAAAATAAAGCCACTGGTAATTGGGAAAGCAAAAAATCCGCGCTCATTTAAAAATGTTAATATCCCTGTTGATTATGACTGTTCAAAAACCGCTTGGATGACTAGCAGTATATTCCTGAAATGGTTCCACAGGTGCTTTGTCCCTCAGGTATGACAATCAATTATCACAAATGCTCTATTCATAATTTGAAGATGTGTTTTCAATTTGTAGGTTTCCTAAAACAACAGAAGCTTCCAATAAAAGCGTTGTTACTATTGGATAATGCACCAAGTCATCCTCCCGATCAACAACTGAGGAGCAGGGATGGGTCAATTTTCGTCATGTACATGCCGCCCAACGTAACACCGTTAATTCAACCGATGGACCAGAATATAATAAGACTCACCAAACTATACTATAGGAAGTTTCTACTTTCGTCTGTCTTATCAAAGAATCCTGAAAACTTATCTGAGGCTTTAAAAAAAGTAACATTACGAGAAACTGTTTTAGATTTACATATGGCCTGGAATGAACTTAACCAGCAAACTATTCAAAAATGTTGGAACAATCTCTTTTGTACCAATAATGAAGATGATGAAGAAGACGATGTCCCCTTAAGCGTAATTAGAGAACGTTTGCGATCCAATAATGATAATGTTATTAGTGTGTCACTGGATGTTGTTGATTTATTGAAAACAGTGAATCCCAACATTGTTTGTACTCCTGCTGATATTAATTTATGGAACGAAGATAAGCAGACGAATGATGCTGATAAGGAGGAGGATATGGACAGTGAGGATGATGAAAAAGATCCCATTGAAGTCAGAAGTGTAGTGACTGACGCGCAAGCTATACAAGTTTTTAACTAAGCTTTAGATTGGGCTGAAAGAAAAGAAGTTTCATACACGGATATTTTAGTTCTTCGTAAATTACGGGCGCAGGCATTGGAAGACAATGCTAAGCGCAAATTTACGCAGACAAAAATTAATTATTTTTCTTCTAATTAAAAAAATACTTATGCTGTTAGTATATTTGTTTATTTTGTTATAAATAGTATGTATTAAACGTTTCTTTTAATAAATCAAATATTATATAAATCACGTTCGCTAATGTAAATATTTCGATAATGTGAACCACACTTGGATTAAATTAGTTTACATTATCGAGCGTCTGCTGTATTTATCATTGTGTTTTATTAATTAACCAAAAAAAGGCGTGGCAATGGTTCAACCAAAAATAACAATCTAAAGACTTAAAACTGTGTTTTCTATTCAATTCAAAACTTAGGTTAATTTTGGTATGAATGTCCTATTTTCTATTACAGCACGATGGTGAAAATAAGGATATGGCCAGATCGGCATCGCCCAGTGCCAATAACAGAACAAACAAAACAATCCCCAAACCATGAAAAAACTAACCTCTTTTTCCTTCTTAACGTGCGAATCCTTGAACCGCTTCAGCATGTTGAGCACCTCGTCGATCGTAAGCGTCGGATTCGGCGGATGATTGTAAATCCTCTGGAAGTAGTTGTTCGCCTCGTCTTCGATCTCCTTGGAAACGTGCGGCGATATGTCCGGGAAGAGGTTGTATTCGGGCAGGCGCGCCTTATCGATAGCCGACGGGTCCGGCAGCATCCGGCCGGCGACGTTCATCTGGTTGACGCCGAGAACGAGCGACGAGGCTGTGGCGGCGCTTGCGGCGACCGCTGGAGCGCCACCGGCACCGCCGCCCCCGGTCGCAAGCTGGCCGGCGCCGCCCGCGTGCGTGTTCATCGGCGGTAGGATCGGGAACGGGCTGTTCGACGAGCCGGCGGTGCCGAGGATGCGGGACGGCGAGCCCGGAGACGGCACTAGAGGACCCAGACCGGCACCTAACAAAATATGTTCATTCATTTATTTATTTCCAACAGGTGAAACCCAATTACAGGAAACGCTCAAAAAATAACAATTAAAGAGACATGGTTCTTGGACTTAAATCTATAGTATCACACATTCTAAATAAGATTGGATGATCTATAGCAGTTAATAATCGATGCACAACTGTCACTGTAAATATCACACGATTCAGTAACATTGTTCATCACGCAGCACATGAGATTAATTGGCGATTTTGTCATAACATTTGTACGGCCAGCTTGACAATGGAATGCCGTTTGTTGTCGACTCCCTAGCCTTGGAACGCGGAAACATATTTTTTCAAGTAAATTTTGACAGTCAATTTTATTGTGAATGAGGCCATACAAAAACGACAATGCAAAAATGTTTCGTCTTGTTGACAGTGAATCCAAATTGAAAAACTCTAATAGGGCACTATGGTCACAACCTCTTTCTGGATAAGAACCTGTGCATTTAAGGTGAAAATACTTTAAAGCTTTACGTTGAATCGCCTCAAGGATCACGACAGAATTTTGGTATATAGGAGACCAGATCAGAGTCGCATACTCCAACTTGCTCCTGACAAAAGTAAAAAATAAAGTCATTAATGTATCAACATTGGAGAACCCCTCCAGTTTCTGATACAGAAACCAAGTAGTCGAGTGGCAGCCGACGAGATATTGAGTATATGCTCAGTAAACGTTAGCTTGGTATCAAAAATGACTCCAAGGTCTCTATAAAAGGTGCATCTGTCTATAACCTGACCGTTGATGTTATGAACACCATGACGAAATTAGAGCTAAGTCATCTTGCAACATGACGCAATCCTCGACTGTCTTGACTGACGTGCAGATTTTAACGTCATCAGCGAAAAACAAATGGAAACACTTCAGTTCAAAAGACAAGTCATTAATAAATATCAAAACAATAATGGACCTAGATTTCACGTGGCCCGATAGTAACTCGACATATGACCACCATATTCGACAAATAACCTTCTATCCCTCAAATATGAATTCATGGACGACATCATTGCATCAGACATACCGACTGTTTTAAGCTTATCCAGAAGTGCTTAATGATCAACTTGATCAAACGCCTTCTGAATATCTGTGTAGATGACATCAACTTGTCCCTGACCGTCCAGTACTTCAGAAATGTACTGAGTAATTAGAGCCAAGTTGGTGACTGCACCCCTGACCGAGCAGTAAACCGTTTCATAAGCGATGATCTCAAACAACTTGCTGAAATTGCACAGGATTGCTATTTGGCGATAGTTGGAAATATCAGAGATATCTCCACTTTTGTGAATAGGACATATTTTAGAGGTCTTCCAGATATTTGGATATGTCTCTGATTTTAAAATTATTTTGAATATGGAAGCCAGCGGTTTCGCTAGTATATGAATGCAATCTTTAACGAAAAAACTTGGAATACCATCACATCCAGACGTCATTTTGTTCTTTAATCTTTTCGAAGCCCTAATTACATTTTCTAAAAAAAAAATGATATCGGTAGAATTATTTGTTGGAGGAGATGACCCTAGTAGACCAGACTGGATAAAAACTGTTGAAAAGAAGGTTTGCAAAACTGTCCACTATATCCTGAGGCGTATCGCAGACATTGCCGTTAAGCGTCATCCTTGGGGGGATTCTAGATTGCTGTTTTTTGATCTGGGCAAATGACCAGAATTTGCTAGGATCATTGACAATGGCATCCTCAACCGACTGGACGTAAGCGGAGTAGGCAACACTGATCTGGTTCTTAATGAGCTTCCTAAAATTACTGAATTGATCATAATAAAACTTAGTACCGTCACGTTTCCAGTTCCTTCTTGATATTAAGAATAATTTCACATGTGAACCATGGGGGATACGAAAACATTTTATTTTTACATTTAGGGACATGGACCTCAAAGATGTTATTGATAACTGAATACAAGGTGGTACAAGCGACATCAATTCATTTGAATACTTCGCAACACGAAGACACGTCAAAAGATTTGTCAACTTTTCAACCAAAAACTACTTCATCTTCTGCACCCCAGGGTCGTCCCCTTAAACATTTTAAATGACAAAGGAGGAGGAGACCTTACACCTTCATGCACCAGCAATTCATTCAATTCTGCATGACCATTTACACGTGAGGAAACTTTGTTCTCTTCGGGTACCGCATTGTCTGACGAAAGAACAGAAGATTCGTCGTACGACTTGGTGCCGAAAGTTTACGATGTGCCGACCAATGCTCAAAACAAAGTTTGGGTCTTTGATGATGAAGACACACTCGAAGCTGTCACAAAATCCCAATCTGTTAAGAACAAAATGATAGCTCTATTTCTCAAATAGGGCGTGATTGTGGAGCGTGTCGTTTTGGAGACACGGAAGACAGTCACAGCTAAGTGGTGGGTACACGGAACAGTGCCTGCCTAAAGTCTTAGAGTCTATGAAGAACCTGTGGCCAAAGTTAAAAATGGGACCTCCACCATGACAACGCTCCAGCTCGCCGCGCCAGAACCTGTACCGAGTATTTGATCACTGCTGGACTGAAACTTACTGAGCATCCTCCTTACAGTCCAAATCATGGTCCCTGCGACTTTGCGCAGTTTCCGCGAGTGAAAATGAAGCTAAAAGAAAAACGGTAGCGATGAAGCCCTTCCGAGTGTGCCGCACTTTCAGGTGAAACTTGGCAGAGCTGGTTTAAGCACTGGTTCATCAATCAATAAATAAAGATGTATTCCAAAATTGTTATAGTACCCTTTTCAATTACTTTGTCGTGTACGCACACCATGCACATCACGGACACTTCTCAGCTTATTAATATTTTTAAAAACGTACACACACATTTCTAAAACGAATAGGCTGAAAGGGTTAGAATATTAAAATTTTTAAACCTACCAGACACCTAACTGCCCTCTTCTGAGTTACTTGTGAATTGGTGCTCATACCCCAAAAACACACACCATAACATGGGCATAGAAGAGTACTAGCAATTGATCGCGTCTCAGCGCTGACCTTAATCTGCGATACTCACCTTGCAAATTGAACGCCGAACTAGCGGATCCTGTCAAATTGAGTCCCGCCAGATTCGAATTTAGTCCGGGTATGGTATCGATGGCGCTGTGGTTGTACAGCTGGCCGGCAAACACGGACGGATTGATGGCGCCCGTTTCGACGCCCCTGCCTCTCATCAAGTTAGGTGGTTGCTGTTGCTGTCTCGATTTCAATATCAACGAGCAGTGGGTAACAATGTTCACCACCGCCTCTTGGCATTCCGGGCTTACGCTAGTCATGCACCTGAAAAAATCATTTTACTATGAACCGGAGGCTAGATTCGATCAATCAGGAGTCCACGGAACTAAATTTGACCCGCGGAAAGGAAGAGTTAAATTCCTGTGGCTCCTCAGCCTCCTCATTCGCATGACTTACAGTATATTCAGATAAGAGATAGACCGGACATAAACAAGACCACGTGATCATCGAACGCTGTAACATTCGGCAGGGACGTATTAAGAGTCACGCAGTACATATTTTAGATAGTAGATGCTGCTTTGGGTAACTTTGTAGTAAATTAGCACAATTCGATGTGTATACGATTAGTGATGGATATAGGATCATGTGGGGGTGGGGTAAGAAATATATAATGATGTAAATATACATAAGGGTTTCAAAATTTTCGCTTCGATTTCCAGCTTCGGATGCCGCCTGATGTTTGGTGAAATACAGTCGAATACAGTCTCAAAATGGCGTTTAAATTAGCCTAAATTAAAAATAATCGTATATCTCTTAAAATTGCTTTTAGAATATTGATTAGTATATTTTTTGATTTCTAGGTAAATATGTAACCAAATTAAAACGTTGAAAACGTAAAAAAATGTGCATGGTTGAACATTGTCAGAAAGTAGATTCTTGAATAGGTTTTGCCAAAATGGGTTCAAAAATGTCAATAATTAATTAAAAAATACAGTAGCTTTATAATTACTTATAACTTACCGAATTTGATGAACGACATCTTTTGTTGGAAAGATGAGCTTGATGAGCTTTCATCATCGCTACTGCCTGAAGCACCAACGTCAATAATGAATGGCTCGACTTGTTCCTCTAAAATATTGTCCAGTTCCCACATTCTCTTTTCAACCTTGTCTTTCACGTGCTTAATACAGTTTTCCCATTTTTGCGCTGTTATTAATTCTAGTGCTTCTTTGAAAAGTCCTTTGAGGTCACAAAATTTAAAAGTTGTATTGTGCTTAGCTATATAATTTTTAACCTCTGCCCATATGAGCTCAATGGGATTGAGCTCGCAATGGTATGGAGGTAAACGGAGCACAGTTTTATTTTGACTTGCTGCTTGAAAGAAAGAATATTGAACGTCGTATGATTACTCAGCGCTTCACAATTTAATTTAAAGTTATAAACCTTTAAAAAATGAATGATCAGGAACCTGAAATACGCGCAAATATTAATATTAACAAATTATAACTTTATAAAGCTTAAAGTATGAATTAAAATGATTAGAAATATTAGAAACGGTACACAATATAAAACTTAGTAACTTTTTTTAAGTTTATAATATTCGACATATTTTAAGATTATATTAAAAAATTATTGAAATATCGAAAACACATAAAAACATGGCTTAAAAAAGTTCTAACAAATGAAAATGACAATAAAACATCCACGCATTTTATCGAAAGTTATAAAAGTTTTGTTACTTGTAATATGTTATATCTGCCCCCTGGAATTAATGTTTAGAACCTTGTACCCAAGGTTTGAAAAACATCCGATTGTTGTCTATTACTCGTATTTACCTGCTGGATTTTTTAATCCGGTGAACAGTCCATCTAGAAAGGCCCTCCTGGATGAAGTTACAGAATCATCAACCCATACTTTACTTGTAGTGTGTCCTGCATTTACCCACGTTTCATCAAGGTAATAAATATTCCTGTTTTGATTTCTGTATTTCCTAATTTTTGTTAAATAATCCCTCCTCCATAGCACAATTTCATCTCTATCCAGTAGTAAACTATTACGACCCTGTTTTTTCCATTTGAAATTTAAATGCTTCAGTAACGCATGGAAAGTTGATCGTTTGAAATTTGGCAACGTTGTATCTCCATTTACCTCCTGCAGTACTTTATCTATAGTAGGTATTTCATTCCTAAAGAAGAATTCATGCACTTTCATCCTAATCGCATGCTTATCAGCTTCATCCAATGATTTAACAATACTTTTGCGATGTTTACTGGTCATTGGCTCAGAAAAGGTGTGATTTTTTTTGTATTGTCTTAACACATTAAACACTGATGCGCGACACACCCCAACTTTGTGAGAAACCTTCACAATTTCTTTGATGGTTGATGCCTCGTTCTCCTCGCGCTCGATCTTATATATATTCAAAATGACCTCTTTCATTTCTGCACTCAGGTGTCTTCTTTTAGAGCGTTTCCTAGGTGGACTACAGGAGTTTACAACTTCATCGGCAGTATCTGTTCTACTGGGCATTTTGCGCAAGCAGTTGATAACAATAACAATCAATAACAAGGTATAACAATAACAACGACAAACTCAACAACTTAATAAGATAACAAACGAAAACGTCCAAAGAAATATCAAATTGCAATGATGCACACGACATACGTAACACGTCTGAACCTGAATGTGACTCTGCCTTGATACGACTGCTCTGCCGCTCGGCATAGGCATTTAATTGCGAATTGACCAATGAGGGCTCCTATTTTACGTCGAGACGGCGGCGTTAGCGTGAAAATCACCCGAACCTTTTGTTTACATCCGGTCTATCTCTTATCTGAATATACTGTAGTCTTTGTGACTTTTTTCTTTTCCCCGAAGTTGAAAAATCACCTCAAGGGAACCCATTCTGGGACAATCGAAAACATTCAAACGGCTGTAACCGACCAGCTGAAGCGGTGCTGGAACTCCGATACTGGGGTTCCAGCACTGCTATGAGGAGTGGGCGAACGTCTCCATCACTGTGTGGCTTCACAAGGAAGCTATTTTGAGGGTGACAATATAAAATTGCAATTATATTTGAATGAAAACAGTAAAAAGAATCACTTATTTACCTTTGTAGACAAACCATCATGGTGGTGAGGGTCTCGGTGGGCAGCGGGACGAGTTTGTTGAGCGTGTCCTCTTTGGAGCTGATCTGCGGACACCTGCGATGCAGGAACTTGACGCAGGCCATCACGAACGCTTCGCCGTGTTCGGTGATCTTGTCGGAGAGCCACTTCTCTAGCTTCAGATATTCTCTGCGTGACGCTAGACACGCCAGGTCGATTATGAACGGGTAGGATTGCGCCGATTGAGCGTTCAGCAGCATCGAAAGCGCTTTCAGGTCTTGAGCGACGTCGAGGATACGCGATAACCGGGTTTGGTCGCAGTCGCCTCTCACGTACCTGCGGAAGTTGATGAACATGTGTTAGGGTTTTTCATTTTTTTTTTCAAGAAGATGTAAATACGTCACCAAGTATATTGTTATTATTATGTATTTTCGCAAAACAAATGGCAAGATAAATATCTCAGGATTCTACTGAAACTGCAATTCAAATGGTAGTAGAAGAATGGGGGTCAAATATGGATGAAAATGTTCATCGTTTATAATTCGTTCTCTCATATGTTCACAAAATTGTAATCGCCGATCAAAATCGTCTTATTAAGTTCTTGTACCAGGTGATTTTTATACGGATGAAAACTATGGGTATTTAGAATCCGTTGGACAGTACGTCGACTAACACCACACACAGTCTCCAATTTGCGGGTACTTAACGTAGGATCTACATAAACTTGCCCTAAAACCCCCACTTCTATTGCTTCGTTCCTTATGGGATTTTCAATGTTGCGTTTTTTATTGGCGACTGATCCAGTTTCCCGAAATAAAGCTACAAGTTCTGGAACATATTTTCGATGCACGTTACTGTTCTCATGTCGCTCATAAAATATTTCTGATGTTCTATTAGCGCACTGATTATTTCCGAAAAATATTTCGATAATTTCAACTCTTTGTGCTGTGGAATATACCATGGTTAAGTTATTTTAGCAACAAAGTTTGGTGTGGTGTACTGTGTAATATGAACATTGTAGCATTAATGCTAAATAAATCTGAAACAAACAAACACTCGCTATATTATTTTTCTTAAAAAAATGTCCGAATAATGTCACTGTTCGACTATTCTATATTTAGCAAATAATTCCATTTTTGAAAGACTGCAAATTTTACAAAATAAGTGCATGAGAATAATACTAAATAAAGATAAATATACTCCAATTAGGCTAATGCTTAGCAAATTAAAATGCTCAATGTAACAAATTTTATCAAATATCTTGTAATGATATTCATTTATAAAGTAAAAAATAATATATTTCCATCAAGTCTAACTAATTTAACATCATCAAATGTCGACCATCATTTACATAATACCAGAACTAAAGATGATTTCCAGTTAATGACCAAAAAGTATAACATATGCTACAAATCTGTATTCCATCAAGGGTTGATTGAATATAATAAATTATACTCGGAGATAAAAGATCAGAAAACTTTGACAAAATTTAAAGTAAAATTGAGAAATCACTTGTTAAATCTACAATTATAGGTTGCCCAACATTTACATCATACACTATATGGCTTGAATTTACTAGTTCTAAGTTGTTTACAATTGTTCTGTTTATGTAGCCAAATGTGCTAAATAAATCTGTCGTGTGACAGCAGAACCTAGTAAGTCTACTTACTAGGTTTTACATTTTTACGTCATTTTTGAAAAGCCCGTAAAAAGTTCTACTAGTTGAATTTTTTTCTCTCGCTCAGACGCACTCTAAATCGTATATCTGTGTCTCATGTTTCCTAGTAAGTCATCAGAACAGCATTTAAAAAATCAACAAATGATGGCATGTCTACATGCTACGTTTTGAAGATTTTTTTTTGTAGGAAATTTGGCGGGAGACTCCGTCGTAAACGCACTTGCTAGTTTTTGCTAAATTTTCATGCCATGATTTCAAGCCGATTGAGTGTAGGCACGGATGCATGCTACAGCGTTTCCGCAGTCATGTTCCAACTGGCATAGAGTGTGGATCGGTGAGGACAGTCGCGAATTAGTTTAACGTTAGTACTGTAGTTAATATCCAGAATATGTCGAGAGGAAAATTCATAACGAGTTTATGCATTACAGAGAGGTGAGTGCAAGCATCATACATTACATATAAGCCAAATGAAATATTAACTCAGGAGTAACATTGCAGTTTGATGTTTTTTTTTTCAGTAAAATAAAAGATTATAATTACTACAAACAAAAAGCTAATTCTTGCAATACGGTTTTCGTATTTGAAATATATATTCAAACCGCTGACCTCTATTTATTTTATCTTTCAGAAATGAACCTCTCGAAGAGCGTCAGCAACATGATGAAGAACCTATATCAGATTATGACGATTCTGATGCAGACCCAAATTATGAGCCGTCAGTATCCCCTAGAAGGAAAAAAATTAAATTTTCGGACTTTGATGACGTATCGCTTGCGCCCCTCAAAAGCAGGCAGCCTTTGAAAAAAGTCAACGAGAATGTGAATGCAAACTGCAGAGTTTCCCAAGAAAGGGCAGACAAGCAAGAAAAGCACCCCCTACTGCTATCATGCCATAATAATTGCAGGCAGAAATGTAGCTCAAAAATCAATGATGAGAACTTTAGAGAATTGATAAGAACGAAATTCTGGAGACTCAGCTTTGGCGAGCGTAGACTTTTTTTGGATGCTCATATCAAACAATTTGAAATCAAAGTAAGGCGGCAAGAGGCTCAGCGCTCTTCCAGGAATGTTTCTCTGAAATATTTTCTACCCCTTCCAGTGGAAACTGAAGCTAAATTTGAAAAAATACAAGTGTGCAAAACAATGTTTTTGCATACTTTAGGACTTAAAACAGATGGTATGATAACTTGCCATATACATTCCAAAAAGCGAAGTGTAGAAGGAATTGCACAAACAGTGGATGAAAGGGGGTTAGTTATTAGAGGCATGCTAGAAGAACAAAAAATGAGAACAGAGGAAATTGTCATAAAGCATATAAACTCATTCAATCCGGTAGTATCTCACTATAATTTAAAGCACACCCCGATTAGACGATTCTTGCCACCTGACTTGACCATTAAATACATGTGGCAAGACTTCTGTAATCTACAGAAAATTCCATATGATCTATACAGAAGAATTTTTGAAAAACAGAATATTGGGTTTAAAAAGCCATCCCAAGACGAATGCGCTCAGTGTCTAAAACATAAAGTTCACATTATTCGCCAATGCGACGCAAGTAGTTGCAAGATTTGTTGTCAATTCGAAAACCACAAAAAAAGTTATACGGAAGCAAGACAGCACTATGAAAATGACTCCAATCAAGAGGTAATGCAAGATGAGAAGGTCTATGCTGTAGATATGCAGAAAGTCTTACTCTTGCCCAAAATGTCAACCAAGGAATCTTTTTTGTTTCAAGGTACTTCGTTTATAATTATATATAATTGTATTAAACTTTTATATACTTCTATATTTGTTGTTGCAGGTTGGTCGTATTCAATGAGACGTTTGCGTCACTTCATAAGGACGGAAATATTTGCGTGATGTGGCATGAGGCTATAAGAGGCAGGTCCGCGACGGATGTTGCATCGGCATACTACAACGTAATAAAAAATTCAGACAATGTTACCAAAAAATTTACATTCTGGGTAGACAACTGTTCTGCTCAGAACAAGAATTGGACACTATATTCTGCTTTTGCGACTTTTGTAAATTGTGAATGGGGTCCAGAAGAGATCACCCTAAAATATTTTGAACCAGGCCATTCATTTATGGCTGCGGATTCGGTTCATGGCCGAATCAGCACAGAAATGAAAAAACACCCAAACATTTATGATTTTGAACAGCTTCTGAAAATAATTGAGCAGACCTCAAAAAAAACTAAATGTTTGCCTATAAATAATTTTGATTTTTTCCTCTTTGAAGATGGAAGCAAACAAAGAAAAAGCAATAATATACCTCTTCTTGAAAAAATTAAGCTCGCTCAGTTTCGCAAAGGTTGCAGACACTTGTTTTATAAAGAATGCCATAATGAAACTGTCTTTCAGGAAGTCGAGTTTTTGAAAAAAAAAGTTGATCTCAAATTCCCTATACATCCTTTTGTCGAGCCACTGGGATTGAACTCAGATAAAAGAGAAACAATTTTAAAGAAATTGGTACCATCCTTCAAAGATGAAAGAAAGAAACTATTTTGGCAGTTTTTGCCATCTAATGATAATTCCAAAGACTTATGTGTGGTATCAGAGGCTTAGCGCTTAAGTTCTTGTTCTTCTTGTATGTAGACTTGCTGTTTTATGTTCCACCGTTTTTCATTCAAATGTTTATTTTCCAGTTAGTAAGTAGATATGTTACTTTTTGTGTTCGCCTTCGCACATAAATTATATCAAATAAAACCTTAGTAAGTACACTTACAATATCTTTTTTTTTATTTTCTCTAGTCGAAATTTTGTAAAAATCAGTAAGTTGACTTACCATTTTCTGCTAAAGTATCTTAATTTAATATCGAAAAAGAAACCATGAAAAAAAAAACGTAAGTCACTTTTCTACCATAAACAAAACTATCACATGAATAAAATTGATGCTATCGAATTTAGCAAGTTACATAACCCTTAAGACAATTTTTTTAATATTCATAAAACTTAAACTTTTCGAAAGCCGAATGTTTATTGAAAATATGTTATTTCTCAAACCTGATAAAAAGTGACTTACTAGGTTCTGCTGTCACACGACAGAAATCTTTCTACTACTACTACTACTACATTTTGACAGCTGTCAAATTAACCGTTTTGGATTTACTGGCAAAAAATAAATTCCGCCATTTTAGGTTTTTCGCTGATATTTTGAAAACCAATTGACAGATCGTAAATCTGCAGGCGGCTATCGAAAGCACCAAGTTTCTTCTAAAACTTTCCCTATATAACCTTTGCTGTAGGAGGAGCCGATATCACTGTATATAGAAGCGAATCTGGGGCACACTGTATACCTTGTTCGCCTACTCAAGATCCGCTTATGTACTCATTGTTTTAAGTTAGCTTTAAGCATCCCACAAACCGGCGCGAAATAATCGCGGCGAAGTATTCGCAACGAAATTCAGAGCGAAATTCGCAATCTGTTTCGCCTGTTTATTCATACCAAAGCGTCTTATTCGCTCCGCGAACGTGAAGGTTTCGACAGGTTGCGTATATTTTATTTTTGCCTTTTGCAATGAGCTCGTCTTCAGAAGAAGAGGAGGCACTTCTATTTCTTGCTTTAGAAGAGGAACAAAATGCACGGTACGTTATGTTTATTTAACGCCATTTGTTAGTTGGGTATGTATTAAGTTTAACGAAGTACATAAAACAAATATTTTCAATTTTGTTTAGGAAACGAAGGAACCATACCTTGATGCCACAACTTCGGCTGGATGAACAGCGCTTTTACGTATATTTTAGAATGACTCCAGAGTGTTTCGATGAAATATTGAACTTAGTGAAAGATGAAATACGAAAATCTGACACAAATTATCGTGAAGCTATTTCGCCAGAAGAAAAAAAATATATGTATTAAAATTAGTAGGCTTATCGAATACGAAAACTTCAGGGATCGTGAAATAAATATTTTATTGTAATAATTGGACTACATGTTGCCACTAGGATTAAATGTTGCTAAATAATTCGAGGCAGAATTTGCCTCCTCTGTTGGGTATATTATTGGAGTAAACCCAGTGCCGCTTGGGAAGGACGACATACTACTATCATACATACTTGCAGAATTCTGGGTAGACGCTGAAGACATTTCTTCAATATGTTCAAATTCTTCGTGCGCTATTAATTCGGCTATTTTTAGTTTTATTCGGGCTTGACGCTTTAAGGGAAGTGTTTTCACAGTCTGTGCATGTGCCAAGAAAAGTGAATCAATGGCCTCGTTCTCTTTTTTAGGTTTTTTACCTTCAAAATAATTAATGAGCTGTTGTACAGACGAAGATGGTGGTTCATAGCGTTTTCTGCTCGTTTTATATTTTGGTGTAGTCAATGAAGAAGGTGGTGCTGTCTGTGTTGCCGAGGCGTTCTGTGCATCTTCTGCATCTACATCAGCATTTTCATCTTCTCCATGGCCGCGGTCTTCCAAATTTTCGGTTTCTACATTTCCAGCCCTTTCCTGATATATATTTGAGTTAAGTTCGGCAGTCTCATAATGTATGACGTCAATATCTTTCACATTAGACGACGTTTTGGCAAATGCCAAAAAAGGACGGAAAAATTCCATGTAGTCAGCCCACTGCCATTTTTTTATGTTGCCCACTGCTTGGCCGGTTTTTGGTTTGGTAGATTTTATATATTTTGCAAATGTGTCTCTGATATTCTTCCACCTTTTTTTACTTCATCACCTAAAAACGATTTTTTTTATAGATTCCTTGCCACTGGTGACACCTTCTATACCATTGGGCATAGCTTTCGAGTTGGCTTTACAACAGTGAGTGCAATCGTAACCGAAGTCTGTGAAGCGATATGCAGACATATGGAACATATATATTTACCAGAACCAACAGAGAATATATGGAAAAAATGTGCTGAAGAATTTGAAAATAGATGGGGATTTCCCAATTGTATTGGCAGCGTGGACGGTAAACATGTAACAATCAAGAGACCTAACAACAGTGGCTCCAATTACTGGTGCTATTTACATAAATATTCAATAGTACTTATGGCCATTGTTGGCCCGGACTATAAATTTATATGTGTTGATATTGGTGGTTTCGGAAAAAATAGTGATGGGGGTATTTTCGAAACCTCAAACATGGGAAAACGATTTGAACAAAATTTAATGAGTGTCCCTGCACCTAGATTTCTCCCTGGGCAAAATGAAATCTGCTCGTACGTCTTAATTGGTGATGAAGCATTTGCTTTAAAACCATACCTTATGAGACCATTTCCTTATAAGCAGACTTTAACAGACATCAGAAAAGAGAAATACAATGTAAGACTTTGTCGAGCCAGAAGGGTCGTGGAAAATGCGTTTGGTATTTTGTCTCAAAAATGGCGAATATTTTACAGGCCATTAGAAACTAAAGTAGATACTACTATTCTAATTGTACGTACGGCATGTGTTTTACACAATTTCTTACGAAGTAAAAGTGGCGATGACAAATATTTTCAATTCTTAAATCCCCCAGAACCCGTGCTTGGAGCTTTTACTGATATAGCAAATGATCCTCGGCGGGCAGCAAGGCTAGCATTTTCCACTCGTGACAAATTCGTAAATTATTTCAATTCTGATATGCCTATGCCCAATATATAGAATGTTCGTTTTCACATTTGTGTAGACTGTAAATTATTTAACAAGTTAATAAAATATATTAGGTACATACCATTTGTATTTAATTCTTTTCCTATTTCCATCCAAATCTTGTCTTTCTTTCTCACATTCCTGTATTCATCGTTCGACAAATCATACAAACAAGGATACTTTTTCACTATTTCTATCAATAATTCCGTTTTTGCCATTGCGAATTTTTGAAGAACGGCGACAAAAACGCGGTCAAAGGCGAACTGAAATACGCCGCGATAAAAACGCTGGAACAATCGCATTCGCTTCGCACAAGTCTGAGCCTGTCCGTAAACCGCCGCGTTTTAATCTGATCGTGAATTCATCGCCGCGAAATTTTCGCAGCCAAAGCGAATATTTCGCGCCGGTTTGTGGGATGCTTTATGATTAAGAATGATTGTATACTTCAGACAACGAAACATATCTATCTATCTATGAAACATTATATACAGAGAAAACAAAACTCACCATTCGGCCATGGCGTGCATGATGATCGGCTTGATGTTGATGTTCTGCGTATGCCAAGCATGATGGAGAATGATCGCGGAATTGGGGTGGTTGCCGAGAAAGATCGGGATCAAATTCGTCAGCAGCTCTTGCCGTAACAGCGTAACCGGACCGGATATCTGAAGCAGCGCCAACACGAGCACATCCGGGCAGCTATGTACAGGAATCTTGAACAGTTCCTGAACGTGGCTGTACAGACCGCATTCGGAAACGTTCAACAGCAGTTCGACCAGGTTCAGCGAACGCCAGTTCGCCAGTTCTTTGCTGTCTTGTTCCGGCGGCGTTTTCAGAACGTCCACGGCTACAGGAACGCACGAGTAATCGGCGAAACAGAACACGTCCGGATTCTTCAGGATGCATTGTATAAGGCTGTACTGTCCCTCTACGTTTGACCATCTTTTATAGAACTGATCGATAGGGAAAGTCTCCGGGTGAAAGCCGAACGTCTGGAGACCTTGTCGCAGGGTGTTTATCAATATACATAGGCCTTGTCGATCCTGGAAATGAGGTATTCATTATTTTTCGGCGTTTAAATTGTTTTGAAATATACTAAATGCAATACCGCATTGTCGTGCTGAAAAAGTGGATCTTGCAATGTTTCCAAAATGAAAACATATTTTTTATCTCAAAATTAAATGCTTTAAAAATGCTAGATTCTGACTTGTCAAAAATCGTGAATTGGTTAAATGTAAATAAATTAGAATTGAATACTTCTAAAACAAAATGTATGCTAATAGGGAAATACCTAAATGAAAATACTATCACAGTTAGGATAAATGGAGAAATAATTGAAAATGTTGAATCAATTAAATATTTATATATACAGGGTGGCAGCAAAATAATTTCAAAATGAAGAATGAACTGACCCGTTAGGGTTGAAAATGGCCACCATGACTCTCCATGCAATAATAAAGGTTTTGGTCAAAACGTTGCCGCACATTTTGCAATATTTGAGGAGTCATTTGAAGGCACTCATTCACAATTCTTTGTCGCAGGTCTTCTAATGATGTTGGCTGAGTAGCATAGATTTTGCTTTTTAAATGACCCCACATAAAGAAATCCATAGATGATAAATCTGGCGATCTTGGGGGCCATACAATGGCACCTCTTCTATCAATCCATCGATATGGAAACGTCTGATCTAAATATTGTCGAACAATTAATGCGTAATGTGGTGGGGCACCATCCTGTTGGAACATCAACCTATTCGCAATTTACCGCCGATCATTCTGATTTTCAATTATGGCTGTTAATGCAGGATCTATGGCGTCTTTCAGTAATTCCAAATATATTTCACCGGTCAAATTTCCAGGTAAGAAAAAAGGACCAACTAAATGATCACCAAAAACACCAGCCCAAACATTTAATTTTTTGTGGCTGCTGTGTATGAACCTTGTGATAAATTCTGGGATTAGAATTGGACCAATATCTCATCAGCTGATTTCATTTTCTGTTGGAGCGGTATGATTTCGGGCAGAGACGTACTTAGCCCTTCTCGTCAACTGGAGAGTGAGTACTTTTTCCTTTATTTTTTTTTTTCTGAAAAGAAAAACCCCAACTTTGCGGACACCCTGTATATTGATAGTAAACTGAACTTTGAGGATCACCTCGATTACATTTTTTCAAAAATTGCAAAAAAACAAATTACTTTTATAGGGCTTCTCATTCCAAGAAAATAGTTTACAATACAATTATTCTACCGCATTTACTATATTGTTTAACTATCTTGTTCACTGCCAATGAAGCTGTATTCTTGCAAAATAAAAAGCTATGAGAATAATATTGAATAAAAATAAGTACACCAAAATAAAATCTATGTTACAAGAATTGCAGTGGTTGAATACAAAACACTTCATATCATTTTTGGTTCTTGTTTTTATATTTAAAATAAAAAATCATCTTTTGCCAGAACATTTAGAACACTACATAGAATTGAATAATCATTACCACAATTATTATACAAGAGGAAATATAGATTTTCATTTACAAAATTGCAATAGTAATATAGCTAGCAAATCAATATTTCAGAAAGGATTACTTGAATTTAATAAACTTAATAATGATATAAAGTCTACTTGTAATTTAAAGATATTTAAAACAAATTGAAGGAATATTTCATGGACAAAGAAAATTCTTAGAGATGCAAATTTTGTTTTTTTTCTGAATGTCTGTATATGTAATTGTTTAGTTTTTTAGAACAATATGAACTAGATCATAATAATGTTAGTATTTCGTCCGCTCCTGTATAACACAACATCCTGCATCAACTCACTTTCAATATAAAGTCCGCATGATCCAATTCGGCGACGACTGTGTTCCATTGGAAATTCGGCACGACCTCCTTCAGCGCCTGCACGAATATCTCGACGTTCCACGACCCGCCCGCGCTCCTGCCGTCGCCGCCTTTCGAGAACGCCCCGCCCGGCGTCTGAATGGACAGGGCGTCGTCTAGGCCGGTGTGCGTCCGGCACATGACGGCGAGGACGCGCGCCACAACGGCCGGCGAGATATCCCGCCCGCCCAGTTTCAACAGGTTCGTGCGGCATTCCTCCAGCGAGGCGGTGAAGCTGGAAAATGGGAAAATTCGTGAAATATGCCTTTCAACCACTGTAGTACACGATAAATAGACTCGGTGACATTGGGAGGCAGAATGGCATAATGTCATCTTCAGCGACGAATCGCGATTCTGTCTAGGAGTATATTTGAAGTGTTTCGACAAACAAGGCACCGCACTGACTTCATTTCGTGAAATCTGACTTTGGTTGCGTTTGTTTTGCAATGCAAGTCAGAAAGTCCAGAGATGAGGCTGACAACTCACTAGCGAGTTATAAAAGATAAAAACAGTAATAATAATATCAGACGTCTTTATTCGTCTACAATTACATTGAGTATAGTCAAATGTCAGACCTATATGGCGAAGTTTAAGATCTTAAACTTAACCATATAGTCGCTGGTAGATGTTGACAACAACCAAACTAGCTTTTTGTGAAAATACCTATATTTGTCAAATGTTGAGTAAATTAGAACACAATGGAATTAGAGGTACATCACTTAAATTATTTGCGTAAAAGAAAACGCGAGGTTGAAATTCAAAGCACAACTACTGACGAGGTACGGGTATTGACTTCGATATTTTTTAAGAAAAAAATGGTACGCTAATGGTTTTTTGAGGTCTGGGGACCTTGGTGGCCATTCTTGGGGCCCACCGCGGCCAATCCCTCGATTTGGATAAACAGTTTGTAAATAATTACGAACAGCTACACTCCGATAGGGACGCAGGAAAGTAAACGTCAATTTGACATAGACGCCATCTTTGTTTTCTGTCACCGACATGTCATTTTGTTAGTTGAATGTTTACCATTGATCGCTATGGAGTCGTATTCGATTGAAGACCGCATTAAAGTCATTCAAGAACACTACAAAAATGGTGCAAAAATAAAAAACACGTTTCGCGCGTTTCGTGAACATTTCGGTCGCAACAACCGCCCAAACGAAACAACCATCGGTCGTCTGGTGCGTAAATTCGAGGCAACAGGTTCTGTGGCAAATCTGCCATGCTCTGGCCGGTCAAGGAGCGTTCGCACACCGGAAAATATTGCTGTGAGAGACGATCCGAAACAATCAACAGCGCGTCGATCCCAAGAATTGGGCATTTCGAGAACCAGTTTGCTCCGCATTCTCCACAAGGATTTGAATGTACACGCCTACAAGGTCCAATTGACGCAAGAGCTGCGTCGGGCCGACCATTTTTCGCGCCGAACGTTCTCAGATTGGCTCCTTGAACACCGCCAAATTGATGATAATTTTTCATCAAAAATCATGTTCAGCGACGAAGCGCATTTCACTTTGAATGGGACGGTAAACAAGCAAAACTGCCGCATCTGGGCGAACGAAAATCCCCGTGAGTATCAAGAGCAGCCGATGCATCCTCAAAAAGTGACTGTATGGTGTGCATTGTGGTCAAAAGGCATCATCGGACCTTACTTTTTCGAAAATGCGGCCGGGGACGCCGTTACCGTCAATTCTGAGCGATATCACGTGATGATAGAGGACTATTTTTTGCCGCAACTTGAAGGAATGGATATGGACGATGTTTATTTCCAACAAGACGGTGCAACATGCCACACAGCCAACGTCAATATCCATCGATTGCAGTCCTTCTTCGGTGATCGCGTGATTTCGCGCAGAGGAAATGTGCCATGGCCACCAAGATCGTGCGATTTAACTCCCTTGGACTTCTTTTTATGGGGATATTTGGAAAGCAAAGTCTACGTCAACAAACCAGCCACCCTCCAAGAACTCAAAAACAACATCATTGCCGAGATAAATGCCATAGAACCGACCATGTTGCAAAATGTCATTGAAAATTTCGACCATCGCGTGGACGTCTGTAAATCCAGTCGTGGTGAACATTTCAGCGATATTATTTTTCATACATAAATGGTATAAATGAACCTTCAAAATAAAGTACCCAACTTGATTTGAATATCAATCTTTCTTGTTTTAATATGCGTTTACTTTCCTGCGTCCGTTTTCGACAACCCCATAGCTTCGTCCGTGAACAGAATCATTGATTCAAATTGCGGATTTTGTGTAATTTTTTGAAGATACCACTGACAAAAGGTCACACGCCTTGGAAAATCAATGGGAAGTAATGCCTGTACTCTTAAAATATGGTAAGGATAAAACAAAAAATCCACTAAAATTCTCCAAACAATTTGTTGGCAAATATTTAAGCGTCTAGCGATCTTCAGGAGAGATCATTTGTTTTAAATTGAATGAGGAGTACAAAAATAATGTTTATTTGGCAAAAAACCATTGGTGTACCATTTTTTTCTTAAAAAATATCGAAGTCAATACCCGTACGCACGCCAGTGTTGTTGAATTTGCAGACCTCGTAGCAGCAGCTATTACCTAGAGTTTCCTGGGTTATAAAAAATAAGAAAAAAAAACGGAATACATATCTGTAAGATAGAAAAAGTACCTGTATCCGATTTCCGTGATAAGGTCGGCGATCGAAGTGTCCAATATACCCCCGGACAGACCGGGGCCTTCTGAGGTCATTTCTGGTGCCAATTCACTGTGTTCAGAATAAGCTAGCGGAGCGAGTACAACCGGGACCCGCTCCTTGGGAAAATCCTTTTGCAGGGTCTTCAAAAACGTCAAATGTACTTCGTTGGTCAGTCCGACCTCTTTCGGGTTCTTGAGGATTGCCGACAATATCAAGTGTAGAACTTCCGGCGTGGTCTCGTGCAGACCGCCTTCGTGTTGTCTACTGCTGCCTTCTAAAACAACGAATTTACGAGGATAGATCAAATATAAGCAGGGATGTGAAAACTAGAATCTTGACGCTTCAAAATGCTTTTTTTAAAGTCTAGATACACCAAAATACAGCCTATCGAATATCATCGAAAAATGTTGACTTCTTTATTGCTGCCTTATTTTTTTTTGGATAGCGTATCGACATTTGCAAAATGGGAATTGGCCGTTTTCGGTATCGGCAAAAATCTCTAGTATGAAATGAATTTTTAAATTACCTGTGTCAATGTACGACTGCACCAACGCGGGTACGCTTGTGTGCAAGTGAGCCTGCGCCAAACTCACGAGCTCGCTGTTGGTAGAATGGCAAAATGCAAGAGCAAAAATTACTTCTTGAACAGCTGAAAGACGAAGGCACTTGCTTAACTGTTGAAAGAACTGCTGGTTAACTTTTAGGGTCTGAAATTGGAACGAAAAATATTTAAATTTTACCGTTTTTTATCACATTAGTTAATTACAGTCGATTAGTCCAGTAGCGAGTGCAAATGGCATACAGGGTGTCCACAAAGTTTGGGTTTTCCTTTACACGACGTGTAGATCTTGAAAACATAAGCAATTTTTCTTAGTACCATATACACCAATGTCTTAAGGGAACCGAGATAAAGGGCTCTGCAACATCAAACATATCTGAATACCGTCCTGTAGCCGCGACCCGCGAGATCCCCGAGTGGTACTAGGACACTAGCTCAACCCGACGACAGAACTGGGTCGGGGTCAGTGTGTCAGGTCAGTATGCAACCTTCAACCGACGGTTACGGTCACGCGTGTAGAGGTAATCGCATAGACGAGAATCCCTCAACAAGCGCTAGAGACCTGGCTAGAGAAGTGCAAGTATCAAAACTAAAGTGTGGCAAACGCTGCGTGAAGAGGGGCTGTATCCGTTTCACGTCCAACGTGTACAAGCCCTTCAACCTGACGATTTTCCAGCAAGGGTGCGGTTTTGTGAGTGGTTGTTGCATCAACATGACAATAATCTGGACTTTTTGAAGTACATATTGGTGACAGACGTATCTACGTTCACGCGTAATGGGGTGAATAACTTTCGCAACACTCATGTTTGGTCAGTAGAAAATCCGCACGCTGTCCGTCGGGCACATTTTCAACAAACATTTTCGCTGAATGTTTGGGCTGGCATGGTGAACGGTATGCTCATTGGACCATTTATTCTTCCAAATCGATTGGACGGGATGCAATACCTAGACTTTTTACGCAACATTTTGCCTTCCTTGTTTGCCTGCGTCTGCTCGGTAGCGCATCAGCTGATTTCATTTTGCCTGTTGGAGCGGTATGATTTCGGGCAGAGACGTACTTAGCCCTTCTCGTCAGCTGGAGAGTGAGTACTTTTTCCTTTATTTTTTTTTTTACTTGGTCGCCCTCGTTTCACTACACATTACCTTTGTTATTTCAAGGGTAGTTGTTTCTGAAAAGGAAAACCCCAACTTTGCGGACACCCTGTATATGCTAGAAAACTAGTACTGTTAGTTCTTGCGAGCTTCTAGAAAAAATTATCCTAGATATACTAACCCGATTTTGAACCTATTTTCAGAGTGCAGTATTTAATCAGAGAGGAAAGTCATATTACTACTGATGACTTAGACATTCTCTATCTTTATGCATCTCAAATCAATAGATTTAGACATATCTTTTCAAAAACTTTATTTCAAGGACTTTAGCTAATAATATAACTTGTTGGAGTCTAACCGAATTTGTTATGATGTGTTTTCGACGTTACCTTTTTTGAATTACATGTGTATCTTTTATTATTAAATTACCCTGCACAAACACTATACAGTTTCTCATGATCCCAACTGACTCTCATATAATTTACATTGTATTATCTCTCTCCTGGATGGAGATTTTCTTGAACGGACGCGGACACGAGAAAAGCAGGATTTAAGCATGAAAATACACAAAGTGAAGACCAGTTAAATGAGGCTTATACACCCGATCCAGAAGATGAGACTTACCACTTGTAAAAACTTCATGATTTTCTAAACCTAGATGAATGTTTGTATGTTGAAGATTCAGATAAAGGCCAAGAAATTGAATATCCAGTTGAAATAAAATAACTTTCTGAAGATTCTGATATTGATGAGGTTCTAGTACCAGCAGAAGCTATTCCAAATTATGGTAAAGCTATTACCCTGACCAAGCAGCTCAAAAGTTTTGTTGAAAATCAGGGAGATACGGACGCCATTTTAACGAAAAAGAGGAGACAAACGACAATATATGAATTTTTGCATCCGTAAAGTGACATTTTATCTCAATGTTTTCTGTTACTACATCATATACATATGTATGTACATGCTTTGAAGTTGAGTCATTAATTTTCAGATAATGATTGTAGAAGGAAGATAAACCAAAATATGTGTGTAAAAAAAAAAAAATTAAAAAAATGTTACCTTGTTTTATAAAGTATCCTCCTGACAAGTATTTCAGTGCGGACCTGTATTTGATCGTGCGGTCTTGGAGCACCGGCATGCCGTCCCCTGTGAGGTCTTAAGTCACCTGATTCACGAGCCCTTTGTACTACATTAACAAAGGCACGAGGGGTTGGTTGCACTCGATTGGGAAACCGATCCGCATAAATCCGTGATACCGCGTAAATAAGAATCATGTCCACAAGTTCAGCATTTTCGTAAACATGTGCCATTTTTGATTTCGTTTGAGCCACGCAACAGACACCACTATTCACTCACGCGTTACCGACTGACACTGACTGTATACAACTGAATAAAATAATTGTAAAAACATCATTCCAAATTCTTTCGCTTTTTTGTTTCCGATGCGATGAACTGATAAGGCGGATTATATCCGTTATTGCCAAACACGAGCACATAATATTATTATTGAGACAGGGCGGTACTCAAACTTCCAAAGGGCTATAACTTTGTTACTTTAATTTTACCAGAAAAATGGTAAAGGAAAAAACATTTCTTTTGATCAGATCTACTCACTGTTAAAATAAATGACTCAACTTCGAAGTCACCCTGTATATCTAAAGGTAATAAACCTTTTTTTTCTTAAGTGTAAAGTTCTTTGTTGATTTTAAAAACATTTATATACATTACAAGTTTTAAATTTCTCAGTTTCTTTATTCAGTTTTCATTGAAAACATGATTTTTGTTGTATTTCTTTTACGAGGAGATACCAAGAAATAACCGTGTAGTACACATTTCTGCCCCTAGAGGCGTACAGTGCTTTCTAATTGGTAAAAATGCTGGTGCAACTGTTTTAATGTTGAAAATAGCTTACAAAGATGATGCTAATGGAAACACTCACATGTGCAAGTGTAAAAGTAACATAAAATACCTCAGAAGCAAAAACACCAGTTGCCTGGCCTAGCATTTGTGCTGACTAATCGACTGGTCAACTGTAATTTCATAATTTTTTAATCAGAATTGGAAGCTAATTATAACCAAATAGTGTCTGTGAAACTGTGAAGTATGGTGACAGTCAGTCAAGCTTAGGGCATATCCAATGCTGTCCAATTTTTCAGAAAGTAAAGGAGCCATAAAGAAATAAGAATTTGAATGTTTTCATGCCTAAAGCCTGAATGATTATTTTCTCTGCCCAATTATATGGCATAACTTACCTTATGATTAACCAAAGGGTTGTCTATAATGTAACAAGCAGCAGATAACAGTGACGGTTTGTTCAGCAAATTAGAACACTGTTCCAGTAAGGCCTGATTTTGTGGAGATGGAGCCGAGACCTTACTTGTCGACTCGGAAAAATCCACAGACGAAAACAGGCATTGGAGCAAATGACGGTCTGCCTCCAGGCCGTGGCAAGAAACGAGCTGTCAAAATAATATTCTTGTTAGCGCTAATCTGGGCCGTTACGTATCACATTTTTACGATTTAGATGAAACTTTTTGAGGTATCGCAAACCTGACGCCGGAGATCAAAACTCCTTTGTTCAGAGCCCACTCTGTAAAATCGTTGACTGATGAAAAATACCTCACAAACATGGCGGATCGTCCAATTTGTCATTTGTTGACTTATTAGGAAATACGTATAGAATGTCACTAAATGCTTACCTTCGTAAGGTCTTCGACGACTTGCTTATAATTTTTTTTAGTTAATGTTGCAACGGAGTAACTTATTTGTGACAAAGTAAAAGACAACGAGTCTAGGTTCATAGTTCCATGAACACGGCCTCGAAAGCTTCAAATACGTTTGAAGCTTTCTTACGTATACACGGAGCTTTAATCCACTTAGTCTTATGTGTCTTTGGAAAATAACTTGATTTCAAATGGTCCAAGACCATCATCGAATCTTTAAATGCACTTCTTCACTTCAATTTATCACAATCATCGTGTAGAACTCGCGACCACAACTCGCAACCACAAAACATGCACACGCAAGAAAGTAGAATCTCATGTTATTCAAGGGTAACACGATTGACTTATGTCATTGTCAAGCGGCCATTTTTCAGGGTACGCCATGGTTGCCAATCTCATATTGCGTTAAAATTAGTTATCGATAGAGACGCTGGAGAGCGCTTTATTTACTTTCAAACACGACGTCTTATGCCCTCTCCAGACTCACGGGCGAAGCCGCGACCCATGAGTGTGGATCCCATTCGAGTATTCTTCGCGGCTTCACGTCGCGTTCTCGCGTTGTTCCCGTTTGTTGTCGGTTTTTTGTCCCGCGACAATGTGGTCGCAAGGCGCGAACATGACTAGGCTCCTCATTCGTTGATATTTCAGTTGCCTAAGAGCGAGTGCCGGGAATGGTGTTTTTTCCACTTCCTTTCAATTGCTCTAGTTTTACTTATAACGCGTAATTATAAATTGCCAAATCGCAAAGTAGCCCTGCAGCAGCATTAGCAATTTCACCATCCATACTCGTCGAGAACGCGAACTATACTGTGGAGCTGGCGCGAACATCTGCGAGTGTCGAAATCAATTCATATAATTGAGATAACACGTCTATTGCAACTCTCGCATTTCTGTTTTCTCTTCAAATTGTTGGGAAAAATTCCTTCTCAGGCATATGTACATAATTATGTACCTCCACGTTGGTTAAGCCACCCACAGACGTCGCTCTTTCTTTGCAAGTTTTACTCTACTTTACCCGCAAATGCGGTTCTGCACCTTTCGGCTTTGAGTGAAGGTACCTACGCCACTTATAGCCTTCCACAGGATAATTATTTAACTAATACAGCAATTTAAAAGTGCGTGACCCCAGTTAGCACGTCGGGTAAGAATGTCAAAAAGAACAACGTCTACGGCAGTTTTAAAATAAATTCTCCAAAATATTGTACCCAAAATTCATTTTTTTTAAATACATACCCAGGATCCCACAGCTACTTTTATGCGGTAACATGTATTCCTTCTTTTATTCACACACAGACCTTAGACTAAAAACATAGTCAGATATTTGGATAATAACTATACACTAAAAAAAGTTCATACCTCGCTCATACTATATAAAAACCTACTGTCTTACAAATTCCCGAAATTCCAGCGTCATCGCAGCACATGCAACGTTGCCACTTCATGAAGATAATATATCCAAGCGATAAACATTCCTATATACATTCACAGATATTGAGGCGTCATATTTTTTTAATGTTATAAGAAATTGAAAAACAACATGTATAGTATGCGAGACTGGGAAATCTCGAAACTGGAGACCAAAATATGTGAATTGACCTAAACAACATGTCCAAAAGTTACATAGGAGACCATCCTTAAAATGCGGTCCTGTGTATGATGTTTCATTTTTGGTCACGACTTGTGAATCACCCTGTATGTTAGAAAAAGTGCGCAGATGGCTTCCGTGACCTCGTAATTGGGGTTATGGTGCTTATATCTCTTTCTAATACACGTATTACACGCTTCTCATACACATTAGACGTCAGTGGTATTTGGTCTTCAGTGTATAGTCGAAATCACGAAAGATGACTATTACGTCATCATTTTGGTCTTTAGCAAAGACAAACGACAGCGATTTGTAGGAATATTTTTAATGAAGTTTCAGATCTGTTAGACAGAGACAAACAGAATTGTCTAAAAAAATGTATTGCTAATTTGCATGTATCCGACATAGACGATGTTTTCATGTTGCATGATCGATCATATTTGAAAGATGAATAGTTAGGTTATGTTAAAGCAGGTTAGGTTGTTTTCGAATAATACTTTGGTATTTGGTGTTCCTGTCTTGAGGTATTCTACTCATAACTGTTTTTTTTCAAAACAAAAACATCCCACTAAAATTATTATTAAGGTGTCGCTCATAACCATGAAATAAAATGAAAATAAAAATAATCAGTGAAATAAGCTAATTTCGGAAAATCATAATATAGATTTGTTGTCATTATGTTCCTGACATCGTGATTTTATCATCGACGTACGTCCATTGATTACTTCCGTACAATTTATGATATGACGTAATAGTCATCTTTCGTGATTTTGACTATAGAATTCGTTCAATAGAGGTAAAAACAAAACAAGATATATCAGATTTAAATCATTTATTCAGGTAGATAATGTGCATCTACAATATAATTGAATGAAAAATCGGGTTTCTGAAAGATTATTCTAAAATATGAACATAAGGAAACAGTAAAAACTTATACCACCCAAAAAACAACAAAAACTTTGAAAAATCTGTATGTAAATGGTATAGATAAAATTAACAATTATTCAATGAAAAAATTGATCCTGTCTGTATATGGAAAAGGCTTTATATAATAAAATATTGGTAGCTTATAGAACTCTCAAAAACAAGTTGTGTTGCCACATAGTAAAGAATTACCATGTAGAGAGTGGCATATTTTCCAAGTACGGTGGAGGAGGTTTAATTATTAGATATTTATCATAACGGGGCTATGGACCAGTTTTATTTCTAAAACACCCTTCATGATGATTTATATTTTTTCATTTTGAGGTAACGTTTGGTTTCTTATAAAAATTATTTGTTATAAGAGTCCATGTAAGTACTATAGGAATTGTCTGTGAATTAAGCTGTTCCGGTTCCATTCACTTTCTATGAAAATAACAATTCCAAGCATTCCTATAAATAGTGCCAAACGCAAAAGTACCTCTTACTTACGAGATTCTGAGCTACAACTACGAAGAAAATCCTGATTCAATAATCTCAAGGTGCACTGGGAATAAAAGATAAAGCAACACGCCATAAAATGTCGGAAGGACATTACTTCGGCAGCTTCAGTTTCTGTTGTTCCTCACTCATAACTTTTGCAGCTTTCTGTAAGGCTGCTTCTTCTGTATCAGTCAACTTCTGCGATACTATAGAGATGATGCCATTCTCACCCAGCACCGCAGGTAAGGAAAGGAAGACGTCATCTTCGATGCCGTGAAGTCCCTGCGACGCGATAAATATTTTAGTAAATTATATCTCCGCTTGATATAAATTTAATAATTTAATAAACGAAATTTCACGTAGGTGCATACTTTTTTCCCCTATTCGGAATGGATATGATTCCTCAGCTCATTTTAGGAAGAAAAGTTTATATGATCATATATTGTAAACCAGTTAACTTTTGAGCTACAGGGTGTTAAAATTTTAAGGAACCTTCTTAGTTTGCATCAGATACTAAAAACTTACCTTGACACACGTGGATACAGCGTGGACCCGATTTACGTTATTTAGCAAGGTGTGGACCAGAGCGGAGACAGATAGTCCAATAGCCCAGTTGGTGTACCCTTTGCATTTGATTACCTGATTATACAAAATAGAGTTAGAACATGAAATATTGTGGCTCCCAAATTTGATACACATTGCATTAAAGACACACTGAGACTGGTTAGCAAATCAGGCCAAATTCTATTTAGTAGAATGTCGAAAATCTCGGAACCCAGGTCTACTAAATTTATTTTTGAGACTTTGAGTGGAAGGCGTTTAAAATACTGTTGTTATTGAAGAGCTATGCATAGATGTCAGAGCGTAGTCGTGCAGTCGTTCTACTAATTTTGTACAGCAAATCGAATATCAAAATATGTTTCAATCATATCGTAACAAGAATGAATAGTACTGTTAGCGCCATCTGTTGGGAACCGCGCTAGGGATTCTTATTCGAAATCGACGCGAAGTGACCTCGAAGATTCTGGACTGCCGCTGTGGCTCACCGGAACCTTCTCGATTCAACGAGCTCCTGCGATACGGACTATATAAGTCGACGGCCGGGAGAGGGAACCAGAGTAGAGTTGAGATAATGGCGCGACATGATAATCCGCAAATAAGTAGTCAGATATAAATAGTGGGGTAAATAAATGTTCTATCTGGTTAAGTTAAAGTTAGTTGTCTTGTGTTTTAAATAAATTAGTGCATTTCTTCTTGTGGAATCGAGTGTTTTTAATACACACCCAGAAAAACGCTACAATATTCACAAAATAGAAAAGTAAAGACCTACCTCATATGCTGAACTAACTACTTTTTCATGTAGTTCTTTCCAATTTTCTTTATCGTGTTCGGTTCCAAGATCAGGGTTAAGATCACGCAGTCTCACTCCAGCTACATTTATACCGGACCATACGGGCACTGAAAATAAAAAAAAAAACGAATAAAACTATTTCACGACACTTTCCTTTTGCATTAGTACTAATGGTTACATTCCGTATCCGTAATAGAGAAAATGGCCCAAATTTAGTTGTATCTGGTGATTATTGAAAAATTTAAAACGGGTTAGATTTCAACACATATGAAGTCTATTAAAAAAAATGGCATCAAGTAGGTTACAAATATGTACATGTTGACCAACTAAGAATGCGAAAAAAATAAATGTATTTACATGTACATTTAACCAATTTATTACGTTTTTCATATCATTATTTAACTGCTATATTGCAGTTTCAATGTCTTTATTTGATATATATACAGGGTGACTTCGAAGTTGAGTCATTTATTTTAACAGTGAGTAGATCTGATCAAAAGAAATGTTTTTTTCCTTTAACATTTTTGTGGTAAAATTAAAGTAACAAAGTTATAGCCCTTTAGAAGTTTGAGTACCGCCCTGTCTCAATAATAATATTATGTGCTCGTTTTGGCGACAACGGATATACTCCGCCTTATCGGTTCATCGCATCGGAAACAAAAAAGCGATCACGATGTTTTTATTCAGTCTGTGTCAGTCGGCAACGCGTGAGTGAATAGTGGTGTCTGTTGCGTGGCTCAAACGAAATAAAAAATGGCACATGTTTATGCGGATCGGTTTCCCAATCGAGTGCAACCAACCCCTGGTGCCTTTGTTAATGTAGTACAACGGGCTCGTGAATCAGGTGACTTAAGACCTCACAGGGGAGGGCATGTCGGTGCTCCAAGACCTCACGATCAAATACAGGTCCGCACTGAAATACTTGTCGGGAGGCTACTTTATAAAACAAGGTAAATTTATTTTTTTAATTTTTTTTTTATTTTTACACACATATTTTGGTTTATCTTCCTTCTACAATCATTATCTGAAAATTAGTGACTCAACTTCAAAGTCACCCTGTATATTATATATATATATATATATATATATATATATAGATCATGTATCATCAGCAAATATTTGAATTTTGCAATGTTGTAAAATGTCAGGAATATCGTTAATATATAAAATAAATAGTAATGGACCTAATTTGCTACCCTGTGGAACACCTACCGAAATGTTTTTAATCCTTGATAATGTATTGCCAATTTTACTTCTTTGACTTCTATTGATTAAATAATTTTGTAATAAGTTGAATACTGAACAATTTCCCATAACCACCTTTGAAAGATGTTCACTAGGATTTCTATTCGATTTCAATCTTGTAATAGCTTTAGAAAGATGGCTGATATTTATCGTTTGGAATTGTCTCATAGAAGAATTATAAGTAACTTGCATGCGGCCTAGATCCGGATCCCCATCTTCGATTGATTCCACTATCTCATTTATACTTTATACTTATAAGATAAGCGTTCAAATAAATAAATAATAAATTTGTTCGTGAAACAGGTAAATAAAATAAAAAATTTTCCTACCATGACGAGTACGTAGGGAGATCCTAAATAAAAAAAAGGACAATCAGTAGTTCCCGAAAATCGACGAATAGCTCACCGCTGCTATCTCCGTGCTCCCCGATGATCCAAGCATGCACACTGGTCGGCGCTATACCCAGTTTGCTTGCGATCAGGAACCTGAACCTGGACGTATCCAGGTTGGTGCCTGAGCCGATGATTCTGTTCTGAGGTAGGCCGCTGAGCTTCCACGCGACGTAGCACAGGATATCGCAAGGGTTGCTCACGATCAACAGGATGGTGTTGGGCGAGTGCTTCACCAAAGGGGGGATGATGTGTTTCATGATGTCCGTGTTGCGCTGCACCAGATCCAGCCTCGTTTCGCCGTCCAGTTGCCGAGCGCCGGCTGTCACTATGCAGATCTTTGAACCGGCTGTTGCTGTGTAGTCTGTAAGTAGAGTATGTGAGCCAAATGAACATATTACAACCAAATTATCCTTCATTTCGTAACTTTTTTAATTAAGCGTCATGATGTTCAGACAACACGTACAGCTACGGAACGAGTACATATCAAGTGAACAATAGCTAGTTCTAAGTTGACATCTTGTCGATAACGTCACAAAAAACCTGTATAGTGGCAAAAAAAATATAACAGCTTCAAGATCACCAACCACGGGTAACTAAAAAGAACACGTGGACATGTTATATTTACCTGTACTAGCATTTATTCTAGGATTCCTCATGAACAGTGAGCCATGCTGCAGGTCCATCAATTCCCCTTTAAGCTTATCTTTCATGACATCTATCAAAACTACATCACTTGAATATCCCTGAAACAGTCAATTTCTTTGAATTAGGAATTGCGAAACATCTTCAATCAATGGGGTGCTACAAAAAACTTTCTTAAGGAATATCAATATTTCGTCTCGAGAAAGTACATTCTATGCTTGCTATCTCCATTCTTTAAACGAGAAGAGGTAGGACTCTCTCAGGCTCAGGCGTAAAATTTTACTCAAAAAACGTAGCTTAGGTTGTTCCAAGCCCTATCCTTATGCCCTCTCCAGACTCCCGCGCGAATCGCGCGCGAGGCTGCGGACTACCTGCGGCCCATGAGTGTGGATCCCATTCGCGTATTCTTCGCGGCTTCACGTCGCGTTCGCGCGTTGTTCCCGTTATGTTGTCGGTTTTTTGTCCCGCGACAAAGAGTTCGCAAGGCGCGAACATGACTAGGCTCCTCATTCGCTGGTGGCTCAGTTGCATCATAGCGAGTGCCAGGAATGGTTGTGTTTTAGGCAGTTCAAAAGTCCGATTAACAAAATTTCTTCGGGATCCTCATGGCAGCCGCGGTGCACTGGCATTTAGGCATATCTGTCTGCGTGGTTGCTTCGGTGTAAAAAAAAATGTCGACACGTTATAAAAATTCACTCAAAAAGCTGATAAGTCTAATCTATCGGACGCGTATGCTTATTCTATTTACGAATAACTCGAATGCGAACAGCACCAATATTAGGGTAGCTCGCAACTTTTACCTGAGAGAGAATGCTGAAAGCACATGCCATTCCTACAGCTCCCACACCCACAACTGTGATTCTGTCACCGGCATCTTGAGCTGGTTGCGCTACAGCGTTCAGTAATAGTTCTTTCGTAGTCATTTTTAGTCAATTCTTTCACTGAAAATAAACCAAAATGATAAATATACTGAGTGACGGAAAAAGGTAAACAACTACGTATTGTGACAAATAGCGCCATCTGTTGAGCGAGTCTCCAACTCGCCAGAGCTTAATGGCCGATCTCTGCTTTTACACGACCCCACAAGCCGCCTGGCGGCGTCTGTGAGATCGTGACAGTGGATCGCCTTCTAGATCGACGCGAAGTGATCTCCAACATTCTAGATGGCGCTCCGTGGTCTTTCTCGCAGCGGTAATTGGGACTATATATAACTCGGCGGCCGGGAGATGGAGCAGAGTACAGAATTTGATTAGAGGTGGCTTAAAAATTTTCAATAAAGTTTTGGAAAGTGACGAGGAATCATTTTTAGAAATCACTGATAAGAGACGCGTTCTTTCTCAGTTGATAATTAAGAATCTGAGTGATAATAATCACGACACTTTATTTTCGCGTTGCACAGTCCATTCACCAGATTATGTTATAAAACTAATTGTTATTTGCGCAGTCAATACATTTTTGAAAAATTATTGTGCCAAAAGGAACGTCAGCTTTGCAAGCGCGAATAAAGCAAAGAAACGTAAATAGCTGTAGATAAATGTTTATTTGTACATAGTCAGAATTTAGCACTTTAATTTTCGTTATTCTAATTTTTGTTATTTTTGATACTTGTTTTCTGTTCTCTAATTTTTGTTATTATACTAAGTGACATATAAATCCGAACACCCAGTTTAAATGGTTTTATTTTAATAAAATTTTGTATAAGTACTTAATGAAGCATATTAAGTAAATGATAAAAATTTCAAAATTATTGCACTGCTTTAAAGCCCTTTGACCTTTAATAATGTGTGGATGCACCCTGATGTGCTACGCATTCTCCAACGCGCCTAGGCATGCTTCTGATCAGGTGGTCAATGTCCTCCTGTGGTATCTCATTCCAGGCAACCACCAACTCCTCTCGAAGTGCTTCTAGAGTCTGAGAAGGACGTTGCAAATTGAGCAATCTCCTACCCATCATATCCCACACGTGCTCAATTGGGGATAAGTCGGGAGATCTTGGTGGCCATGGTAACAATGTGACATCATTATGTTGAAAGAAGTCTATTGTGACTCTTGCAACATGTGGTCGGGCATTATCTTGTTGGAAAGTTGGATCTTCCAGGGTGTCAAGATAGGGTTCTAGAACGTCGTGGATATAACGCTGCGCGTTCATGTTACCTCTGATGAAGATTAAAGGTGACCTGGAACCATAAGCTATAGCACCCAAAACCATAACTCCAACAGTGTGATGAACATGTCTTTCAACAAAAAACTGTGGATTCCTCCTTTCACCACGTCGCCTTCTAACCCTGGCACGACCATCGTGCATGCCTAAACAAAATCGAGACTCGTCATTAAAGACAATACTGTTCCATTCCTGATCCCAGAGTGACCGTTGTCTGCACCACTCAAGGCGAATAAGTCGGTGTTCTCGAGTTAAAGGGAGGACCCAGTGTGGCCGGTATGAAAACAAGCCAAAACTTCTCATTCGTCGGTAAACACTTCGCATGCCAATAGGTCTTCCGTGTTCTGCAAACCATTCATTTGCAATGGACCTGGTAGTGGAGAAACGGTCCCTTAAGGCCAATAATCTTAGGCGGCGATCTTCACGGTCTGTTGTTCTACGGCGGCGTCCAGTAGGCCCCTTTTTGTGGAATCCAGTGTTTTAATCCACACCCAAAAGAACCCAGAAAAACGCTACCGTATGTTTATCCGATTTTAATAATTTGGCATATATGTTCAGTGTCCCTTACTAAAATGATTTTCAGCTTGATTCGTCAAATGACTGCAGACGCTGGTTCAATAATGTGTTGAGGATCCACGATTTCTTATACAATACAATACAAACGGTGACCGAGTTCTATACAGGGTATCCAAGATAATGATATTTAATTTTAATTTCATAAAGTTTTTAACGATATGCATACAGGGTTTCCAAGAAACAACACGCCAGAGTGACACGGGAGGTAGATTCATAAAATCAACATGACCTCAGTAAAGGTTTTCTAGTTTTCGAGATATTCCCACTTTTAAGCTTTTTCAAAAAATCACTACTTTTGCTCCTTTTTTACCTTTTATGGCTATAAAGAGCTTCTAGCTTATGTATTTTTCCTGAGCCTCCATTAAGTTGGTCCAGACAACCGAGCATTCATTTCATTGAAAACCAGCACGATTATGCTAAAAAAAATATTGCATTTTGGTTCAATGTGAAAACCTTTACTAAAGTTCGACTAATTACTGTGAATAAAAATGATCTTAAAAACTTAAATTAACTTTTGTGCACATCATCTACCCATTCTAGGACCAACGTTGTGGCCCCCACGCTCCCCAGACCTGAACCCGCTGGATTTTTTGTACTGGGGATGTTTAAAAAATAAGGTCTATTAAAAACCAATTCGATCAGCCGATGAACTGCGACATCGAATCCGTCAAGCATCACGCAAAACATACGATTTAAGTTTGAGACGTTTAAAAGGACAATTTTTAAGAAGATGCAGGTTGTGTATAAAAGTCGGTGGTAGACATTTTGAAAATGTGTTGTGAAAATAATAATAATAATGATAATAATAATAATAACTTATTTCAGGCAATATTTACATTACAAAATGTTAATTTAATTTTCATTTAGTTACTCTTAACTTAAGATAATAATGATTCCTAATTCTTTATTTGATTTGAATGTTGTAAAAATCAATGGAAATAAGAAAATACCACCTAATGTTCTGTTCATTATTTTGATGCTTGCTTACAACAATGAATAAAAAAGGATAATGACATTTGCTAAAATATAAAGCTATTACAGCAACTACAAAGTTGTAATTTGTACACAAAAAAGACAGCTGCACTTATTATTTCTTCCGTGTAGTATTTCGCAAGTATTAAGACTTTAATAACAAAAGTACATACTTCTTTTGAAAGAGTATTAAATAGCTAGTTTTCAAAGCCATTTGCTGATTCAGTCTAGTACATTTTTTCAATTAAATGAATACTTGGTAGTCTCAAGCAGCTATTAATTGTAGCCCAAGAAAGAAGCATAAGTCAGAAGTTCTTTATAGCCATAACAGGCAAAAAAAGGAGCAAAATGTAGTGATTTGAACTTAAAAGTGGCAATATCTGGAAAACTAGAAAACTTTTACTGATTGCTCTAAAGTCAGTATACCTGGGTCACCCCGTATAAAGGTAGCTCCACAATCGTACGTGCCGCTTGAACACAGACGACCGAATATGATTGATACTATGTAACTATGTAGGCGTGTGATACGTGGTATCCGTCACGTTGCTCATACGAGCCCGTGGCGTGCATACGAGGTGAGCGCGATAATTATATGCATGTTATACAGGGTGTTCCTTAATGATATGCGAATATTTAAGAGTGTGTATCTACATGGAAAATTAATGTTAGTTTGCTTTATAAGCTATGCTCCAAAAATGTTTCCTTACAAAAACTCGGAGTGTTGAAGTTTTAGGAAAAAAATTGTAATTAATTAATATTTTCAGAACCGCTTCAGATATTTCACTGATATTTAGTACGTAGTTAGTTAGCATGCATACTAAGTGAAGGGGGCCATTTTCAACAATTTTTGTAATCAGTTAGTTTTAATGTGATGTTTATGTTTTCAGTTGTTGTTGTTCATTACCCCTAATGTGTTTAATTTTAACAACATCAAGTTGGACTGCCCTGATATAGAGGATGGTCCAATAATTCCACGTTTTCTTCCGTTAAATACTGCCTTGTTTTTTTGGGCGGTGTGCGAGGTTGCATTGTCTTGGTGGAGGATGATTCTCCTTTCGGGGTTGATTTTTCGAAGCTCGGTGATGACTTTTGGCAAACAAATGGTGGTATACCAATCCGCAGTAACAGTTCTTTCCTCATTAAGAGGAATTGTTGCAATATGACCCGCTTTTGACACGAATGTCGCGACCATCTTTTTCGAAACACTTCGAGAACGGATGACTTTTGTTGGCTTTTATTCACCTTGGAACACCCAAACAGCCGACTGTCGTTTATTTTCTGGTTCATAACAGTAAATCCACGATTCATCACCACTAACAATGCTGTACACATTTTTTGAGTTTCCGGAATTGAAACGATCAAGCGTTTTTTGACACCAATCGACCCTGGCTGCTTTCTGCTCTTCAGTCAACAGGTGGGGTATCCAACGAGCAACTAATTTTCTTACTAGTAATTCTTCATGTAAATTTTTTTGAATTGAGGTCTTTCAGATCTTCAAGGACGCCTCAATCTCGCGATATGTCACATGTCTATCTTCAATGATGAGTTCGCTGATGTGGCGCTTCGTTGCCGAAAACAGACAGTAACTCAGCAAGGCATTCTTGTTGCGACAATTGTCTCTGAAAGTTGTACTAAATTATGGCGCGAAAATGTTCTCGGTTGAGTTCCATTTTTCTAATGACTTGGCGATACTTAAAAATTCACTGTAGTGAGAACACTGCACGCATTGTTGTGAAACTTTAAATTTAAGTTTACTAAAGAGTGAGGTTAAGATTCAGTACTGACGTTTGATCCGCGCGGCCTACTATGTTTCTATATGCAAAACTTAAAAGACATCCCTCGTATTCGTACGCCCTAACTGCAAACAAAGAATGTACGGTGCGTGCTCCTCGCTAAAATCTAAGAATTTTTTTTAAAATTTTTGATGAGTGCGTGGATGAGTTTTCCAAGGATCAAAGTACATATGTTGAGCTATTATAATCAATCATCAAAAATCAGCGTTACGAACATTCGTACACCCCAGCTCCAAAGAAAAAAGCCTGCCATGTACGCCGTACGCCTATCGCTGCAATCTGAGGAAACATTTTTCCCGTGCCGCTTGTTGCTGGACGGCCGATTTTGATAAGAGTCATCGCGATAAAAATAGAAGAAATACGAAAAGAGGTGAATAAAATAAAAATAGCGTCCTTAAATTAAACGATCAGATCTGCAATAGCTTCAGGCATCCCGTATTTATAAAATATCCACCAACATTGCGTGGGTATATTCCGGTCGTTAACCGAATACGTGTTTTTCCTATATTTTGAATTACACACTTAACAAAAGTTGTAAAAAATAACGAGGCAAAAACAAAGTGTTATAAACCATCAAAAGCATCCTGCCATGCGATCCTTTAAGACTCCAGCATTGCCTAGAGAAGATAATTACGCGGTCATTCAGACCTATGCCAAAAAGCCATCCTGTTAACATCCCAAGCGCTCCGACATTTCCCCTGGCAGAGGAAACCGAGCAGTAATTGCCATAACCCGGCAATCTGGCGCCGAAAATCCCATAACCACCCCCAGAAACCGGAGGCCACTCACCTGCGGATCTTCACTAAGAATTACTAGTAAAGTGTTAAAAAGCACAGCATCCAAAACACTACAACCAATAACACGGTAACACTGTAATTAAATTCGCAACGGGCAATACTTGATCTTAGAAGAGAAGTTAATGACGTCACTGAAAGCTTACCCTAAGAATAAGTGCCCAGAGGAGGAAGGAATGTATAATATAAACAGGTTTAAGGGCTGTCGTGTTTAGTTGCATTGACCCGACTTTTGAACGTTCTAGGTGTGCTACATGCAATGTGTTTCGAGTTATTTCGTATGTTTACACAAGGTAGGTACACATTGTATAAAACAAGCAAGGTAAAAAACATCAATTTACAGTCCAATAGATAAAAAAACTATAGTCCTGATAAACCGTATTATCTTATCAAATATTTGTGACTTACCGCTCCGCGATAGTAACTAACCGCGTCGAAGACCGCCCGGCAAACCTTTCAAAATATTTCAGCGAGTTTTCAGTCTTCCAGTGACCGGCTGAAGCGCTGAAGGTGACCTTCCGGGCGGCTGATCGTCATCGCCTGTTGTTAGGGGGATCCACAGCGCAGGCCTACTACCTTCCGCGTTAGAATGAATTAGATACCTTCTAGTCCAGTGAAAGCGGTCGGAGTGTGATCAAGTTCTTACCTGCAGAAATACCGAATTGCAACGTTTCGTTAGCGCGGAAAATGGTCTAAAAAATATGATTGATCCTGGAAGGATACAATATAGATAAAAAGAACCGCATTATACAGGGTGTAATTTAAATGATGGCTGAAAATACAGGATATGATTCTTTTGCTCTGTTCAGGAAGATAAGTTTATATGTCCGCTTAACATTTTAGCTACAGGGTGTTGAAATTTTAAGAAAAAATTGACAAGCACCAATAGGCATTTTTTGACGTATTGCATTGCAAAATCGCTACAACCTCCTATGGTAGTTTGTAGATAAGATGTGCTTTTATTTAATTTTTATTCAAGTAAAGTCAATTGATTGAAATAGCAAGAACGGTTTTTATTTTTTACGCGAAAACGGTACGTCCTACGCAAAAAAATCAGGAGGTCAAATTTATTGCAAAATACATGAGGATTTTTTTTTTCGAAAACGATAATGGCGTACCATAAGATATATCTTTTTTAAATTTCCAATATACATACCGTACGGACGCCAGTATCTCGAAAACGAGACATTTTCAGACTGAATCGGCCATGGATTCGGTTTCAGCGACCCAAAAAGCGTATTATAAGACATGTTGCGTTCACGTTCCCGACTGACCCATTTTGTGACTTTTTGGTAAGAATACCCCTGGTACATGGTAATTATATGTTAAAATGCTTTAAATGCGGTTCAAATGACCCTTATTCCACGTATTTTGGGTTCCCCATATCGAATCCGAGGTCGTTTTATATGTATGTGACCCCGTTTATGATGTAGATCTAATTACTTAGCGAAAAATTGCAAAACTACGCGTTTTTTGCGACTTTAAGGTGCTAAAAACAATGAGGTAATTTGGGGCGCTGAATATGGATATCACAGTGAAAAATTTCTTAAGTGTTATCAGACGGAATTTAGGGTTGAAAAGTTGACGAGAAACTATTTTTCCGGGCTAGCCGTAAATTCTAGCGATGTATCGACATCGAATTTGGAATCTACGCACCCGATTTACCCAGAAAACAAGTTTCCATCTCGATCATAGACGCGCAAGGGTTTTTAGAAATTTCTTATTAGTCGTTTTTTGACAAAGTTGAATTCTTTCCAGTATCTTGAAAACGTGGCATTTTCGGACGGAGTGGGCCATGGATTCGGTTTCAGCGACCCAAAAAGCGTATTATAAGATATGTTGCGTTCACGTTCCCGACTGACCCATTTTGTGACTTTTGCGGTTCAAATGACCCTTCTTCCACGTATTTTGGGTTGCCCATATCGAATCCGAGGTCGTTTATTATATTTATGTGACCCCGTTTATGATGTAGATCTAATTACTTAACGAAAAATTGCAAAACTATGCGTTTTTTGCGACTTTAAAGTGCTAAAAATCCATTTTTACTATCGATGGCTACATGAGAGCGGAGCTTTGCACAATGAGGTAATTTGGGGCACTGAATATGAATATCACAGTGAAAAATTTCTTAAGTGTTATCACATATTCATATATCATTAAGGAACACCCGTATATTTATTCCAATATATAAAACGTTTACAGCACAGTTAAAAATCAAGTGATCTTGCCAATACTTTTCATATATATTCTTACAAAGTCGTGTGTTGCAAACGTTGCTATTTTTTAACAGATAAGTTGTTTGTTAAAATTTCAACACACGCCGTTAAAAGATACAGGGTGGCCGATATGTAACTGACTGGTTTATATCTAGAATATTTGTAAATGAAATAAAATATGTCCATGTTTTTCATCTTAATCTTTTATTGTAACTAACTTAGAAATTAGGTATGAAAAGTAATACCAGACAAATGTCCGCGTCTAGAGCCCTCTTGATTAGATTTTCCATCAGTTTTTGGTAGGTTTTCGGAAGGAATATTTTCAATCGCTTCCGTAATATCGTGCTGCTTTAAGCATCCCACAAACCGGCGCGAAATAATCGCGGCGAAGTATTGGCAACGAAATTCAGAGCGAAATTCGCAATCTGTTTCGCCTGTTTATTCATACCAAAGCGTCTTATTCGCTCCGCGAACGTGAAGGTTTCGACAGGTTGCGTACATTTTATTTTTGCCTTTTGCAATGAGCTCGTCTTCAGAAGAAGAGGAGGCAGTTCTATTTCTTGCTTTAGAAGAGGAACAAAATGCACGGTAAGTTATGTTTATTTAACGCCATTTGATAGTTGGGTATGTATTAAGTTTAACGAAGTACATAAAACAAATATTTTCAATTTTGTTTAGGAAACGAAGGAAGTGGGTACATGATATTAACTTGGAACGTAATAAATTTGGGGATTACCATACCTTGATGCCACAACTTCGGCTGGATGAACAGCCCTTTTATGGCTGAAGAATTAGAAAATAGATGAGGATTTCCCAATTGCATTGGCAGCGTGGACGGTAAACATGTAACAATCAAGAGACCTAACAACAGTGGCTCCAATTACTGGTGCTATTTACATAAATATTCAATAGTACTTATGGCCATTGTTGGCCCGGACTATAAATTTATATGTGTTGATATTGGTGGTTTCGGAAAAAATAGTGATGGGGGTATTTTCGAAACCTCAAACATGGGAAAACGATTTGAACAAAATTTAATGAGTGTCCCTGCACCTAGATTTCTCCCTGGGCAAAATGAAATCTGCTCGTACGTCTTAATTGGTGATGAAGCATTTGCTTTGAAACCATACCTTACGAGATTATTTCCTTATAAGCAGACTTTATCAGACGTCAGAAAAGAGATATACAATGTAAGACTTTGTCGAGCTAGAAGGGTCGTGGAAAATGCGTTTGGTATTTTGTCTCAAAAATGGCGAATATTTTACAGGCCATTAGAGACTAAAGTAGATACTACTATTCTAATTGTACGTACGGCATGTGTTTTACACAATTTTTTACGAAGTAAAAGTGGCGATGACAAATATTTTCAATTCTTAGATCCCCCAGAACCCGTGCTTGGAGCTTTTACTGATATAGCAAATGATCCTCGGCGGGCAGCAAGGGTAGCATGTTCTACTCGTGACAAATTCGTAAATTATTTTAATTCTGATATGCCTATGGCCAATATATAGAATGTTCGTTTTCACATTGTGTAGACTGTAAATTATTTAACAAATTAATAAAAAATATTAGGTACATACCATTTGTATTTAATTCTTTTCCTATTTCCATCCAAATCTTGTCTTTCTTTCTCACATTCCTGTATTCATCGTTCGACAAATCATACAAACAAGGATACTTTTTCACTATTTCTATCAATAATTCCGTTTTTGCCATTGCGAATTTTTGAAGAACGGCGTCAAAAACGCGGTCAAAGGCGAACTGAAATACGCCGCGATAAAAACGCTGGAACAATCGCATTCGCTTCGCACAAGTCTGAGCCTGTCCGTAAACCACCGCGTTTTAATCTGATCGCGAATTCATCGCCGCGAAATTTTCGCAGCCAAAGACAATATTTCGCGCCGGTTTGTGGGATGCTTTACACTATTTGGTTTGTTGGCATAAACCCTATTTTTCAGAAATCTAAAAAAAAAGTTAGGAGCCGTTAAATCCGGTGATATATTGGCCACCCTGTATATTGTTAAAATATACATACATGTATAAAAGTACAACGTCCTCAGATTTATCCAAACAGCTGGCAACGTTAGGTAACAATTATGCACAATCTGGCAACGACGACTTATCCTCAAAATATGGCCGCTGACAACGGCATAAGTCAACCGTGTTGCGCTGAATGACATGGAATTTTACCTTCTCCAGTGCATATGTTTCGTGCATCAGTGTATATGTTTTGTAAAGAAAACATCTGGAAATTGATAAGGGAAAAAGAGAAAATCTATCCAGACAGGTACTTTCGTACGATCCGTAAGGAAGTACACGTGACAGTGTCATGAGTTTTATTAGGATCATATGCAATGCCGGAGAAGGTGAATCTACATCATATCATAACTACGAAAGAAAGGTTTGAGTGACGATTTTTCCTTGTTTTAGATGTTGCAAAATAAATGCTCCCACTCTAAGGCTCTGCCTGCGGGGGTGTGCTCCTTTTGCAATTCATCCGCGCCCGATAAATTGCTGGATATTTGCTTTGATTTCATCAACAAACACCTGTTAGAGACAATTTGTTACGAAGATCGCCTTACCGGAAAATTGAGTCTCAATCCGGGATTGACGCTCCCTCTGGAGATATGCGAACGTCTGCTGAGTGTGCGGACAAACAGCTGTACCTCCGTCCACTCGCATTTCGTGAACATTTTCAGAGACACGAATTCGACAAGGTTGAAAAGGGTCAGGTTGAGGAAAAGCAAAATACAGGATTCTGATTTGGAGATTCTTCTGAAGCACAGATTGGTCGAGCTAGAGATATGTCGGGCCTCGGATTTAACAAGAAATTGCATAAAATACATCACTAAATATGGAGCTAGTTTGTTGTCCCTCACAATCGAGGACTGCCCCAAGATATTCCCTAGTAATATTTACTCAAAATTAGATTTATCTAATGACCCCTTTTGCAATAATTATATTTTCCTCACACCAAACTTGAAGCGGTTTGCAATGCGAGGTTTTTCCCAAATCCAGCCCAAGTTCTATATGACGTTATTGACCATGGTACCTAGAATAACGCATCTAGATCTATCTAGTTGTGGCGACCTCGGAAGTTTTAACTATACGGATCATTTGATACATTTAACCTCCTTAGTTCTGTATAATGTCGATAATCTAGAGCTACTGGTCGACGCAATATGTGAATTGAAAAATCTAAGGCATTTGGACGTTTCTCAGTCGAGAGACGATCATGGCATATACGAAAAACCAAGTAAAGTTCTCAGAACATTGGTACAGAGCCTTCCTAAGTTGACATCGTTGGACATTTCTGGAACGAATTTGGCAGGACGAGGGGTAGCGGAAACCACAAATGGTCATGTCTCTGATATACCCGGATTGAGCAGTAGAGTTAATAATCCATTGCAGTATTTGGGTCTTTACGAAACATCACACGATGCTTGTTTGAGACATGATATTCCTGCAAAGCTGGTGAGTACATTCAATGTTTTTGTAAGGATTCTAGATAAGATTATCAATACTTATACATAGGGAACACAATTTTGATACATACATTGTTTTTCTTTTTAAAACTCACACTGTACTTTTTTTGTATTTAAAGACAAAATATTGTTCTCCACTTTCCACACAAGCTTCATTACAACGAACCCAGTTTCTTCTTACTCCAGGTCCTCGAAGTTGTCCATTTATTATTTCAGCCGCATTAAAATTTTTGACGACAGCGGTCAGAGGAAGCACTAAATCTAGTCATTATATAGTAAAAAAACAAACAAATTATTTTTTCTAAACAAGTACGTAAAATAATTTTCCAGATAGCAGGGAATGCAAACGAAGAACAGATACTTGTGGCAGCTGTAGCATACTTGGATAGAACGGATATGTTACAGAAAGTGATGAACGAATTGTTTCATATGTTTCGCTTCGAGAACGTTGTTCATGTTGGACAAGCATTGAACATTGTTTTAGAGGCGATGGGTAGGCATTTGGATGAAAGGCACATACAGATATCAGGGAGGTATGATTCGTTATAGTGATATTAGAATAGTCCTTCTGCTGGAAACCACGTTACTCAATAAATTAAGGGAGCAAGAAAAACATTCTAATTCAAAGAAGTTGTATTTTGAGATGCTTAATCAAAATTAAAGTTAGAAAAAAGGCAGTGCCGTACTTTTTTTGCCAATGGGACGCCACTGTACCTAATAATTTTAATCTATTTAGGAATTGATTAGCTTCTTGATACAACAAATATTGCCAAATTTCAACAGAATCGAGCAAATATTTTTTAAGATACTATATTAATATTTTTTTTCTATTTATCACCCTATATCTTGAAAACTTGCATTTCCCATAGAAACTTTTTCGGTGCTGCTGCGTCTTGTAGAACTTCCGATTTCACTGTTTTTTCTCTTAAAACTTTTAGAGGGTAGTTTGATACATTATTTAGAAACAAAAGTGTGCATGAAGCACGCTTTTCATGAAAAATTTTTCCCAAAACATTGTATTTTTAGCTGTTTCCATCGTCATTTCCACCGCCATCTATCTGCCATAAGACGTAGACGTCTGTGCAGATGTCATAATGAGAGACGCTTGCCTGCGGTGTTGCCGGATTAGGTTCCGCATTTAGGGAAAATATGAAAAGTTGAAAATTTATATACGTATCTTAATTAATGAATCACAAAAACGAAAAACTGAAACAAATAACAGTAGCAAAATAAAAGGCGATTCCTAATAAGTATAAATGAAAAAATAACAGTAGTAAGCTAAAAAATGATAAATTATAAATAATTATAAAAAACTAATTCCATGTAATTATAAAAATCAAAAAATAACAAACAGCAGTAAAATAATAAGTAGTAAAACAAAAAAAAAATAATTCCATGCTGAATAAAAAGCAATTCTAAGTGACAACACAAAACAAAAAGTAAAAACAGTAGTAAAACGAAGAACAATTTCATTAAATCCAAATTGCTTTTTATTTTACGGTTTGTTATTTTTTGTTTTTTTATAATTAAATGGAATTGTTTTTTTTGTTTTACTACTGTTTTAATTTTTCGTTTTTTAAAATCTCTTGGAATTGCTTTTTATCTTACTGCTGTTTGTTATTTTTTATTTTATACTTAGTAAGAATCACTTTTAATTTTACTACTGTTGTTTGTTTCATTTTTTTTTTGTGTTTCATTAATATAAATGTATACAGGGTGACTTTGAAGTTGAGTCATTAATTTTCAGGTAATGATTGTAGAAGGAAGATAAACCAAAATATGTGTGTAAAAATAAAAAAAAAATTAAAAAAAAATTTTTACCTTGTTTTATAAAGTATCCTCCCGACAAGTATTTCAGTGCGGACCTGTATTTGATCGTGAGGTCTCCTGTGAGGTCTTAAGTCACTTGATTCACGAGCCTTAACAAAGGCACGAGGGGTTGGTTGCACTCGATTGGGAAACCGATCCGCATAAACATGTGCCATTTTTTATTTCGTTTGAGCCACGCAACAGACACTATTCACACGCCTTACCGACTGACACTTACTGTATGTATAACTGAACTGAAGAAAATAATTGTAAAACATCGTTCCAAATTCTTTCGCTTTTTTGTTTCCGATGCGGATTATATCCGTTGTTGCCAAACACGAGCACATGATATTACGAGTATTATTGAACAGGGCGGTACTCAAACTTCCAAAGGGCTATAACTTTGTTACTTTAATTTTACCAGAAAAATGGTAAAGGAAAAAAACATTTCTTTTGATCAGATCTACTCACTGTTAAAATAAATGACTCAACTTCGAAGTCACCCTGTATAAAGTTTCCACTTTTCATATTTTTCCCTAAATACGGAGCCCAATCCGGCAACACCGCAGGCAAGCGCCTCTCATATATGACGTCCACAGACGTCAACGTCATATGGTAGATGTTGGTGGAAATACGTGCTAAAAAATACATTGTTTTCGGAAAAAAAATTCATGAGAAGCGTGCGTCATCCACACTTTTTATCATTGAAAATAATTTATCAGACTACCCTCTATAAGTTTCAAGTGAAAAAACAGTGAAATCCGACAAGACGCAACAGTACCCTTTTTTATATTTTTTTTAACAAGGAATCACCCTATATATCTTCATCTATTTTTCGAACAGCCTGTCTGTTAAGAACTTGAACTTGTAGAATGAATCTCGTTTGACAGTACCGCATTGCTAAATGTTTCAGCGCAACATTGTTCTATGTAGTAAAAGGTACCGGTAGAGAATTACACGATGATATGAAGGTGAAAAGAAGAATTATTACTGCACTTTTGAATGGAATGACAGTCCACAAAAATGATGATACAATGATGAGGAATGGCTGTCTGACTTTATGTCAGTTCAAAATCCCAATGGATGTGGTGAGTTTGTAAATTCAATGTAATATGCGATCATTATTCCATTGTATATTACCAGGATAAGTCATATTGCAAAATTTTTATCGTACCCTTTGTAGATTATTTTTGTAACAAAGAAAAGCCTCTCTGACATCGATTACGGCTTGTGATGACAACTATAATAGCTTACTGTGAAATGAAAATGTCAATCCTTCCTCGAACGTTCCTTAAGGAAGCGTCATTGTCTCACTGTTTCCAGTGATGTTTCTGATATCCATTCTTTGCAAGGAAGCCTCACGCCTCAAGGAACTCCTATAAATCTGACTCTAAGGAACTGTTTTTCAGCTATTTGATTACGAGCGTCTTGTGAATATACTCCTTCATTCTGTACACGGTATGGCCCAAGAGAGTTTTGTTCAAAGGATAGGGATATATCTGCTGAACTCGTTGGCGTGTCAAGTTGACGGCTTTCAGAAGGTGAAGCTGGGCGAGCTCGGAGCGATAGACGTAAGTGTTCAGCGTGAGAGTGTTTTTTTTATAAACTTGGAAATGCAAAACAAACAAACAAAATTAGAAACTATTGTATAAAGCCACAATGTTTGCAGAAAATGATGTGGTTAATAACAGAAAGGCTAGGAAGAAATATTTGTGACGATGTACTGGAAGTTGCTTGGTCGACAATGTGGAACGTTACAGATGAAACGCCACTGAATTGCCTGAAATTTTTAGAAAACAAAGGAATGGAGTTCTTTTTGTCTTGCCTAGAGGTCAGTGTTAACTTATTTAATCTTCTTAGGAACTAGATATAGTATGAAAATTATTCATTTTTAACATATTATATTTTCCAGAAATTCCCTGATAAGGAAGAATTGCTCAGAAATATGATGGGGCTACTCGGCAATGTAGCTGAAGTTACAGAACTTCGTCATTATTTGATAAGACCAGAATATCTGTCTGTTTTCTCTAGACTGTTAGATTCGACGAGCGACGGGATTGAGGTATGCAATTTACGAGTCAGAATTCAGCATTTTTAAAGCAGTGTCTATATTTTCATCTGATATGTACGAGTATATTAATGTATAATCTGCAAATATCCGAAGTTTACAATAATCTAAAATATTACAAATATCATTAATGTATAAAATAAATAGTGGACCTAGTTTACTACCTTGTGGTATACCAACAGAAATATTTATTGATCTTGTTAATGAAGATCCAATTTTGGTTTTTAAACATCTGTCAATTGAATAGTTTTGTAGAATTTTGAATCCAGATCCTATAAATCAGTAGTGATGCAATTTTGTAAGTAATTTATCCCTGTCAATAGTCTCAAACGCCCCTTTGAAGTCCAAAAACCTACTGTTACTGTATGTTTCCGATTGTCCATACATCACTAAAACCATGAAAATCAATATGGATTTACAGAAGGGAAGGCTACATCGGACGCAATAACTAAAATTGTAAATCAAATACATCAAAATATTGAAAACAGAATCCCTTCAATCTGCATTTTTATTGATTTAAAGAAAGCTTTCGACACAGTTAATCACAAATTATTATTAGAAGCATTGGAGAGAATTGGTTTCAGAGGAAACGCGTACTCACTGATTGAAAGTTATTTGTCAAATCGCCCACAATCTGTGCAGATATCAGGATCATTTAGTAAAGAAATGTATATTAAGTGTGGTGTCCCACAAGGAACTGTCTTAGGTCCGCTGTTATTCAATATATATTTAAATGATATTTTCCAAATTAATTGTGTTGGCAAAATAACTAGTTTTGCAGATGATACTGCAATATTATATGAAGGCACTGACTGGTCTGATCTGAAAAATGCAATTGAAAATGATTTTATCAAAATTATTCGGTGGTTTAACAGTAGAAAATTAAGCATTAACTACTCTAAAACACATTTTTTACCATTTGGATCTTATGCTAGACATCTGCCAAATCACACAAATTTTTCCTTCAATATTAATGATCAAAAAATGCAAATTAATAGAGTGCCCAACATAAAATACCTTGGAGTGGTCTTGGATCCTCACTTACGATGGGACATCCATGTCAATTATATTTTAAAGAAAGTTCGATTTGTATCCTACAAAATTAAATACCTTGGGAATATATTGACAGAAAAATATCTTCGAACATTATACCATGCACTGATTGAGCCTCATCTCACATAGTATATTAGCATGGGGAGCTGCATGTTCCTCACATATCTATAATTTAGATGTTTTTCAAAAAAGTATTCTAAAAATGATATTTAAAAAACCGAAACTTTATCCCACTGAAAAATTATACGCAGATGTTCGAATGTATGATATAAGACAGCTTTATTTCTTACACAGTATCACTCACTACCATAAATTTGTAAACACCGACCAAAAATTAAACATAATCATTATACCAGGTACAAAATTCGTGGCACAGTAGTTTCTCAACCGCATAAATCTATAATGCAGCGATCATATCTCTATTTAGCGCCTAAATTTTATGAAATTATACCTAAAGACTTAAAAGATTTACGTTTCGGAAATTGTTTCAAAAGAAATTTAAAAAAGTGGCTACATTCTATATCTAGGACTGAAATTCATAAACTCATAAATACGAACATCAACTAAATACATAATCTACTGTAGCTAATTTTTGTCCTTTTTTGTCATTTGGATTCTACAGTTTCAACTTAAATTTATTGGTCCATGTACAGGCGATGCCTTCTATTGGGCCTGTTTTGATTTTATATTTATTTACTCATATTGTTTGTTATCTTTGTACATTGAGTGAATAAATATTATTATTATTTGTATTGCCGTTTAAGTTGAGTATTTCTTCCTGAATCCAGCTTGAAATTTGGTTAAAATGTTATTTCCATCAATAAATTTGATGATCTGTTCGTAAATAATTTCTTCAAAAACCTTTTCAACATCTGTCAGAACATTTATTGGCCGCACATTTGGTGTACAACTCAGAATTCTTAACTTTAGAAACAAGAGTTATGGTAGAACACTTCAGATTTGTTGAAAATTCGCCATATTTTACACAGAAATTTATCAGGATTAATATTCTTGCTCCAATAATATTAAAACATTCATTAAGCACACTTTTAGACAAAATATAATACATAAACTCACTAGTTCTCATTACTTTTTTTTGAATTCTAACGTTGGGTCGCTAGCATCCAGGGACCGAGGCATTAGAAATAGAAGACCAACTTGCATTTTAATTTCACCTCTGAATGCTTTCATAAAATTTGAGATCCCACTTCTCCGACACCAATTTGTTATAGCTGAAGCTTCACAAATCAGGGGAATTGAACCAAGTTCCATTACTTGATTACAAACTTCGTTACACGGAGTAAAACGATATGACAGAGTCTAACCTTTCTCCGCATGATCATTACCACCACCGTCTTTTTGTCTTAATAGTTTGTAGTATTTTTTAGGTGAGCTACAATGCTGCCGGTGTCATCTCACATATAGCCTCCGACGGCGAAGAAGTGTGGACGGTGACGGATCCCCCCAGGAATTATGTTCTTTCCAAAATGATAGAGGCGATTGAGAGATGGGACTTGAATTCCCCCAGGAACATCAACTATCGATCCTTCGAACCGATTTTGTATCTGGTCACGGTCTCTCATACTCCCGCGTGCCAGCATTGGGCAGTGTGGGCGTTGGCTAACCTTACTACGGTTTATGGTAAGTGTATCGATGTTATAATAAGATTATATTATATAAATAAAATCTTTTTCCAAGCTGGTGCCAACGTTTGCGTTAATTTTTTTCTCTTTATTTCAGCTGATAAATATTGCGCTTTAGTAGAAAAAGAAGGCGGATTGCCGCTGCTGGAGGAACTGATCCAGCATCCATCTCCTCCACAACGCGTCAAAGACTTGGCCGCGATCGTAATCGATAATTGTAGGAAATTCCACGAAGCTTCATTGGACGGTTAGACGGTATTCTCAGACACTAACCGCGCGTGTTTTGTACGTTTTCGGAAACATTGCTGTTTTCACATTTCACAAGGTAGCTGGACTATTTTTTCAATGTAAAAACCCCCAACAGCTGGCTAGTTGATATCACTTTGAGGACGTATTCAGGATTTACACGACGATCGCGCAATTTTTTATACGTATTTTCCGGGCAAAGCTCGTACATGAAAATGGTGATTCAGAAAATAATGACAGAAAGTTCGTTAAAAATAACAAGTTATTTCAAAATGTCCCAAATATCGCTACAGCGAGATGGGGTACCCTCCCCTAAGTACTACAAGCAATTTTCAGTCAAAATTCATTTTACCTTCAAATGTTCAAACCAATTTTTCTGATACGTCGACGTCTCAAAAAGTCAGCGGTGTGGAACATATTTTTCGTATCCTTTGTTGAGGTTTCCCAGTTTCTGTGTTACTGGTTTTTGAGAAGCAATTTTTCAACGTACTAAAAAAAATTAAGAGAGCAAAAAAATGCAAACTTTGGACAGGTTGTATTTCGGTGAAAAATGGTCGTATCTGGACATTAAAAAAGCATTTTGAAGCTTTAAGATTCTAGTTTTTTTAGTTGAAAAATTTTAAGATCAAAAATGTTTCAAGCCTGTGGACTTAACATTTCCTGGCGTTTTCCATTCAAATTGCACGAGAACGGTTGCTCCTAAAAATGTTTTGATAAAAAACCTGGAAACTAGAATCTTAAAGCCCTAAAATGTTTTTTTTTTAAAGTGTATATACGACCATTTTTCTCCGGAATACATCTTGTGAAAAATCACCGAAACATTTCTTGCCACCTTAATTTTTTTGAGCAGTGTACACTAGTGGTGTCAAAGAGTCGGTACTTCTCAATACCAACAGGGACATTAAGTATCTTGAAAGTGGCATTAGGTTTTTTTTTTTGGAAATTTTATGTTTTTTACATAATAAACCCTTGCCCGTCTGCGGTTGAACTTGAATAGTAGCAGTTTTTGAAAGATATATAATAATACCACCTTATGTGTATTACTAGCCTTTTTAACAATTATGGAAATACTGCTCCATATGCACTTTCTAAACTGTACTGAGTAGGTTGTGGCATACATTTTAATTTGAACAATACTCATCAGGGCAAAAAAATGATTTTGTGAGAAATAGAAAAAGGTTGATAATTTAATACATGACAAATTTTTTGGACTGTTATTTTTATTTTAGTTGTAAATATTATTTACATTCAAGTGGGTTATTATATAATGTATTTTATTGTATTTACCTACTTTAAAAACAGTTATGTGATTTTTATTTATGGAAATATAGATATATTTATTGATAACGTGCGTTTTTGTAACTCATATAGATCAAAAATCCCCTTCTGTGCAGGTAGGATTAAACGAAGAGAAAATGGATTTTTCAGCATTACGTGAAATTGCGTTTACGTGTGCGATCATGGAGAATTAATTTATTCAAAGAATCTGTTGACGTGGCACAATGAAAATTAATTTACATGAAACGACCAATTACATTATAAAAAATTACCTAAAAGGTAATCTTATCGGAGATCTATTAAAGTTTTCAGAAATACCTTTACATTAATTTTTCGATGACTGGTTAGCCCGTGGACTAGAAACAAGGCAAAAAATTGTTCTTGCGCTATTTGAATTGGCTGTTTTATTGGCACTGACATGACAATACGCATTAAATTTTGATATTAATTCATAAGTTATCATGCAACTTTCAAAGCTTCCATTTATAGTGCGCACTATTTACCGTCTGTCCCCGATCATACCACTGGTAGAAAATACCAGTACAACATCCATTTAATATGTTTGTGTGCATTACATATTTATCTAAGAGATTTGGAACTTTAAACTGAATTCGCCTGGGGGGGGGGTCATGACACCCCTGGATCCGCGCCTGACCAAACCAAAGTGACATACCGCACAAGCCATAACCCCACAAAGACGAGGAATAAATGTGCATGCGGCCTGGTAACCTGGTACGGGGAAAGAAAAGCAACCATAATCATATTCCACTTATTTTTAATAAAACCTTATTTGATACATAATACAAATTACACTTGAAAGGTATCAATTATGCACGTGATACGTGACCCGTTTATTACAATTATGCTACGCAGATCTCACTCTTGTCTATCAGCATGTAACTGTGTAGCTCCTAGCCTTGAAGGGTCTTGAGACGGATAATGGACTACAGTTGGAGCAACTTTCGATGGCGATGTGCCTGCAATCAAAAGTATATTAGGCGGGCAGTAAGCAAGGTCTTATCTTTTTAAAAATGTACAACATTTTTTCTACGTAATTGCGCCGTTCCGGTCGACGCATTTTTGTAGAAGCCGTTTAGGATATGTCTGATGCAGTAACTGAATTTCTGCATAAGATCTACGTGGTCTGTAAATTAAGTTATCAGGAGTCAGGAAAGAAATGCGACATCAGAAAGGACATAACTTTATACCTAATAAAAAAAAGACTTACCCGGAGGCGCATCCGCAACGGCAGCAGCAGCAGCGGCGACCGCCCCCAGCGAAGGGGGCGGCGCGGTAGCGAACGGAGGCGGCATCTGCGGAGGATTGAAGAAGAACGGCGGCGCCGTTGCGAACATCGACGGCACGACGAGCGTCGGAGGAGGCGGAGGCAGCGGGATACCGCCCGGGTGACCGGTACCGCTTCCATCCAGGTTGAAAAAGTTGTTCGAGATGTCCGGGATGGCTGTCGGCAGACCGGGCACCGGCTCGTAGATGTCGGCCGAGGCTTGAGACGCCGATGCTGCTGGCCCCAATCTGGAATTAAATATTCGTGTCAACTATTCGTACAAATAACCACCGAACATCAAGTGAATCTCGTGTTGTTGGAAACGCATTAAAATCGGTTCATCTGTTTGGCAGTTTTACGTCGGCGGTTAAAAATCATACGATGACGTTGACGATGATGATACGATGACTACGAAGATCACGATTGACTATGACGATAATGATGACGATAACTTTAACGAAAACTATGACGATAAAGATCACTATGACAATAACGATGAGTATGATGATAACGATTACCATGACGATAACGATGACTATGACCATGACGATAACGATGACTTAGACGATAACAATGAGTATGACCATGACGATCACGCTAACGAAGACTATGACGATAACGATGACTACGACCATGACGATCACAACAATGAAGACTATGACGATAACGATGACTATGACCGTGACGATCACGATAACTATGACGATAACCATGACTATGATGGTAACGATCACTATGAAAATAACGATTACTATGACGATAACGATGAGTATGACCATGACGATCACGATAACGATGACTATTACGATAACGATGACTACGACCATCACGATCACGATAACCAAGACTATGACGATAACGATGACTATGACCATGACGATCACGATAACGAAGACTACGACCATGACGATCACAACAACGAAGACTATGACGATAACGATGACTTTGACCGTGACGATCACGATAACTATGACGATAACTATGACTATGATGATAACGATCACTATGACCATGACGATCACGATAACGAAGACTATGATGATAACGATCACTATGAAAAGACGATTACTATGACGATAACGATGAGTATGACCATGACGATCATGATGACTATGAAGATTACGATGATGACGATAACGATGACTACGACCATCACGATCACGATAACCAAGACTATAACGATAACGATGACTATGACGATCACGATAACGAATAGTATGACGATAACGATGGCTATGACGATAACAATGACTATGACCATGACGATCACGATAACGAAGACTATGACGATAACGATGTCTATGACCATGACAATGACGAACTCGATAACGAAGAGTATGACTATTACGATAACAATTACTATGACGATCACGATAACGAAGACTATGACAATAACTATGACGATGATAGCGATTACTATGACGGTCATGATAACGAAATCTATTTCTATGACAATGATGATAACGAAGACTATGACGATCACTATGACTACGACGATTATGGTAACTATGACTATGGCGATAACGAATATGACGACCACAATAACGAAGACTATGACGATGACGATCACGATAACGAAGAATATGACGATAACGATGACTATGATGATAACAATGACTATGACCATAACGATGATGATAATAAATACTATGATAACGATAACGGAATCTATGACGATTGTGATCACTATGACTATGACTGGCGATAACGACTATGACGACCACGATAACGAAGAGTATGACGATACCGATGACTAAGACGATGATGATAACGATGACTATGACGACAAATATAACGATAATAATAAACGATGAACGCTGCAATTTAGGAAGGCCCAAAATAGAATTTCACAGAAGACATTTTCAGTGTGCATCCTGAGTACTGTCAAATTACAAATGAAATGGTCAAAATTACAATTAAATGCTCGTTATTCGTCCAACGTTCCAAATACTCAGCCCTAAAGGATACAGCAATTAGTTTTCCAGGTGTTACCTCAGTAATGTATAACAAATACCACCTACCTTCCTTGAGATCTGCCCCACTTTATCGTCAACCGACGTCCTCCAAGTATCAATTTGTTAAGCGTCTTCTCAGCAGCCTGTTCAGCTGCAGCTCGTGTAGTGTACTGTACAAAAGCACACTGCTGCTTTGGCACCAAACTTACCGATCGGATTTCTCCGTATTGGTAAAAATGATCTCGAACGTCCTGCTCAGTTAAATTGCCTGGAAAAAAACATGTACGTATTAGTAAATATCAATAATAATCATTTATTAGCCATATGACTTACCTAGATTGCCAATATATAAAGTTGTGATGGTCTTATCCTCTGGAGGGAGCAGTGCAGGCATTGCGGCAGCTCTTTTGAGCAACTTGTCTGCTACAGGATCATTCATACCATAGTAACGATCCTTGATGTTCTGGTCAGCTAACGGGTCATCAGGGTCTGTGGGCTTTTCATGGCGATATGGACACTCCTCACCTGTAATGGGACACAGTACAGTGGAAACGTACCTGTTGAAACTTATCCTGTTGTTTTCATGTCGATAACTCCCCATATTTAAGATATACATAGATTCTTCAAGTTCAATACTTATATGTATTTCGTGCATCATCATATACAGAGTGGCCTAACGAAAAGGTCGCATCCCCGGTTGTGACTATTCTGATATATTTTGGGAAAAATGAGTATGGAGCTATTCGTATTGCTGCCTAAACCTATGCAACTTTATTAAAAAAAATGTATTTTAGTGATAATCATTCCAAAACTTGAAACTTCAAATATTACCTCTTCTACATTCTCCTTTAACCCAAAAGGAACATACATGAGGACGGTTTCTCTTATAATAAGGTGCTGTCCTTGCAAGCCTCATCAGCAAATCATTAGATTCACCGAGTTTATTATTCATCAAATCCGTGTTGGCCTTAGCTAGCTCTCTCTCCATGTTTTGTATATAGTATTCCTTGTTGACATCACTCTTCGGAACGTCATCTTTGATTTTCAAAGCAGCATCTCTCACTTGAATCGGCAGGCCATACTCCAAGTCTAGCAAACATGTTTGACAAACATTCTTCAGTTTGCTGCAAGTCTAAAAATAGAGGGATTACAAAGTCAGACGTTAATTTGATACTGCTGGCTGGGCCACTATACGCTAAATATACAAGATGATTGAATAGGCAATGGCATTATGCCTGGTGCAGAAAATGCTTACAAAATGTTCATATAAATATGCGCAAATAATATGAAGTTGCAATTGGAGGGTATTTAAAAAAAAACTTATAACCAGTAAGAAAGGGTATGCCAAAATACTTGTAAATGCTGATGTATCACATCAAAACCTGATCATGTGACAGTCACCTTAAGGGTAAATACCACTGTATGCCCGAGAAGCGTGCAATAAGTGTGTTAGAAAGAGATAGAAGTACCGCGTTGCCTAGCAACTTGAGTGACGAGGCCATCTGCGCACACTTTCTCTCATACATGTTGGACGTCAGCCAAATTTGAACCTCACCGTATACGTGTTGGTTGTTTGTGTCCGTTGGTGCAAGTTTTGTAATTTAAGCACTCGACTTTATTGTATTTGTAAAGCATAAAGACACGACTATCTTGGCTGGATTCTGAGAACCTGGAGCGGATTCTTACCTGGCAGACCTCGGTCTTCTTGAAGCGCATCCTAGCACCTGGACACCAACGAAAAACTGTGAAGGGTCGGGAGCATATTTTGCACTCTTTACCATACTTTTCCTTCGTCATACGAATGTAAGGGTTATCTCCCAGACACGTCTGGCATAGGATTGGGAAGTCGGCATCTTCCCAGTTTTGCCTGTTATAGGTGTTGGTTGATTTCGATGTAGCCATCTGTTACACAAAATATATACACTGAATCTTTTATTCACAACACTTTTATTTATTATGGCTTTAATCACAATACAAAACCTACAAAAACTCCTGTCAACCACAAAATGTACACCATAAAACACCGTCAACCACAAAACAGACACAATAATCAAATCCAAGCGAATAAACAAAATTTCTGTGTTATGTGCCGCGGTTATAATATGGTTCAAGATGACACACGGGTTGATGACGTCAGTTACACGAATCGCTTGAACGCGTTGGTTTTAACCGCGGTTTTGTTGCAAGTTGTTTATTTTAGAAAAGCGCGTATATACTCTCTGATTATTTTTATTATCACTTAATAATCGGTGCTTTTTCGTCTACAACTGTATATGGAAAGTTTAAATAAGAAACCTTTCATAATATTCATGGGAGAAATGTTTTTTTCAGATTTTTGTTTTTTAATGATAGAACCATGGCTTTGTAGCTATGATAACTTTCAATTCTCTAAATTTTTCCGCATGTCAAAGAAAACATTTATTGATTCAGCAGAAATGATGAAAAAAGATATTAGCAAAACCGTATACAGGTGGATATCATCTAGCGAGTTTATATGGCCATATTTTAATATTCTTGTGGTATATGGCTACACAGGATACTTTTTTAAGCATTGGAACTACATTTAAAGTGTCCCCAACCACCGTAATGAGCATACCTAATAAGGTGCTCCACTTTATGGTAAAACTGAAGTCAGCCTGTATCATTTTTCTCAAAAATGAAGCTGAAGTACAATAACAATATCCAATACCCGGCAAAATTCTAACTTGTCACATTTCAAATAATAACCAGAAATATAAAACTACTCTTGAGTTGGGTAAATACCACAATTTTGCGGTGATAACTATGACATATAACAGCTGATTCGTGACGTCACGGATCTTATAACCAAACTGATAACTACACTCGCTTGAATGGATCGGTAAATACCAACCCAAAATGGTAAATACCATTTCCATTTGGTTATCCGCTTGAATTTGATTAATGAAGAAGGTAGGATATCATGTTATTCAAGGACGACACGGTTGACTTATGTCAATGTCAAGCGGCCATTTTGTGACATTTTTGCAACATTGCCAGCTCTACATATAAATCTGAGATTGCTATACTTTTATATGTACGTTTTCAAAGTTGAGTCATTTATTTTAACAGCTTCTAGAACTCGTCAAAAGAAGTTGATATACCAAAAATCACCTATATAAAAGTTGCATATTAAGGGAGTAGTTTACAAGCCTCCACGGCGTCCACGAATCAAATCACAAGCATTTTCAGTGCGCTGTTGAAGTTCTTCCTGACTACTTACTGCTCCATCATGATTCACCAACTGTTTCAAATAGCTTTACAGCGATAAAATCGCAAGGCGTTAGAACCGGGGAGCGAGCAGGCCAAGAAAAGGGGTCCATTGCGCCCAATCCATCTATTTGGAAACTCTTTATTTAGATGTTCGTGAACGTCTCCTCTAAAATGTGGTGGAGCCCCATCATTTAGGAACCACATATTCTGTCTCACATTTAGAGGAACATCTTCTGATAATTGTGACGTCATTATCACTTACTTAATGTACCGAAGTGGATTATAAATAACTAAAAAAACACCGTTTGAACTCAAACATGTTCCAGTCGTTCGATAGTTCAGAATTTGCTTGTAGCAACTTATCAAAATCGCTTTGCTTTTTCACAGGAGGCCAAAACACTTCTTGTTTTCTGGATGTCTCTCAAGCCTTATTGACTATGTGGCAATACTATCATTGTACCACAACGTACGTACGTACGACGAATAATCCATGGTGATGCCGGTCAAACTCATAGATGTATAAAGCAAAATGGCCGAACACGCATGGAGCTTGGACATCGATCGAGGTCGAGCGCACCGCCAAGCACAATCGTGCTTTCTCGTTGATGATCGGCTGAATGAGATACCGTTTCAAAATTTGAATTTTTACCGCGCTCGGTTACAAATATAGTAGAACATGTTTATTGTTATGCAGAGAAGTTTCTAATTAATTTGCGATTTACGGGAATAAAGCACGATACAAGATGGCAGTTTGAAATATCTTGACATGGAATATTATTATTAGAAAAGTCTTATGAACAATATATTTTTGCTAGAAGAATTTTTATAAATAACAGTAAAATACTTATTAATATTTGATTATCTAGTTTACCTTATTGTTCATTGAAAGTCAATATTTTCGTTGCAGGTGAGAGTTGATTTCTCTGTACTGACAATCCTAAAAAAGACGTCAAAGTGACACCTTTTTAAAGAACATCTTGTTGTCGTTGACGTTTTGACCAACACTGACTGCATAATGACGTCATTTGGGCGCCATCATGTTCACTGGGATGTTTTGTTTTTCAGAAGATAAGTAATGACAGCCCTGGGATCTTATCCTTATCCTCATCGCCTGAGAGATATTTTTAAAACCGATAATTTTGTGCCGGAAAAATGTAACGGTTTCATTTAGCAGGAAATGTTTAAACAATTGCAGTTTTGGCACGAATTTATGATATATTTTTTGTATAGTGTTACGCAGTACGACTTCGTTAACAATAACAACGAAATTTTTATCGGTGACAAAAATAATGTTGTACAAGCGCAAGCAGAGAACAACAATATCATAGTTGTTTTGTGTTTATCGGACAAATAATAACATTAACCATGCCCATAACATTTAGTGCAATTGGGTGTCCATTCACCAATGGCGTACGAGCAGAGTCGCAGCCAAACCCGAAGCTGATGTTCCGCTTTCAAGACAACCTTCAGCCAAAGTCGAATTTTTAGTCTAATACAAGATGTGGGTTGCGTTATACCAATAAAATGGTAGAATAGCGAAACTTTGGAAAGGATACAAGCTTTCGAAGTACTATCCTGTACCTTTTCTCTTTTATTACGAGGGTGGTACATAAACCTCTCAACAAAGGCTTCAATGTTAGCGTCTCTTTGGTTTCACGAGTACTCGTGGAATTTACCAGGGTTGTCAGTAGTTGTTGTAACGCAGTAGTGTACCTTTCTTAGCATTCCAAGTGTCAAGCAAACCTTTTACACATGCAGAAAAGTGTCTAAAATATTGTGTATGCTTACAGGCGCCCCCTTGTGGTTCTATTTCTTGAAAACCGTGAACCGTTTCGTCAGTCGTTCCTACAATGTATTGTAGGGCGCCTTTATGGCCTCCTTGATTTTCATAGTTTTCTACTGTTCCGTGTCAGTGCTCTCTTTTGAGGTTATGTTACAAATATCTTCTTAAATCAAATTGACCTAAAACTTGTAAAAGTATGCTCAAAATTACAGCACTGCTAGTCGGTGTTGCATTTTGTATGTCATTTAGTATACAGGGTGTAAGCGTTATGATAGTCATTATTTAAGGGGGTGATAGAGAGTATTAAAAGAAGCAAAACGTTTCATATAACATGGGGGTCAGAACGGCAGTTTTTTAGAGAAAAGCGACTTTTAAAGTAAAATAAAATCTGGCAACGCCGCACTGCCAGACGCAAATACGACGGAACACAGTGTAAATAAAGATGGAGTTTGTTGTTTTTGGCTCTTAGGTATTATTTCATTACACAATTTTGATACCTACATCGTTTTTCTTTTTAAAACCCACTCTGCACTTTTTTGTATTTAAAGAAATTGTTCAAAATGTCGTCCTCCACTTTCCACAAAAGCTTCATTACGACGAACCCAGTGTCTCCTTACGCTAGGTCCTCGAAGTTGTCCATTTATTATTTCGGCCGCATTAATTTTTTTTTCGCGAAGTTGTGCTTCAGTTGTTACTGGACCAGCCCCATAAACCATCCCTTTAGGTTCTCCGCAATACCAGAAATCCATCGGATTGAGGTCAGGAGATCTTGCTGGCCATTTTCGAGGATCAGGAGCATTTCGACCGATCCAGCGATTTGGATAATGTTCATTCAAATACTGAATGACGCCTCTAAAAATGTGTGGTGGTGCCCCGTCATGGAGAAACCACAAATCCTGCCTCCGTTGTAATGGCATGTTGTCTAAGGTCTGTTCCAGAAGTTCTGGTAGGTTATTGGCTAGAAAGCTAAGGTATCCTTCTCCTGACAACTTTGGGGGTAACTCGAAAGGGCCAATTACCTGATCGTCAGGAATACCCGCACAAATATTTATTTTAAAACGTTGGAAATGACCTTCACGAATGGTATGAGGATTTTCTTGGGCAAACGTGTGAGTGTTATGAAAATTTAATATCCCGTCTCGCGTAAAAGTACATTCGTCCGTCTAGAATGTTTTTAAAAAAATCCGGATCTTCAATGTTTTTGTGCAAAAACCACTGACAGAATGTTAGTCTGCGAGGATAGTCTTTTGGTAACAAGGCCTGTACTCACACTGACGAGCTTCACCGTAAACCAACAAGATGTCGGCGAACTCTTGATTCGAGAACATTGTAAATAAACACGACGACGTACGCGAACAATAACTAACCACTGTTACCGTTTGCGATCGATTGCCGGTTCGATAACGGTATTTTATACCGTTAGTGAATTTTCAAATATGACGCCATACTTTTTTGAACCATGTTTTTATTGTATTATTTTATGTTACTTGTGTTTAGATTGTTTTTATATATTTTACACTGTTCTGCTGTATTTTAGATCCATTTCAAACCTTTTTTTCAAATGAAACCATGCTTGGTGCCTTCATTGCATTTTTACCTGACATGCCACATGTGCACTGTATTTTGAGCGGTCAATAAAACCTATGTCTCTCGTTGCGCATTACTATCCATCATCGAATGCTCCTACCTGCAGCGTTTAGACAGAAGCAGTACTTGAAGCTCCGCCACTGTTCCGGTGCGCCCCACTATCCTCCGGAGGTACCACTCCTGTAGGCTCACCTACACCGGCAGAACGCGAATGATTGTTGAAAGTCAGTCTTTGTGAAACTGTTGCAACAAGTCGTACCAGCATTACCCGTTCAAAAGCTGGCATACATTTTCCTTGACCGATTCGCTCCGCGTAGTGCCATCGGTACTATCATAGCACCACCAACATAGCGATTAAACGGTGGTACTTGGATGCAAAGAATTAAGACGTGACATACAAGTTGTGGTGCTTACTGGATAAAAGCTCGGTAAAGCTGACGAGCAATACAACATTTATAGTACTACTGGATCTCTTCTTCAGGCAGTAACTCGGTGATTGGTAT